CAATCTCCCAAGAGCCAATCACTCAATATCTGGTCTGCTCTACTGTATATAGGAGTTTTCAAAAGCGAATAATGCCCAAAAGGCCTCTTTCCTTGATTGTGTCATCGACTGGGGGCTCAAACTGTAGGGCAAGGGATTATGCTGAACAAGACTTTCAGATGATGGATGACACATGCTTTCACAGGGAGCTTACTTGCATGCCATTGCATATCTTCAGTTCATTGGATGACAGGAAGGAGACTTCACTTTCGAACCCTATAGTTCGACTTAGACATAGCGGAGACCAACTATCATGATGACAGTGGGTTTTATAATTCCACTATAGAAGTGTTCAATCCATGGTGCAAGTGTTGCAAGGAGCTCAGCACTGTGTGTAATGCAAAAGCTTCAGCTCCGACTGAACCTACCAGCACGTGACCGCGCGTGGTGCTTCTAGGGTCAAGTTGAAGTTGCTTAGCCCACGGAGGACTCCACGAATACCAAGCTGCGCCTGTGCTACGCCAGTCTACAGCTTCATAACGACAATGCATTCATCATCCAACGTACATCAACATCCATCCGTTTGTTCGTCCGGGAGTAGGATCGCGGGATAGGAAGATGTCCACGATGTTGTTTGCCCGGCGAGTCAGACTATGCTTATCAGACTGTGGAGCTTCTCTGCTGGCCTACGCATATTCTGGATGCTACTAAAGACGACATCGAAGAGCGAAGCAGAGGGAATCAGCTCAACCAAAGTCTAAAATACAACTCGACCAAGCCCCAACATCTCAAAAAAACGAGAAAAGCTTGACATGTCTGCCACTTTTGAAACCTTCGAAGGAGAAGTCAACGTCATTGTCCGGGTGCGCAATCTCCCATTGGCCGGCCAGTGTTCCTGTCTAAACATCATAATATTCTGATACAGGTCACCGCCAAACCTGGCAAGATACAAGAGGTCCTGGAATACTCGAAAATTATCAAAGCGTGGTGCGAGAGCGACGCTGAGCCCGGTTGTGACCGGTACGAAGTCCTCCAGGTCGGGGACGAGCTCTGTATCTTGGAGAAATACAAGGACGTAGCGGCGCTTATCGAGTGCGCTCTTTCATTGCGGTCGGTTTGCACTTTGCTGATGTGGGGAAAGACATACCAAGAGCGAGATGTACGAGAAAACGGAGGCGAAGATCCCCCAGTTGGTCGTGGTACGCACACTGTGCCCGCTCTTAACGGATACTGTTAATACACGTACAGGAGGGAAGCTTGGATGTCAAGTTCTGGCAGCCGGCTAAGCTCTAGGATCTATGCAGTATAGACAAGTACCTAGTGTTATTACACCTGAAACTATAGAAACAATAACCTACATCCTTCGCTGTAAAGTGATGCGAATTGACCCGCCTTATGTTGTGTTCCATCCTTCCGGCCAGCTACAAAGCCAATGTCCATCCTTCCAATCATCAGACCAAGCTTCAGCGTTGCAGGCCCAAGTCCATCCCCCTCCGTTCAAAAACGATCTCACATCTCCCCCCCTTGGGTCCCTACACCAATGAGTCAGTCCCATCCCCACCGCTGCAGCCGGAGCATGTACGTACAAGAGTAACCAGTTCCACAGGCCGCATGCTCTCCTCCGTCGTCGACGGATGCAGCGAAAGAGAAAAGCGAGAAACAACAGTAGCGATCGTCAGGTAGAGTTCTATTTCCGCTAACCTAGGGGGGGATCAGTCAGGTGGATCGACGTTGTCCGATCGGGAGAGGGGACTCACAGTCTTCCCTGGCACTTCCTCACCCCTACACCAAACGGCATCCAGCACTCTTCCATCCTCTCAAGACGTTTCTTCTCACTTTCCTTCCATTCTTCCTCTCCCAGCCCATCAGCGGGTCGGTCACGCACCAACCACCGTCCCGGATCGAACCTTCCCGGCTGGTCGAACACAAGCGGATCATAATGTCCCGTCCAAGCACTAGCACAAACCAACGTCCCCGGCTCCAATGCCACCTGCCCTGACTTCTCCCCAGGCTGGGCAGAAAGCCGGAAGCCCTCGGGTGGGACGACCCTTGTCATAGGCATGACAGTAGGGGGATAACAGCGTAACCCCTCTTTGACCACGGCCGCGAGGTAGGTACACTCCTTTAAGCGCTCGTAAGTCCATTCTTCTCCTTCGGTCATCCCTCCCTCCCTCACCGTCCGTTCCAGCACCTCCCTCAGCTTAGCATATATATCCGGCCTGCGCGCAAGTTCCCAAGTGATAAACGTCAGTGCTGAAGGGGTCGTATCCGCCCCTGCTAGGATATATGTTGCCAAGTTTCCGGCTATGGCACGGTCTGAGAGGGCCTGGCCGGAGGAGTCGAGCGAGCGCCGGAGGGGGGTGAGCATGTCCCCCGTTTCTGAGCTTGATGGGGCAGGGTAGAGGACACGATGCGCTTCTAGGGCTGCGAGGCCGTACTGCATCCCAGTTGGTGAGGTAGGAAGCCGGAAAGGGGAACAAGGCGTACCTCCGCCAATCGTTCATCAGCGCGCATCGTCCACCCGACTCCTGGCAACCAGCAAAGCACCGCACACACCCACGCTGGCAAGACGGTTCTCAAAGCAGTCTGCAGCATGAACGCGTCCAAATCTTCTACGACCGGGTGCCCCCCTTGCTCAAGGCAGCCAAGGTCATGCCCAAACAGCGCGGAGGAGAGCATGTCGAAGCTCAGGAGTCGATAGAGCTGGTGGATGTTGGCGCTGCCATGGAGAAGGGTGTCTTTTTCTAGCCGGAGGCAGAGAGAGGCGAGTGGACGATGGAGGGAGGGTTGGGTTGAGAGGAGGGCGAGAGGGCGGAAGGAGGGGGAGGTGAGTTTCAACAGGCGGGTGTGGGCTACTGGGTTCCTGCGAGCTGGTTAGGCGCAGTATGAGAGAGGGGAGGGACTCACAGTTCTGAGAAGACGTTGCCTACCCCTCCGAAGGTCACTTTGCCCAGTCTCGCATCCTTGCGAAACGCGTGACTGCCGTATATGCGCCTTATATCCTCCGGCGCGGAGAGGCTGACGATGTTCGGGGCGATGACGACTGCGCTACCTGCTCCGTACTGGCGGTGCAGGGCGGCGATGGATTGGGCAAGGCGGAGACGGAGGAGGAGGACGGGGAAGAGGGGGCCGTGTTTTGCTAGGAAGGGGCCGGGGAGGAGGGAGAGAGGTGAGAAGAAGATGTGGCGGATGAGTCGAGGGAGGACGGGGGCGATGAACACGCAGGGAAGGAGAGCCAAGAACAGCAGAGGAGGGAGAGGCAAAATGTGAGAGCTGGAAGGGAGAGGGAGAGAGAAGCTGGTAGCTGTAGCACTCTTGAGCTGAAGGAGAAGGGTGCTGGAGTTGTTGTTCATCCTAGCCGATAGGCGTCTTCAGCTGGTGGTATCCAACTATCCGTAACGTCCGTCCAAGCCTCAGTCCAGTAGAGCACCTCCATCCAGAGCGAAAGGCACCTCAACGCCCATGGAGAACTATATACCCCCACCCTCCTATCAGCGACATCAACAGCAACATTCAGACACAGCGTGCAGGGGGATCGGCCAGATCGTCCTCTGATTTCATCGACCGGGTTCGCACGTAAGGAAAGCCAGGTCCCGGATCGAAGGAACGCCCCCATCATCGGACCATCCAATGAGGGAAATGCCGGATATATGCGCGATGATGAGATGGGAGAGAACGCGTAAAGTGCGAAGTTTATCGAGAGACCGACGCGTCTGCGTGAGTCGGATAGATGACGTGGAAGGAGGCGGGTTTGGGCGCTTAGCTGGAATGGAAGCTCAACGCGGGCGTTTAGGTGATTTGCGGGACGTGTGGGAGAGGGAGGGGATATCTTTGCAGGGTTATGATGCTGTGTATCTAAGGGCGGATTGAGAGCAAGGGGCACGTGGGGCGAACGAAGAGGGAACAGCGGGGCTGCGGCGGTGGGTAGTAGCAGACACGAGATGAGCGGCAATCTACATGCTAAGAGCTGTTCATTGTGCAGGGCGGCACTTCTGAGTGAGGAAAGCGGTGGACAGATAGGTCAGCTTCGGTCCTGTTTGGCCGGTACTCTCAGATGGTTACCATGCACGTTGAGCAGGTATGCGGCTTTAGGCATATGGAAATGTTCTTTGTGGTCAGATATCAAGACTAGGGGAGCTCAAGACTGTCACTGGAGGTATGCAGATGCCATAGGGCGTCAGAGTCCATAGAAACGGTACAACCAGTGCAAACTTCAGACAACATCAGAGTTCTCGAGCGATAAAGAGAGCACATAACCGGTTTATCGTCGTCATCCGTTAGGAGTATACTCGCCCCGCAGTAGCGTGTTCACTGCCTATCACCATCAGCATCCCATCACTCCCCACACGCTGCGCATCGCATCTTCCAGAACATCGACTCACCCTCTCCTCACCGGAGCCGAACCCCCTCTTACCCGGAGTTAGCGGATGAAAAAAGTGCGGAGTCGCAGGAACACTCACAGAGGGCAGCGTTGTCGCGCGTCCTCTTACTCACCTTTCCTGCACTCTTACTCACCTCCAACGCCATCCGCTACTGACTAGACTTCAGTTGAGCTATACCCACGAACTGGACGACGATACCTTCCTTTCCTTACTACTCTCTACTCTGCTTCTGTGCTATCTGCTTACACTACCACGAACGCGTTACTCGCCACTCACCACAAGTCACGCTTAGACGGTGACTCTACGCGCCGCACGTGCCGCCAAGTACCTATCAACGGCTTGAAGTGTTAATATAACGACCAAACAACTAACGACTGTACGCCCCATTCTTCCCCCTTTCCTGTCATAAGCTCACCCACCGTGCTCAGATGTCCAATTTCCTGCATTCCTTCGACCGCGACTCCTTCGGACTCTCCGACCGCTCTACCCTGCGCAGGCGGTTCCCCTCTTCCGCATCCGATGACGAACCTTTTCCTCATCTCTCGCCTTCCCACTCTCCCGATACCTCTTCCGCCTCTGGGTCTGACTCGGATGACTCAGTACTCGCTGTTCACTCTCGGTCTAGAGAGGACCGGGCCTTCAGTGCAGGGAGGGGACCGACAGACAGTAGGGATCTCCGTCAAGGGAAGATCCACATCCGTCCGTCTCATTCTCTGTCTGTTGGCCATGAGCGGGGGTGGGAGGACAGGGAGGTGCGGATGGAGGAAGGGAGGGAGATGCACTCACTTTGGGGGGAGAGGCTCGAGATGCGCCCTCTTTCCGGTGGGAGTGGGAGGGAGGGGAAGGGGAAGGAGCCGGTGACGTATGGCCGGGTTGGGCGGGTAAGGGCTGCGGAAGCGGAGAGGGAGAGGGAGAAAGAGCGGGAAAGGGAGCGAGAGAAAGAGCGAGAAGGGGTGGAAACGCAACGCGCGGTCTTCAGTTCTGAGAGCTTGGACCAGATCCTCGCCCGCGCCGCTGAGCGTACTGGGGCACAGCAACTGCGTGTGCATCCTAAGCCCGGTGCCGCCGGGTTGGCTAGAGCAGCGCTGGAGAAGAAACGCGCTGAGGAGAGGCAGAAGCGGGTTGCACTCGAGCAGGCTGAGCAGAAGGAGCGCGAAGAACGGGAGGAGAGGGAGAGGAGGGAGCGGGAGGAGGAGGAGAAAAGGAAGGAGAGGAAGAAGGCTAAGAAGGGCCGGAGGGAGGAGAAAAAGGACGTGAGACTTCGTGCGCTCGAGGCGGTTAGGAAGGGGGACTTGGACGCTTTGCGTTCGGAGGTGGAGCTGCATCAGGTGGCTGTTGGGGGTGCGGAGGGGAAGGACGGGGAGACGATGTTGCACGTTGCGGCTGGAAGGGGCGATCTGGATATTGTCAAGTACCTCCTGGAGAAAGGTACGTTTTACAAGTGTTTTAGTGCGCATATAGCTGACTCTCTATAGGCGCGGACCCGAAGGAACGCGATTCCCTTCACCGGACGGTGTTCCATATTGCCCTCTCAGCGGGGCATCAAGACGTAGTGGAACATCTTCTATCCACCTTCCCTGTCGAGGGGAATAAGGCGATCTACACCCCCTTGCCTGGGAAATCGAACCTCCAGCTTGGAGCGGAAACGTCCCTCCTTGCGGCAGAATTGATGCTCAAGCACGGACTAGCCTCTACATCCGAAATCAAGGACACCCTCAATTGGCTCCAAACGAACCCCACCTCGAACAAAGCTGGAATGGAGCTCCTCCTCGCCTCCCACTTGCCCACGCCGCCTGCTCAAGAGGCAGCAGAAGCGACCTCATCCGACGACAAGGACAAGGACAAGTTGAGCAGGAAACAGAGGAAGCTCGCGGACAAGAGGGCAAAGGCGAAGGCCAGGGCTGAGCAGCTGGGCTTGCCGTCTCGTACTGCTGTTGATTCTGAGCCGGAGACGGTGCAGGTGGTATCAAAGAAGGCTTCTAAGCCGAAGACGGTCCCCGCGCCGGTGCTCCCTCTGGAACTTCGGGAGAAAGAGCCCCAGGTCGTTCAGATGACTGTTCCCGAAGAACCGACTGTCACTATCCCCGACCCCACTTCCGAGCCCACGTCAACCGAGCACGCCTCCGCGACCGATCTCACGCCTCACGCCACCGATCTCACGCCTCACGCCACCTCCTTACCCCCAATCGTGGAAGTCGAACCCCTCTCTCCCTCCTGGTGGCAGGCCGTATTCCGCATCGGCACCTCCTCCGCCCCGCCAAGATATGTCAGTCTTCCCGAGGAGGATGAAGACCTAGAAGAGCCAGCACCCATGCGAGCAGTAGACGATTCCAGTTTCCGTGCACTTCCCCCTCACCAATCTCGTTTCGCCCCCGTCCCCTTCCCGTCCGAACCGACAAGCGAGACCGATGCTACCCAAAGCCCATGGAGCACCCAATCCTACCCTCACACGCCTTCTCCCCCCGTTCATGCGCCCTCTGACTCTCAAGGGATGCCCGTCCATTCCTGGCAGACGGAGGTGTCCCCCGTAGGAGGGGTTATGACCGGCGGGGAGAAGTTCCTGTTTGGGATCGTTGGAGGCTTACCTACCCCTCCTGAGCCGCAGGGCGAGACTGGCCCGTATGAACCCTTCCAGGGGTATTACGAGCCGCAACTATCTCACTTCGAGATGATCCCTCCACCGTCGTTCGAGCCTTTCTTAGTGCAGGAATATCACCCGTCTCCAACTTTCACCCACATACCGATCGCCTCCCCTCCTCCTGGACTCCCCAGGACTACTCTCAACGCATTTGCCCAGCCTTTCGTCCCTCGATTCAACTTTCCCGTTCCGCCCGCTCCCCAGACTCCTCAGACCCCGCCCGAAGAAGATCAAACACCCATGCCTCACCCATCTACGCCACAAGGTCTAAAGTCCCCCCCTTACGCACCTCTGTCTAACCCCATCTTCCATAACTCGACCGAACTGTCTTCGCCCATCGCCCCGCCCACACCCGCCGACTCGTCCGATGCATTCGAGACTCACGTCCCGCAGCTGAGCACCAGTGGATCCGCAGCTTCGGAACAGCTTGTGCAGCCCGCCACGCCAGCAAACCTGGTCGCGGCAGAGCTGATCGTGGAGCCCAAGTCGGAGCAAGTGTACACCGTCCGCTTGCCTGGATCTCGTTCTGCTTCCCAGTCGCCGGCTCCAACCGTTCACCCAGTGGAAGAACTACCGTCGGACACGCAGCCGGAGCGACCTGTATCCACCGGTAAAGCCAAGTCGAAGAAATGGTTCAAGAAGTCTGCACGTGGGAAAGCTGGGACTCCCGATCTGGCTGTGACCGCCTAATAATCTGTAATCGTGGACGATCCTATCGGCTTTTTTCTCCTTTTTATTCTGTTGAATCCCTCGCCGGGTGGTCATATTACTCAAGACCTCTTGCGAGTATTGTATTGTTTCCCGCACGTTTTCTTTTCCCTGGTTCCCTTCCGTCATCTTCAACATTTGACAATTGGTCATTCAACAAGATACATCAAGCAAGGTCCCATTCTCATTCCCCATACTTCAATTTCTATCTATTGCTTTCATCCGCTTCAATGTACTCGTAGGCCGCGTTCGCAACTGGCAATCCGAATGTCGTATACTGTACTCTGTGTCCAAAAGTCTAGAGCTCAGAGCCATAGTACTTGACGGAGATGCTCCCTTCCTGTGAAGATATAAGAACAATCTTGATGTAAGCGTTCAGTAGTGTACACCTACGACGATCAGTTCGCTAGCCTTAGCAGCGAATGCCTGGTACTGTGGACTGCTCATATGCCTGGATAACAAGGATCGCATCCAATATACTTTGTACGTAAGTTCAGCACTCACACTTCGAGAGCCCCAGAGTCCCGGTATTTCTCGATCAGGCCGATCTCATTCTCAAACCGGTCCACTTCCCAGTGTAGGGTGCCCGACTCGTTATGGAGATGCTCTTTGATCGCCCCAAGCAAGCCCAGGAGCTCTTGTAGCTTGCCATCCTTGACGGTCAACTGGGTGACCACTTCAACAACACTCGCAACGATGCCAATGACAGACATACCGCTCCTATGACAGTGATTCTTCCCTTGATAAGGCTCGGAGTGCTGGACATTGTTTAGAGAAATTTGAGGGAGGATAGATATACCTGATTCTGGCAACAGCAGTCTGCCGCTGCCGCTTTTTATATATGTATTTCATTTCCGACCAAGTTGCTTGATTTGAAACCTCTGATGTTGACCCACAAAGACCGCATCAACCGCCAAGCTGGAGGTGAGTAATGCTCTTGGCAAGATCAGGCTTCGTCATTCCCCAAGCACAGAACAGCTGTGGGAATAAAAACAAAATAAAGCCCGTCGCCTGTACAAGGAATACAGACACGCCTATCACCTATCTCCGTATAGTTGATGATGGTGAGAAATGCTTGCAATGACTCTCCACCTCTATGCACGCGATGTACACGGGCTGCTTACCTGCGCCAAGTTTTCGGTTACGCTATTACTCAACACCCATGTTGTACGCTTATCTTCTTGTCGTGACAACAACACCACGAATGGAGCCGACGTTCCTGTTAACCTCCTACCATTGGCCATGTAAGAATATTGTAAACATGGCATGCATATACACCGTCCTCTCCTCGATCCTCGCGACATGGTCCTGCTCGTCGTCTGAAAAGGGGAGGGTAAAGGCGTTGCAAGCATAGGGGTTATGAATATACTGGTCATGATAGAAACTGGAGGATGGAATATGTAGTGATGCAATAAAAGAACACAAGCGAGTCGTGACAAAACGAGTGTCTAGAGACACACACAGCGAGTTAGCATCATCACATTCATATAGACACAAATATTGTCGTCGTTCTTTCTCTTCTCTTCACTGATCCTTGACCATCAGCCTTTCGAATTGCTGGACCGTCATATTAGGGAGGTTCTTCGCCCAGTCTTGAATGTACTGCCGGACCTTGTGGTAGTTCTTGCCGGAGTACTTCTTCGAGAAATGCTCGTGTTGGACGCCTTGGTCTCGATCCCGTATAACATAGTCCACCATCTTGTGCGCAACTGGGATGATGTCCGTTTGGGAATGCCCGGCAAAGCGAACGAGAGATGGGGTCTAATATGACACGTCAGACAGTCATAGAACATAGAAGTAAGAGTCATTACCCAACCGCCCCGTTTGAGGATATGGCGGGAAAGCCATATTGATGCTGCGCTCGCCAAGCTAGGGGGTACAGTGATCATGTTCCAATCGACACTGACCATCTCGACGAAGTACTTGGCCACCGCCCTAGATTGAACATCGTATTTGTCAGCTTTGCTAGCGCGACGCAGGAAGCTCATTGGACCGGGGTAGGAGAGGTCGAAATTGATGCTCTTGAGGATATACGCCTCGGCCACAAGGATGGCATGTTCATCGTAGCCGTCGTCGCAACACTTCACAAGGTCAGACACCATCGGATAGCTTATCTCCTCGTACTTTGCAGCGAGGTAGAGGGAAGCAACGCCAACGAGCTGGAACTTGACTAGGGATACGGTACGGGCAGAGAGGAAGCGGTCGACGATATTGATACAAAGGAACAAGGTCTCGGGTAGAAGCTTGAGAGTAGCGTGAATCTGAACGAGCCAATCGACGAGCACGTCTCGGAACGACCATGTCAAATCCTTCTGCCTGTCCATGTAGTGAGGGTCGGGCATGTTTTTCAACTGAGTCGCGGTGAGCGATTGAGATACATGCGCATATATGCAGCACCCACCTCGGACTTCCTGAGATACTCGAAAATTTCCTGAGCGTACTCGCTGACATACACGGGGTCGGGGTCGCCGTCCTCGATGTCAGATTCTGGGATGATAGGCTCGGGGGGTAGCACCTCGACCTTGACCTGATTGAGGGTTAAGAATAGGATCTCATTGTGCAAAAGTCTCTCACCTTCGCACTGACAATCTCCCTGCTGACCCCAGTGGCCCTTGAGCTAGAGGCCGCACCGGGTACTCTGCGTTTGACATCGCGCCGCGTGTCGACGGCATTCTCTATCACCCTAGCCCGGGGGTGACGGGGCTGTAGGGCGTCAGTCTCATCCGCCTCCATGCTGCTAGTGCGACGCTTCTTGACGGCAGCACCTTCATCTTGTTCATCCTCCTCGGCAGCAGGTTGCGGGATAACAGGTCGTGGAGCAACAAGAACCTTGCTCCTACGCACGGCCGCATTGCCTGCAATGGGTCGGGTTGCGGCTGTCGTGGCCGCAGTTGCAGTTCGTGCACGGAGGGGTTGACGAGCCGCTGCCGTTGCTGTTACCTTCACCGGTGGGAGTATGTTGGACGTAGCAGTTGACGAGGTGCCCGCTGAGAGGCGAGCGGATGTACGGCGAGGGACTTGAGGACGAGTGGGAACGATCGTCAGGTCCTCAGGCGAGTCGATATCCATCGCATCCGCATCACCCTCCGCTTTATGAACTTCTTCAGGAACATGCGGTACGGGTGCGGGTGCTGGGTTCTCTCTGACAGTCGTGGTATTGGAGCGAGTCCGACGTGCCGGAGGACGGATGGCAGTTGGTTGAGGATCAGCGGACGCTGGACGAGGTACACCCACGGCAGGATTTGCAGCTCGTTGGCGAGCAAGCAGTGCTGTGCGGGTAGCAACTGTACTAGGCTTGGAAGCTGGCTTCACCTCTGGCTTCTGGAGGCCTTCCGCTCTCTCGTCCTTGCTGCCACTCGGCCCAGTATTAGTGACCGGTCCCAGAGCCGTACGCTTCCTGACTGCTGCAGTAGCGGTAGCCTTTGTCAGGTCAGTGAGAACGCTCTTTCCTGCAGCTGCTGAAGATGTTGACCGAGCTCGAAGACCGGTGTTCTGGTCCTTTACGCCCGTGGTGGCAGCGCGTGCAGCGCGGGCTGCGGTAAGGGATGGGACTGCGTTCTCGTCACCTACGAGATGCTGAGGGGGGAGGCGTGCCCTCCTCTATGAGTTAGGGTATAATTAGAATAGAACATTGTCTGGGGGTGGATGGTCCCACGCACGTTGATAGCCGTCATGATGTATCGCCTCTATATGTTGTTGGGTGGGATAGACGACACAGATGTAGGTTGACGGGTAGGGGTATACACGCCTGGATTAATGTGGTGGAATTGAGGGTGAGGGGGGGTGAGAAGGATGATGAGGATGTAATGGAGGAGGAGGAGGAGGAGGAGATGAACGTCGTCGTTTGAAGCAAGTCCCACGCCCTTGTGTTCATTTCCTCTCCAGCTCGTCACATCTCTCACACTCACGGAATCAAATCAAACGCGACGACCGCCCAACACGTACTCACGTGATCGCCTGACTTTCACAGCGTGATCACACATGCATCCGTCATTCGCTCCCGGCGACGCGTTCCTTGTTTGGTGGCACTTCACTTGGTACAATCAGTGGATAGCGTGGCTTTCCAATGAGCCAAGAGGAATATTAGCAGACCTTCAGCACTTCGGATTTGAATCATTATACAGAACAAGACCTTACAGGCATATCGTGCTTTACAGTAACTAGTAATCTGGTTCCTCTTTGATCCTCATCTCCTCTTTGATCCTCGTCTCCTTGATCCTCTTCACATTCTTCTCAAGTACCGGATACGGGCGGTACCTGTCCGGCGGTGGGTGGGGTGAGCTACCTAGGTATCTTGAATGGGGGGCAGGTGGAGTAGGCCCGGCCTGAGGAGATGTTGCTTGTACTGGAACGGGAGGCACATGGATGGTTTCGATGACAACTCGCGTTCGGCGCGGTGCCACGGGAGAAGACTTGGCAGATGTGATCGGGACCGGAATCGCTGGAGGTCTAGTGACAGCTTGTGGGGTTCGACTGCGCACCGGGGAGCACGGTTCTTCCTCAACTGGTTCATCAGGAGGCGCCCTGCTGATGACGGAGGAGCACCTTCCCGGGATGGGAGCATGATTTGCTAACCGCTCTTCGGAGTTCGGAGCAATGTTCTTCCCTGTGATTGAGTCGAACCAACGCTCTACTTCATACCTGCCAGCAGAGGAGATGAAGCCTCTTTCCTCTAGAGCCGAAGCAACGTGTTTCGTCCAATGATGGCATGGACATTGTTCCAAGGAGACCAGCCGGTTAACGAATAGACGACGATGGACAGAATCGATGATTTTCTCGCAAAGAACATGATTCTGGGAAAGGGCAGCATCACGTTTGATGTGTGAAACAGGGAGGGTGTGTTCCGGCCAGGCGTCATCGTACGCACATGGTCTGTCGACCTTGTAGGCTTTGTTGGGCGGAAACGGCTGGCTTACTCTGTAAACTTGCACATCCAGCTTTTTTTTCCCAAAGTATCATCAGGTATCCGAAATGATAATGAGTTTTCTCGATGCCAGTCTTTGCATCTCGTTCAAGAAATGTGTCAAGGAGGGCGAGATACAGAGTTAAAGCGACGTGACCGCTGGGTTCGACCGGGAGGTTGGCGCAAAGCAAGGTGGGACGGCGATTGTATGGCATATATGCGTCGCTATATAGCCTAGAGTATAAGATTGGCTGCAGTGGGTTGTATAAGTGGACGTACTGCATGATTATAGACAGTTTTCTGGGTATCTTGAGATCCCGATGGTCGGTTGGTGGGGCCAAACCATTGCGAACTGAGGCCACTTTATACCGAAAGAAAGAGGGGCTTCACAATCCCATCAATAGATAGAAATGACATTGCCGCTAGTTCGCCTTCGTTGGGAGCTCGGCTAGGCATGGTAGAGAAGTAATGGGCCCCGGCAAACCAAGCTTCAAGGGCAGAGTCCTCGGTGTCAGGTTCAAATCACCTCAGGCGGCTCTATTTGAGCGTCAAGATGACTACGTGAACGCGACAGGTAAGCGATGCAAGATCACACTCATCCGGTTGAAGACTCTGAGAGAGAAAGAATTGAAGTAAAGGGTACAGTAACTTTTGTCCTTCTCTTCAATGGTCCAAAAGCATCCGCCTTACTTTCAGGGTCGCGCCTTCTTTAGTTTGCCTCCCAACCACTACGGTATGGACCGCAACGCCGAACCGCAGGTGAGCATCAATTATCCAGCGTTGATGAGCGCTTGGTTGATGAAGTCGTGGTCGCAGGCGCCGCCATTGAAACCGCCGTTGTGGTCGACAGCTGCTGGCGACCCGACCGAGGGACTGAGCCTCGAACAACTGCGGCAGTGGTACGAGGAGCGTGCCGAGAGTCGGCTAAAAGGACAGTATGAGAGCACCGTTAGGGGTATTGTAGAACTGGTGCGTACGATTAGGGCGTGAATGTTATGAGAGGCTGACACTGGCACGCAGCTCGAAGACGCCAGCAGCGCACCGTTGCGACTCACTGCGCTGCGGATTACTGCCCCGCATACGAGTCAGGCGTTCCTTGACAACCTGCTTTCTCCCTACCTCGGATCTCGGAAAACCTCGGACTCTCCGTACTCAACAGTTCGCTCCGTTTTAAAACAAACCCGGGATGTGACCCAAGCTCTCGCTGCGACCAGCATATTCACCTCTCTCCAACCGACACTCGTCCGCTCCCTATCTCCGCTGGCAGAAACAGGCGATGTCGAGCTCCTTGTCGTAGCGAAAGGACGGTCGCGTCGTTTTTTAAAGGGAGAAACAAATGTGGGCAACTCAGAGGCGTCCGGCTCGATCTCGGGCAAGCTGTTCAACACCCTGGGATGTGGAGACTCGCTCTCCGTCGTCGTCTCCACCGGCACGCGTACAAGAAGAAGCACGGAGATCAGCTTCGACCAGCCTCTAGTAAGCCTTGCAAGGATACTGCCCGGTGCGAGAGCCGGAGGGAATGGTAAGCCTGGGTGGGAGCTGAATACAAGAGGTGAAGGTGGGCTTTGGGAGTATGAGCGCGACTGGACGGGCTGGGCTGGGTGCTGGGAACGACAGCGTGGGGCAAAAGCCGGCATCTCTGTTCGTATATCTCCCTGCGTACTTTATTTCAACTAACTTCTGTGCAGACTCGCACCCTGCTTGGTCACCACACCCTAGCATACACGCTTGTCTCCCGCCAAATTCATACCCTTGCACCCACCGCCTCCCTCTCAACCCGTTTAGCCGCAGGGACAAACATCAAATCCTCTTTCACACACACTTTACAAAACTCGGCCCCTAATTGGAGCTACCGTTTGGCACAGGAAGTTGCTGGCCTGGCCGGGGACGCAAAATTCGTTCGGCTAGAAGCAGACTTCTCGCGAGCCATACCCCTCACTACCAATCTTGTACGTCCCCTCTCCTAATCCAGGACGAGCGCTGATTCAAAGCAGTCTACTTCTTTCACTGCAAGAACGGCGTTCATCCGCCCTCTGTCCGAATCTCCTGTCCCCTTGTCCGACCGCGCTTTCCTGGGCGGGCCCACCTCAGTCCGAATGTTCCGCATGAACAACATGGGCCCACACGACGGTTGTTCGTCCCTTTCCCCCTGCACTTTTGTCCCTAGTCTCATTTCTCTACAGTGGACGCAACCGGTGGCGAGCTCGCAGCCTCCGCGGGTCTCTCCCTGTTGGGCAATTTCCCCGGCCGTGCCCTTTTCTGGCCTCTTCAATGGCAGCTCTTCGTCAACAGCGGCACTCTGGGCCGCCTACTCCCAGGCGACGACCTTGCCACCGCTGTTCGGACTACCCTTTCCCGGCCCTCTGTATCAGTCGGCCTCGGGCTGGTGGGGAGGATGGACCCCATCAGGGTGGAGTTCAATTTGGGAGTACCGCTGGCTGCGGCGAAAGGCGAGGGCTTGGCAAGGGGCTGGAGTGTAGGCATTGGGCTTGAATTCCTTTAGCTTAAATAGAAGTTAATGTGATGTCCTTTGAAGTGAGTTGTACGGTGTAAGCTGTAAGATGGATGAGATGAATGAACAAATGTATGCATTACATTAGGTGCTCTTCTGGTGCGGCCAGCACCAGAACGTATTATGCTGTGAGAACACAGCTGTTCAATACAGCCTCTACAAATCCTGGAACCTGCGATCCCTTTTCTCCACGCGTATCCAACAATACGACTTCCCACCCGTTTCTCAAGGCGGTCATCGTGCCCTCACCAAGAGCTCTCCGCCCTTCTTCGCCCTCACCGCATCCCTAATCTCCATCCAAGCCTTCCTGCCCCTCCCATCCTTCGTCTGTACTACCGCAATCTCTCCAAACATCATTGGGCGGACATACTTTGCCCTCCTTCCGATCGTCAGGTTGTACAGGTCGTCCCACTCGCAGAAGATACGTTTGCTGGGGTGGGAAATGAGTTCGACAGAGCCAAGGACAGAGATGTCGTCTCTGTACTTGAGCTGTGCCCAGATACGTCGGTCTTGTTCTGATGCGGTAAGGAATGACGTTGGTTCTGTGGAGTCTTTGGTACCCCGTGAGAGGGAGAGGAGGAAGCCGTGTCGCAGGAGGAGAGAGAGGATTGCGAGATTCTCGGCGGTGTAGCGTAACGGGACGAGCGAGTGTCGTGCTTTGAATGCGTTGGAGAGTGTTGAGCAGAGTACGTGTGGCAACATTCTGCTCTAGAGTACTTCTCCGATGTTGAAGAAAGGACGTCGACGTCCAGTCGAAGGATGACTCTTCAATGAAAGGATAAAGAACAAAAGTTGACTTTCACAAGTTTTGCTTCCGACTTCAACGCCCTCTCTTAGGCACACACGACCACAGAGCGATGAACACGTCCTTATAACGCAAATTTATCTCTTACCCATATCTACCATGGCCCCGCCTGTATTTATCCTCGACAACGGCGCGTCGACGATCAAGTGCGGCTTTGCGCAGCTCAACCCCAAGCCGCGGCTGATTCCCAATCGTGTCGCTCGTCTCACGAAGGGCTTCCGGCAGCTCTTCATCGCAGATGAGCTCGAGAAGTGTACTGCTTGGGAGGACCTGCATTGGAGAGTGCCATTTGAGAGGGTGCGTTGTTTGAACATGAGCGATCGGGAAGCGCTGATGACGGACAAAGGATAGGGTATACTCACCAACTGGGATATCGAGAAAGTTGTTTGGGACCGCGTCTTCTCCCCTGCTGTTATGAACGTCCGTCTTTTCACGACTTTGGTGAGAGCATCGTGATGATGGAATACCAGGTTGATCCAAGAGAATTATCACTACTGGTCACGGAGCCACCATTGAACCTCCCCAATGTGGCAGCGAGTTATGACCAGATGGTATTCGAGGAATACGAATTCGCGTCCTACTTCCGATGTACCTGTACGCAACCCGCATTCTTCCTCTTACTCCCGCTAATATTTCAATCTAGCGGCGGCGCTTATACCCCATGGAAAGTTATATGGTCCGAAAATGCCTGATGCTGCCATTCTCGTCGAATCCGGGCACTCGTTCACCCACGTCACACCTCTTCTCCGCGGTGTCCCCGTTCCTGCTGGTATCCGACGGTCCGTCCCCTTCCCACATCGTATATTTTTATACTGATGGGCTTGTGTAGGATCGATATTGGTGGGAATATGATGACGAATCATCTCAAGACAATATTGTCGTTTAGACAGTTTGAGATGATGGATCTAGGCTGGGTGGTGCAGGATATAAAGCATAGATTATGCTACGTCTCTCAAGATTTCAAGGCCGATATCGAAGCTGCACAGTGAGTATCCCTATCCAGAGATCATCGAATCTTCGAACTGACCTATGTAAAGCATCACACAATCTAAAGGCGCCGACGGGAAGATTCCGCCCAATCCCCTCTCGCGTTCCTACGTTCTTCCAGACCTCGCTGCCGAGATGCTCGGTCACTCCCTCCCTACTGGCCGTGCCCGCTCTCCAACGCATCCCGACCACCCCACGGTATCTCTCACCAACGAGCGATTCTCCATCCCCGAACTGCTCTTCCACCCTTCCAATATCGGTCTCCCTCAAGCCGGCCTGGCAGAATGCGTCCAGCAAGCGATCGCTGCCCTGCCTGAGGAGGCAAGAGCGCTTGCATGGTATAACATAGGCGTCATAGGTGGGAGTACGATGTTCAACGGGTTTTGCCAGAGGCTGGAGAGCGAGATCCGCCGGAGAGCACCCACCCACTTTCGGGTTGTGATCCACCAGGCTGAAGAGTGCGTGTTTCCAGCCCCATCTGTATTGTATGTACTGAACAGATGTCCGTCCAGCCCAATTACGTGCACGTATACTTCTGCTGTGCCATTCGCACAGTCGAGACAGTACCACCAGCTGGCGGTCACCAAACAGCAGTATGAAGAAGTAGGGTCTTCGGGACTGAGACGGCTATTGGCAGGCGACAAGCGCGCGTCGCTCACGCCTGTGCCTGCTAGTTCCAAGCGGAAAGCTGAACTCTTAGAAGAGGATGAGGATGAGGAGGACGGAGCGCACGCTACCGAGGAGGAAGACGAAGAGGAGGTGGTACCAAAGCGCGCAAAGGCGCGTGCAGGACGACGGGTGTCCGGCGCGGGCAGGGCCGGTATAGGGAAGAAGAAGTCTGCCTCTGCCTCTGGCTCGGGCACACCCTTGCCTCCTACCCCTGCTCCTGCTCCTATCCCTCTTGCCGCGCACGGCAGACAGACGCGGTCGCGCGCCAAAGCGGGCTGAGCGGCTGACGACCCCATTTGAGTCACTGCTGTTGTAATACTACAGTTTACTGAGATCGGATATTCGTCCGGTGATTCTTGTGTCGTCCCGAGCCAACAAAGGAAGGCAGGGCAATGCAAGTCGCGTGAGGCACGAGGGTGGCACGCGGCAGTTGTTGGTAGGATTTATAGCGGACTGGGGCCCCACACTCTGCCTGTACTGTATCATCCCCACATTTCACAGCATTGGCGTGGGTTGAGAAGCATGTACGACGAACGATATGCCACACTGAGGGAGAGTTATGCCCAGCTGGGCCTGAAAGAGGTGTGCTGCGCTTCCCTCCGCGAACACACCGTGCTTCACGCTAACATCACCCGCGGTGCAGGGTGCCTCGTTAGACGTCGTCAAAGCCGTGTACCGTACACTTGCGCTCAAGCTCCATCCAGACAAGAACCCCAGCAACCCCAATAGCACACTCCAGTTCCAAGCTCTGAGCGACGCGTACGAACGGGTCATGGAGCACATCCTTGGTGCACCGGTAAATGTTGGCGGTGCTGGGAGTGGGTTTGGCCCGCCGAATGGGTTTTATAATTTTGGTATGAGAGGAGGGAGAGGGCCCGCTAGACCGACTGGACAAGGACAGGGACAGGGAACGGGGAATGGGGGCCGGTGAGGGCGGAGAAGACGCACATGAGATACCCATCCGTTCGACATATCTTTGTGACATTAGGTTGGTTGTATACCCTATTGTATTGTCAACCTTCATGAATTTTCAATGTTGTAATGTATAATTCAGTGTCAACAATCGTTGTATCATGACTCAATCATCAGCATAGTTCGGAAGCGAGGTTTGTCCGAGCACACTCTCGTCACACTCCTGAAGCGCGCCTGACTTGAGCGCCCAACATGGCACCGTCCGCCGACCCACCCGCCACGACGAACGGCGCATCAACCTCCAAGGAGCCTCTCACGCTATATGAAGTATCGACACAATACAAACACTGGCGGTTCACTCCGTCGCAGCTCGAGCAACGTCGCCGGAGCATGAACGAAGTTGCTGTCAACGCAATACGGCAAGTGCACGAAGCAGAGGAGGTCAGCCCTTTCTCCCCTCACACCTCCACAGCTCATCCTTTATCAGGAAGGATCTAGTTCTCGCATATCGTTCTTGACATTTGAGGATGAGCTGCTGCTTGTCAAGCAGTATTTGACTACGATCCCGAAGATGTGCAAGCTGCACCAGTTTCCGGAAGAGGTGGAGGCTACAGCCATGAGCTTCTTGAAAAGGTTTTATCTCAAGAACACCGTAATGGATTGGCATCCCCGCAATGTCATGTGCGTGCATTGAGTATCCGTAGGCGCGGCCGTACTGACGACGTGCAGGCTGACAGCCATATATCTCGCTACGAAAACAACGAATAACCCGATGGCTGTGGATCAATACGTCGCAAGCATACCCCGAACAACGCCAAACGACGTGCTGGAACTAGAGTTCCTAGTCGCGCAGAGTCTGAACTTCCAGCTGGCAGTATGGGGTGCGCATCGGGCAGTATGGGGAATATGGCTAGATCTACAGGTGTGTCGCGTGCAAGATGTACGTGGAATTTGGACTGATCGCCCACAGACGCTCCCGGACTGGAACAAGAACGAAGCGCAGGAGTCATTTAATCTCGCACAAGAGCACGTCAGCGCTTCCCGCCTCACCGATGCCGAGTTCATCTACGCGCCGTCCCAGATCGCCGCTGCCGCTTGGCACCTCGCAAACCCGTCATTACTAGAGAAGTGGCTCGCGGCGAAGAAAGAGTCTGGCGCTCTACCCCTGATCAGGGAAATTGGGACGTTGATAGAGAAGGAAGGTAATGCGCCGGATTTGGCTGTGGCGAAAGACGTGGATGCGAGGTTGAAGATATGCAAGAACCCGGAGAAGGTGGAAGGGAGCAAGGCGTACGTGACTGCTCTACCTTTCTGCAGTTCCATGCTGATTGAGTGCAGGTACTTACGCCGACTTGCGACTGAGGAGGAGGAGGCAGAGGAGAAACGTAAGAAGAAAGCTGAGCGAGCTGCAAAGGCACTTGCGGAAGATCCTTTTGCGTCGGAGCCACTCACTGGTGTTGTGCAGAATGGGACGAAGATCAGTAACGTGGACATGGAGGATGATGATTGATCGTATTTGTAGGCCGATTGTACGATATGCATGAATGTTACAATAACAGCATTCCCCTGGAAATACTTGCATTCCGGATATGGACTTGTTGTCAACTTGCTACACATCATTATCCGCTGGTGATTTGGGCCTCATGAGAAAATGATCACTCTTCGGCTCCTACCGTTTTACATTCGTCTTGTGTCCCGGCCCCCTTCCAACGGAAATCGGGACTTCTCGAAGTGATAGTTCGGGATTACGCCGCAAACGCTCAGGATTTATGAACAAGGAGCTCTATTAATATATTAACACTCGGTGATCGGATAAAAAGAAGCCTGGGAGTTTACCGGAACCGACTCCGGTTAACGGACTGCCACGTGCTGCTAACGATGAACCGCAGCAAGCTCCGGGACTTTTTTCTTCCACCCGACACAAGCAAGCGATATCATATCTCATACCTGACGACTGGAAATCACCAGGGCTATCATTTATCAGATCTGTTCTGGAATAGAACTGCGCAGTTCAACCAGTAAACTGCTACGAATAACGTATCCCGACCTCTTGTTAGCAAATTTTCTCTACATCATCCAATGGAGGGAGCCGGGTTGCGCAGCTCAGACTTGTGCACGTTAATCTCAGACAGGCTTCACGGGAATCTCTGCGTCTTATATGAACAGATTCCTGGGCGCTGATCGCTTTCCCGGAACGCTGCGGACTTCCCTGCGTGACCTGAGGCAGGCCAGACTTTCTTGACAACTCCAGGTTTGATGACGAGGGGACGTATAGACGTACGATCTTGCTGCGCAATATGTAGGCTACCCCTGGCTCATTGGGATCCCGCTGACTTGTCTCCCAAAGAAGGTTGCGTATATAGCAGAAGGTTCTGATGCATTCAGTCGCCGCAACTGCATATCCGTTTCTCCCCTCTTCATCCCAGCACGAATCTACGAACCCCACGAGGATGAAAGCCACTTTTATCGTTCTTTCTCTCCTTGCCTTAGCCCATGCACATGGCGCCCTGTATGGACGCGAGCTCGAGGCACACTACAAACGACAAGCAGCTGTTGGCCAGTGCAGCTCCTCTCTTCGAACTCGTCAGGCTTTGCGCATGGACCGCATCGATTCCCGTCGATCCACAATCCTCGGTTCGGGAAACTATCAACGCGGTGACTCCTCGGTTGGCACAATCTCCAGCTTTGCCGACGTTCCTTCCGGAAGTCTTCCTCAGTCCTTGTCGGCTTCGGGCACAGTTCTTTCCAATGGTCCCGGTGCCGGGTCCGCCATGCCGAGTGCCATAGGCGGGAACATGACGGCAGGTGGTGGTGCCGGCGGGATGGGCGGCAGTGCGGAGACGACATACTCCCCAACCGGCACTGTCTATAGCACGTTCAATTCCACTCTTACGCTTCCCTTCGCTTCAGCTATCGCCACAGCTGCGCCAGCTTCAGCCACAACCCAGGCTTCGGATGGTGCATATGCCCTCAGCCCGATCCAGGAGGAAGGGCCGTATTACATCCCTGGGGAGTTGATTCGCAGCGATGTGGTGGAGAACCAGACCGGTGTGCCCTTCTACATCGAATTCTCAGTCATTGATATCAACACCTGCGAGCCTCTTGTGGGTGCTGCGGTTGATATCTGGAGCTGCAATGCCACGGGTTGGTTGTCCAATCAGCGCTTATGCCAGAAACTCACGTACTATCAGGAGACTATTCTGGTTTCTCGGAATCTGCGGCGACTTCCACTGGTCCTGTTGGAAACAACTCCAGTGCGTCCACCGATACTTCCAACGAGCCTTTCAGCGGAGAGCTCCTCCACGTCGGCGATCAGAACGATGCTGGCTCGACAATCTTAGATTCGGAAACCTTCCTTCGTGGCATGCAGATTACGGACGGTGATGGTAATGCTTACTTCACCACCATTGTACCAGGCTGGTATTCGGGCCGAGCGCCACACATCCACATGAGAGTCCACGTTGGTGGAAACCTGACAACAAACGGTACCTATGTCGGCGGGAATTTGACGCATACCGGTAATCCCGCCTGTCCTTTCCGGATGTAGTGTGCAGTGCTGACGTTATTCACAGGTCAAACATTCTTTGGTGAGGATCTTTATGCGCAGATCCAGAATCTCTATCCATACACCGAGGACCATGCCGTGCGCACGACCAATGATGAAGATCGTCCCTGGACCCAGCAAAACGGGACATATGCTGCCTGGAATCTCTTTTACGTGGTGGATGGTGACGTCAAGTCAGGTCTGATTGGTGTTCTCAACCTTGCAGTGGACTCTACTGCTACGGATCAAGAAGGTACGCTGCTTGTTCCATATTCCATATGCCTTATCCGGATGGGATCTTGTAGGTGTTGTTGTTAGTGGCGGCAACATGTAAGGAATACCAGATGCTGGAGTTTGTTACTCTGGCGAATGCACTCTCTTTATGACGAAAGTATCCCCGGGAGCTGGTAACGATTCTTGACGGAGAATGTCAATGTCAAGTGACGCAGCCCTACATGTACTGTTGGTGCAGAGACTCCGGTTTTGTTTGGTTGTGCAGCACACCCATGCTAATGATCAATGTCTCAGATAGATTGGAGATATGTGCTCTATGCATACAGATGCTAAGGTGCGGGCAATGTCCTTGATAATAATACCGACAGGCGCCCGCGCCTGGTCTTGTTCATGAGGATGATCGATAACACCATCACTCCCATATTGTCCTCTGTAATCCCAAACAGCCGTAGCTCCGGGCTAACCTCCGGTGTAGCCCATCTGTACTCCGCGGCTTTGACCCTTTCCGGTGCATCGGTAAGCTGGACAGAGGTTCAGTGAGGACGTGCACGCTGATTCTGGCATGTGGGCGTACCATAGATTTGCCACGACGCTGAAGCTCATACCACCTCCACAACTCTTCCTCCAGCCTGAAAGTTACACAACTAAACCAGCTAGGTAAGCGATGAGAGTGCTGTATAACCACGAGTGAAGGTACTCACTGCAACGAGAATGTACGTTCCCACTGAAAGAGGGAGACCTCGTCACCAAAGATGAAGACCATGTCATTGTCCCCATCGATATCCCAACGGATCGAAGCAAATACAGCCCAAAGACCACTCGACCTATCATACGTCTCGAACGCCCCGAAGCGCTCATTCATGAAAGGGGCCTTGGTGCTCCTAACCCGATATCGCGGGATGCCGTCCTCGGTGATGCTTGCATTGTAGGGATCCTCAGACGAAAACATGAGCACATTCGAAAAGCGTGACATGTAGGGGTATCCCGCATGGAGATAATGTTGCCCTGTCTGAGCGGGACATGATTGCGAGTTTATGTAGCAGATGTTGGCGCCAGGTAGCAGGATGCTGACGTTGAGGTGACCTTGCTCTTGACGTGCGGAAGCCACGTGGTGCGGGAAGACTACCGGTACACCCCGAGGGTGTGGCTTCATCCTTCGTCCTTCGCTCGAGGATCTCTCTTGCTGCTTGTCCGCAGCGGACGAGTACCCGAAGGGAAAACGGCATTGTCCTACATGAAGCGTGACGGATGTCCCGCTATACCCCTTGCGCAAGAGTGGACATGTCTGTCCCGGTGGAGAGCGCCGATTCTTCTAGCACGTTTCAGCGACTTGTAGGCATACTCTCACGGAATCGAATCCAGTCAGACTTCATAGAGGGATAGGGACTCATGACAAAGTCCTACTATTGCCATCAGCCGGAAAAGAGTAACGGTCGTTGTGCCGCGAGTTGGAATCTCCGAGACATTCCCCGACGCTCACAATGCACCAACATCTGGAGGATAAGCAGTCAGTATGTGACACACTCCCCTGTCCAATGGAGCACCGGATATATGTGGCTAATAAATATTACTATTTGATCAGTACGCCGCAGCACCGGATATGAAGTTGTGGCCCGTCGGGATCAGAAGCCTCTGGAAGATCGTCGTTTGGCGGTCTCCTCAAAAGACACCTTCGAAGACATACTTAGACAGTGGTCACAGGTTTCCACTTTCCATGAGTTGATATTGATATTGTTGCAAAAAGTGAAGCTCAGCCACAAGTTGGCGGTGATATTGTTGTCCGAGTCATTCCCAAAATGATGTCGTCAGACCGAGTCACCTATCCGGTCCCTTGTACCCAACTCGACGGAAACAACACCGGAAAACCGGTATGGAGTCATACTCCACGGAAAAGGAAACTTGCGGAAAGAAATGTCCTGCCTTGGTTGTTCAGTTGGATGAGGGGAGCTATGCGCTCCTCGGGCGTATCCTTGCTCCGTTCTTCCAGGAAGTTGGCGTATTTCCCTGTACTTCCCCTTTCTGCCCAGCGGCGCGACAGAGACATTACTCATGCTGGATCATCCCTCTTCGGACTGCGAGCGTCGCATCTTAGTGCCTGGTATCAATGTGCTCCACCGGAAGAATAGTGGGCGATCAGGACGAGGATCCGGTTGCTGAGATGAAGGTTCGCCAAGTTTAACAATAACGATTATCGCCTTTCCCGTAAGGATGACTCCAAGTCCATAGAGAGGTTCATCTGAGGGAGGAAAGTGTATAAATGAAACGCCTTGAACACGCAGAAAGAGCACCCACAACACGCTCCTCTCTAATACCGACTCCTCCCTACCAGTACCCAACTTTCTTCGTCGCCCATTACTGCACACCTCAATTTGGTAACTCACCTTTACTGTATAACCACAAACATGTTCAACACCTGCAAGAAAGACTTCACCACCGGCCGTGTCCGATTCTTGATCGCGGCAGTCGCCGCCCTCGCGCTGTTCGTCCCTACCCCGACTCCTACATTCGGGCTCGTTCCCAAGAGCACCACGACCGCGACTGCCGATGGTTGCCAGGGGCCGTTATGTGACGATGCGGCCACTACGGCCAGTACGGATACCCCTTGCCAAGGGCCATACTGCGATGACATCCTCCTCCCAACAACATCTACGCAGTGCCAAGGGCCATATTGCGATGACATTCTTCTCCCAAGGACGGCTACGCAGTGCCAAGGACCGTACTGCGACGACATCTTGCTGCCCACCCCGGACACGCAGTGCCAAGGCCCCTACTGCGACTAATTTGACGGCACTACGATTTAATAGCAGGATCGACAAGCTATCTTCATCTTAATCAGCTTAATCGTATTGGAAGGAAAGAACTCACTCTGTAATATTTATGCATACGCCTCTACTCGGCACTGTCATCTGCTCCCGATCCACTCGAATTAATCCACTCGTCGGCATATTATCCAACGGCAGGAAATAATCCACTCATTCCCGATCCACTAGACCTAGTCTACGCCGTCAGCATCTTAATCAACAGGAAGGAACCCACTCACCATTAATCTCCACAGCACGTCTTCCGGTCCTCTCGAACCTTCCATATGCTACATCCTCGTTTTGTCAAATCTCGCTTCCATCGTTACTCACCTCCTATGCCACTCGGGCACCACCATTCCCTACTGTACTCTCACGCTCCTTTTGTACTGTTGCATCCCCACACTCCTTCGTGTTGTTGTACCACCAGTACGACCAGTTCTGTCGTAGCCCTCCACATGGGGGCATAGTATACCCGGTCAATGATACCATGTTCTGCATGTATAACATAGCATTGAGCGCGGCCCCGGGTACCGAACGGACCAGACGCTCAACCCGGCTCAGCAGGTAGAGCAGTCAAGCAGCTGTGAGGATATCCACACGTTGGGTTTTGAATGATAATGTCTGCTCACTCGATGGGATAGGAACGCCAGTTTCCAATTGAGGACAGAGAGAGAGCGTAGCATCTCGCCGCACCTCGTAGAACCGTCGTACACGGGTTGTCGTAGACCATCAGGAAGGACGAGTTCCGTAGAAATACATTTACTCGAGCCGTTAGCGTCCACAGGCGCGGATCAATCTGCCACTTGTGAAGAGATCGGGATCTCATGGAACCGCCGTGTGCGCGGGTTGTCGTACACCATCAGGAAGGTCGAACTCCGTAGAAAGACAAGTTTGCTCGAGCCGGTAGCGTACACATGCGCTATCAGTCTGCACTTGTGTCCCGTGTTCGGGAGATAGCATGCACAGAAAAAGCTTGCGAACGGTCGAACTCGCTATGTCCGATCAGTTGGAGCACAGCAGCCCAGAGTGGTATATACTCCAGGGTACTGTAAGAAACTGCAGCTGGTAGACCATTAGGTATGGGATAAGATCGGCAAGGACTTACCGAGCTGCGCTGATCCTGAGTGATAACGTACAGCACTGGAAGAACAGAGAGAGTTCCGGGGGGAGGGAGTTCTTGATACGAGGGGCGGAGGGTGGAGAGGGTGATGTGGGCAGAGAAAGCCGATGTAGGGGATGGGAAGCAGAGAGGGTAGGGAACAGAATGGACTGAACGAACAGAGGGGGAGAACGAACAGCTCCAACAGTCAGCAGTCAGCAGAGCCAACAGTCGACAGTCAACAGCCAACAGATCAAACAGCCAACAGATCAAACAGCCAACAGATCAAACAGCCAACAGATCAAACAGCCAACAGATCAAACAGCCAACAGATCAAACAGCCAACAGATCAAACAGCCAACAGAACCAACAGAACCAACAGAACCAAGCACAGTCCCAGGCCCCAAGACGTCAACAACAGAACCAGAAACAGAAACAGCAGAACCCCAAAGCGAGCAGTGACAAGCAAGTAAGCAAGTAAGCAAGTAAGCAAGTAAGCAAGCAAGCAGGCTATTCCTTCCCTTCCGCCCATCCCGCCGGTCCACCGTCCCACCGTTCCATCAACCAAAGCAGCACATCCTATCAGCGCACATCCCGTCAGGTCGCTTCCCAGAGGTTATAAAACAATCAAGTACTGGACTCGTGTGCCCACGTCAGCCGCACAGGTGGACACTATCAGGGCCAGTGTCAGCCAGCGCCAGCATTAGCGCGCACAAGCGCCATAGCTGTCCAGTCTGTGTTCCAGTCTGTGTTCCAGCGTGTGCAAGCTCAAGCTCCTGCCTGTGTCTGTGTTTGACGGGCGGCAAAAGAGGGCGCTTGGATCACGTGCTATGGGAGTATAGGGTCTGGGGGATGCTGACTCTTCTCTCCTCTCCCTCCACTCTGCGCTCCTCTCCTTGCTGTCCTCTGCTGTCCTCTGCTCCTCACTCGTCTGTTCTGGCTGTGCCCTACCCAAGGCGTACGTTACTCCCAGCCCGTGTGCAAGCTATCCCTGTGCAGCTCTTCGGATCAACAGGACCGTCCTGCGTACTCAAGCAGCACACCGCCAAACGACGTAGCGCCGGTACTCATCAACCATGGGCGTCCACACGCATCACTCCCACCCAAACCCAAACCCAACCCTAAACCCAAACCCAAACTCATACGACCCCCCCCAGCCCACCCCCTCACTGTCGATCCGCCTCTCTCCCTCCCACTCCCACTCCCAGACAGGCCCCGCACTGATCTTGCGAACCTTGGAACTCACTTCCGTTTGTGCGACTTTTTCGGTCACGTTCCCTCCTGCTGCTTCTGCTTCCTCTCCTGCCTCTGTCTCTACTTCCTCTGCCAACTCGCCCGTCTCCGCCAACTCGCCCTCGCCTTCCTCGCTTCAACCGTCACCCCTCACCTCCGAACCCGGCCACGCCCATACGCCCCAGCACCCTCAGCAACCCCGGATCAGGCGGAGCATGTCCCAAACACTTTCCTCCGGGCTATCGATCACTCTCAACAGCCTTCCCTGGCAAAAAGTGCTTGTGCATATCGACGAAGACACGGATGACGAGGCGCTTGTTGTGCTGTATGGGCTATTGCCGGGGAGGGTGTATGATGTTGAGCTGGGGGTGATGGGCTCTGGAGGGGAGAGGGGGAGGGGGAGGGAGGATACTGCCGTGGAGTTGTGTGAGTCTGGTTTGGTTGCACTTGCCGGGATGATACTGATGCAATGATGTGCGGGGTAGATGACTCGGATACGAGTACGGCTGTGGAGGAGTATTCACCTCGACATCGGGCGTTCCCCGGTCGGTCGACTCCTTCCCCTCCGCCGGCAGAAGACGCTCCTCTGCCGACGCTTGCGGACCGACTGCGGAGTTTGGAGCAAACCCGGGCTTTCCTACAGACGCAGCATGAGCACTTGCTGAGCGTGCTCAAGAGTTCTAGGAAAGAGAGTCAGCGGTCGTTGGCCATGTTGCGCGCTGAGCTGGAGGGGATGCGCCGGGCTGCGGAAAAGGGTTTGGGGGGGGACATGCGCGCTAGGCAGAAGGTGTTGGCGTTGCAGGAAGCGGTTCGGCGCGCTGAGAGAGGGGCGAGGGAGTGCGAGGACGAAGCGGGGAGTACGGAGGGAGAGTGGGTTGAGCTTGAGGGTGAGTGTGGGGTGTTGGAGGGAGTTGTGAGGGAGGAAAGGAGGCGGGAAGGAGAGGCACGGCGGGTGATGCAGCAGGCTGAAGAGCAATTGGGGGATGAGGAAGGGAGGGAAGGTGAGCTTGTGGGTGTGAGGCGGGAATGGGAGAAGTGGGAGACGAAGAGGGAGAGAATGGAGGATGTTGTTAGGGGATTGGAGGGAAGATTGGAGCAAGTGCTTGAGGAATGTGAAGGGATTGAAGCGCGTTGGGAGGGAGAGAAGGAAGAAGGGGAAAGTGAAGAGAAGGAAGGGAAGAAGGAGAATGTCAGTGTATGGGGTGGTCTTAGTAGACGATTTTCAACTTCGCATAGTTAGGATGATGCATTGATCACGTGATAAGACAATTTTGTATTCAGTGAAATGTGGGTTGATCGACTCCTTTCACTCTCTCATTCCCTCACTCTGTTGCACTAGTGTGATGTCATGGCGTGTCTCTCTATGTCATATCTCCGTCCACTCTACACAGAAGCAACGTCATCGATACAACGAAGATTAGCTCATCTCTTCCCCCTTTCACATCCAATATCGCACTCAATAGGACGAGCATACCTAGCACATCACGCTGCAGAGACGTTCCCTTCCCCTACCTCCTCCCCCTCCTCCTCCTCAGCACGCCGCACACTCCCCCTCCATCGTTCAGAATACGACTCTTTCAGTCCCACCCCTCTCGGAGATCAAGAAGCAGAAGAAGCGGCCAAAGCCTCCATACTCGACGTACTCATCAACCGCCAACCTACGGACCTTCAGCTCAGATGTACAGTGTTAGATCAGGAGGGGAATATCAAGACTATCTCGGGAAAGTTTAGAAAGGCGGACTTGTGTGTCGAGCATCGGTTGAACGTGCGTCCCCCTTGTTCGCTAACAACACCTGACTTAACCTAACCTAACCCTTCCTATCGTTGCCCAGCCCCGCGATCTAAGAAAAATCGACTCCCGAGTCCCCAACCTCGTGCCTACCATCCTCAGCAGAAAAGACTGCATCCTAGTGAACATCCTACATATCCGCGCTTTGATAAAATGCGACACTGTGCTCCTGTTCGACACGTACGGGTCTGTCGATACGAGGCTGAACAGTGTTTTCCTCTACCACCTGGAACATAACTTGAAGCTGAAATCCTCTGTGCCGTATGAATTCCGAGCGCTGGAGAGCGTGCTCGCTAGTGTTGTCAGCGCCTTGGAGAGCGAGATGGTCCTTACCCGGCAGCTGACCACGGGGTTGTTGACCGACTTGGAAGACGATATCGATCGGGACAAGCTCAAGCGTTTACTACACTACTCTCGCCGCTTAGCCGGGTTCAGGAATCGCGCTAAATTGGTGGACGTAGCGCTGGAGGAAGTACTGGAACAGGACGAAGATCTGGCGGCGATGTACCTTTCTGATAGGAGGAGGGGGAGACCGAGAGAGGCGGCGGATCATGAGGAGCTGGAGGTTTTGCTAGAGTCGTTCGCTAAACAGGTAGAGGAGATCGAGAATGAGGCATCGACGATGATGGTGAGCCGCGTTTTCCCTCCTTGCACGCACTCGGGCACTCGCTCACTCGCTCACTCGTTTAGGGAAACGTCCAATCCACGCAAGAGATCGTCGAGCTCATCCTAGACAGCAACCGGAACGCCCTCCTAGCACTCGACATCAAAATTGCGATCCTCACTCTCGGAGTCGGAGTGTCCAGCGTAGGCGCAGCAATATTCGGTATGAACCTCCGGTCAGCGTTGGAGGAGTCGAGCGTAGCGTTTTGGGCCGTGAGCGGGAGTGCGCTCGTTGCGGCGGGGGTGGTTAGTGCGCTTGGACTGGGGAAGTTGGCGAGGTTGAGGAGGGTGGGGTTGGGGGGAGGGAGGAAGAAGGCTGCGGCTGTCGGTGCGGGGGGGAGGGGAGGGAGGGGAAGGTGGTTGGGACCGCCGCTTAGGGGCTGGGGAGGGGGGAAGGAAGTGAGGAGTCAGTAGAGGGTTGGGTTGGCCTGGAGGGAGGGGAGCAGTTGATCACTGGACTGGACTGGGCTGCACTGGACTGGGCTGCGCTGGAGTTGACCAATGGGTGAATGGGCGACGGACGACGAGCTTGGATGTGGTTGGTTGTTGGTTGGGGGATCCTCCGGGCGTTAGAGCCATATCTGGGGAGGGAAACATGTACTTCTTGTAACAACAAGCACCACTGCTACCTATTACCTGTCTATCTAAGCAGCTAAGTATCTTATCCCCCGTCTCTCATGCGGTCATAACTCCGCACTGGTTAGCCATTCGTCCACGACGTACGACGCACAAGTACCACCCACGCAGCTAGACAACAGGAGGTCATCACTTCCTCCCTCTACGCTGATTGACCTTCCTCTCCGCTTCAGCTCTCGTCATCCCACCCCTACCCCCACCGCCATCAACCTCCCCCTCCCCCTCCCCCTCCCCTTCCCCCTCCCCCTCCCCCTCGCCATCCTGGTCCCCCTCCCTATCCATCTGCAAAAGGATCCGCAGCACCCCTTGCATGTAGTGCTCCATTTGCCACAGCTGGCCTAGGGGGATATCGAGGTGGTCAAAGGCGCATGCGATGTGCGGTTCTTGCGGTTCTGGGAGTTCTGGGAGTTCGGGGAGTTCGGGGAGTTGGGCTTCTGCGGCTTGGGATGCTTCCTGTTGTTGGTCCTGGGGATGGTCCTGTTCCATCGCCGGTGTATCTTCCTGCTCCGGGATAGCCTGCGCCGTCTGTTCCTGCACGTGTACGGGTCGAGAAAGCGCATCCTGCCCCGGCGCGCCCGCCTGATTCAACTGCGGCATCTTAGGATACCTCTGTGAAAAATGCGTCAACAGCGTATTCTCCGCCCTCATCTCCCTCGCCACGCCTATCGCCTGCCCAGCAGTAGAGTGCGTTTTCCTACTGGCGTTCTCCACCTCGTCATCCGCGAAAGTCGCTTCGTGTATCAGGACCCGCACAGCTTGTGCAGCCCGGATCAGCCGGGGGCAGGGGACGGTGTCCGCACTGTAGGCGAAGGAGAACCCGTCTCTCCTTCTGCAGACAAGGGCGTGACAGGGAGCTCGATGGATGACTTCGGTCGTGAGGATCTCTTTCATGTCCAGCTCGGAAAGCAGCTCGGTCGTGTATCGCTCATACCGGGCACGTGCTGCCGGAGGGGAACGACGTGCCGGCACATCGTATTCCGCGTTGAGGAGCGCGTCTGTCTGGATCAGGCGGACGTAAGCCGGATCGTCTATCCCCAAGTCTTCGATCGCGCGTGAGTATTCGGTCAGGTAGCACTCGATATGCCAGTTGGCGATGATATAGAGCGGATTTGGGGGTGGGGAGAGCTTGTGGCGCTGGACGAGAAGCCGCGCTGTGCCCATATGATGGTCGCCGTGGATATGGGAGAGGAAGAGTAGTCGAAGGTCCTTTAACGCTGAGTAGGCGTTCTCGGGCCCTTGGAGCCCGAAATGACGTGTCATTTGCCCCCACGTCCCTTCCCCGGAATCGAGCATTATCCCCCTTCCATCTAGGTAACGGAGGAGCATGCAGCTCACATTCCTGTACTTGCTTGGCATTGCACTGGCTGTACCGAGCGCGATGAGCCGGACGTCGTCGCCTGCTTTAGAGGGGAGGAGGGCGCGCGGGTCGTTTGAGACGGAAGTGCGGACGGCGGTGGCGAAGGAGAGCGCTGCTGCGTCTGGTTCTGGGCCGGGCTCGGCTGAGGAGGGGTGGGAGCGGTGGAATAGGTCTTTATGCGTGTTCACGACCTGTAGCGGGCCGTGAGGGTGCATGCTTATCTCGTGCCCTGCTACCAGGGGGGTCGAGTTCCCCGGGAGCCCAGGTATGGAGCAGAGGCTGACAGAGGGTAGGAGAGTGTACTGCGGCACTCTGAATATACCGGGTGCGAGGGTGGACATGCGTTGCTGAAAATAGGCACAGGAGGTAATGGTAATGTCGTTTGAGCAGAGGGACTTGTTAGCGATCAGGTGCTGCACGAAGGAATGAGTAGGTAGTGCTAATTACGTTTGGTATTAGGGAAGCGCACCTGGCATTCGGGACCCCAGGAATTCATCCATTTCACGTATTCCGGATCGCGGAGCACATCTTCCCCTACACGGTGGACGATAGTGCCGACGCATATGTCGCCCATGCTTCCGTGTCTGAAGACCCGTTCCCTCAGCACACCAGGAAGATACTCCACACTAGGACAGTCAACAACGATGAGCGCACTGGCCGGTGCAGGAGGGTCCATACACATCTCCGGCGTCACCACGGTCCCATTAGGCAGAGTGACCGTCTCCCCTCGCGTAAGCTGACCACGGATCCTCCCCTGTGGAATGCCTAGCGCGTCCGCGCGGGATTTTTGGAACTTACCCCGGTATTGTGGGCCGAGGAAGAGGTAGGAGGTGGCGTAGTTTGCTCTTGCTTCTGTACGGGGAGGGAGGGGGAACGGAGAGCGGCGGAGGGAGACGAGCGTACGTGCGTCAATGGCTGGCGTTGGGCTGGGGGTGGGGAAGGTGTACGTTGAGTTGGGGGAGAACATCGATCGGAGTTGCAGGTGGAGCCAGAGCTGCGCTTCGGCACCTCGAAGGGAGGACGGGTTGAACCCCAATTGTGAGAATTTTTTGAGCAAATCTTCGGTGTCGGATAGTACAGGGACAGTTGATGCGGTGGTCGGTGTCGTCAGATCGGTTTGTGTTGAGACATCTTGCGAGGAAAGAGAAGAAGGAAGGAAAGTGTTCGAGCCTGTGGCTGTCGGACCGTTGTCAGAACGCAGCTTCCTCTTCACCCTCCGTACCGCTTGCTCACCCTCACCCTCAGCATCCTCATACTCTTCGTACAGCTGTACGTCCTCCACATCCAGCTGCTCCTCCGCGCCCTGCACAAGTTCGGCCGTTGCAGAACTTGTATTGGACCCCTGAGTAGACTCGTTGTGTTTCCTTTTCAGGGTAGAAGGAAGAGAAGAAAGAGGTATCTGATACGAAGCCGGAGAAACAGACACAGCATACACCGTCAAGTTCTCATCCTTATACACGGGTTCTGGCAGCTCTCCCTCCCCTTTCCTTGCCTGCTCACCATTAACAGCGCCAGCCTCCTTCAGATGAATCTCCAGGTTCCCTCTGCCAAGGTACCGCCTAGTAGTAGCAAGGTAGTACCCAAGTCCAGGGGGACCTAGAAGTTCCAGTTTTAGATCTTTAGCCGGTATACCAGGGAGAGGGGGAGTGGTGCTGGCCGCATCCGCAAGGGACATGAGCAGTCCTTCTCAAAGTCAGAGCTAAATCCATCACAAGGGAGAGGACGTACCAGGTAGCCCGGTAATACTATCTGTATCGACCCTCGTGAAGAACACAGCTCGCAGGTTCTTAGACCTCTCCTTCCTCTGCCCTGCAACGCGCGTACTGCCCTCCCCGCAATTAAGTGCATAGCGAGCAGTATCGTGGTCTATTATCAGGCGGAGGTCGGAGTCGGAGGTGCACGAAGTAAGGCAGCGGACGCGCCAACGCATTGTTTTTCTTGTGTGGGAGGTGTGGTAAGAGGAGACAGGAGGGGATAGGACGCGCTTGAACGAGGTGTTTGGGAGCTGTGGCCGAAGAGATATAGGAGGAAAGAAGCGCGCGAGTGCGCGCTGTAGTGATGCCAGCGGTGTGAGTCACGCAGCGTCAGTCCATCCAAGTGACAGTGTCTGAACAAAGGAAGGCGGAGGTGCGGAGATATGTGAATGCACAGAGAGTGATGGTCATGCGCAAGACAGAGTCATGGTCCCTGAGCCAAATTTACTGATTATGTAAGCAACCATTCGAAGAGCGTGGGCGTCTATTTGTGGACCTTACCCATGTTGTGGAACGTTGACGCTGATCGAGTCACCTGCGATCCATTCGTGGATAGAATGAGATACCAGAAGATGGCTCATCTGGATCTGTGTTGAATGTTCGAGTTGTACAACCTACTAGATCGGAGGGCATGATGCGGGATGACGAGCCGCATTACCCACGATGCGTGTACTTTGACCCTACCGGGCGTTGGATGACCACTAGGATCAAGCACTTGTGAGCCAAGTAAAGTGCTGTGGGAAGGAGAGCGGGAAGCAGAAAGATGATGAGAACATAAGTTGCTTGAGACGTCTTTTCGGTGCTAGGCTTCCTTTGAATCACGATGGAGGAATAACTCATCGGAAGCCGCTTTGCCGAGCGGCTCCTTTCACAACTTTCTAGCGGGTATGGGAGGGCATTGTTGCTGCCCCTGGAGTATATGGAGCCGTTCCTGCGTTTAAGGTGTACTGGAGACGGAAAGGCCTTTCGCTAGTAATCGGTTGTTGCGGGGGGCAGGGTGGTCAGATTTGTCGGGGAGGACAGGCATCTGGGAGTTAGGCGCTCGTGCACAGGAGCGTGCACGTCGTTTGGAGGTGTGTGGAGGTTATACCAGTTGTGAGTTGTGATTTTGCCCGGAGTGCCATAGGCGCCCGTGGACGGATCGGACTTGTTTATGGAGGAAGGAGCATGAGCTTGTAAGCAGATATGGCTCCTACCCGAGCGAGAACCTCCGAATGAACGTGCTGCGAAGTGGAGCGCACCTTGGAAATTGTATGTTCTCGACATACATTTCATCAACGCCATCGTCCAACTCTTTCGGTTGTGTCGATCACGCCGATCAGAGTTCCCCCATTCCCCGCGTTTCCCCGTTGCCTCGGTTTCCCCACCTCCACCGGCGCGTTCCGGTTCCGCTCCAGTTCCGCCGGCCATCGCTAGCCTGTCAGCCGTAAGTCCTTAAGTGGTAAATTTGATTTCAGAGCAGTGGAAAGTGATACTACCTTTATAAGTCAAGTAGGGTTAGGGTTGCTTAAATTAACTCACCGGGGATACGTTGAGGCACAACATGGAGGCTATCTCGTTTGGAAGGTATAAATTTGAACACCCACCTTCGGGATGCACAGAAGGCTTACAGTGCTGGCCAAGAGGTTCAGTGGAGGTGCCTGAATCTGACAGTCGCCCAGTGTCACACCATATTTTTAGAAGTCCGCATACTTCCATTCGCCAAGCGTTGCTTCCGGTAGAGTTAAGTGACCGTCCCTTTGTATGAGGCTAAATAAGGGCTGACCGGAAGCACCTGTAAACTCAAGGCCACCCTGACCCATCGGGACACTCGCTCGATCCCTCTTGGAGTAGGATAACCTCCACCAGCCCCCTCACCTCTCAAGTTTCCCCCCGGGGATGTCCGCCATCTCTGGGGAAGTTGCACGTGAAAAGGATGTGTTTGTGCTTCCGTATGCGATAACCACCCGGATTAGGGAATCATCCGGTGACCTCACTTCCGTGCTAATAATATGGGAGCAGCGCTGTCTTCCCCCGACTCTTACACCCGCAGGGCATTGCCGTGCTTTGTGCTGGATTCAGACGGGTACTCACGGGCCACTATGGGGCAAGTGATCCATCGACTCCTTCCGGGAGGCGGTATATAATCCCCCTCCTCGCAACGCCTCCGCTCCTCATCCCCCTCCCCGAGCTCACCACCTACTTCTAGCATCATCTTATAGCAGCAGGATGTCTATCCCAGTCCTGAAAATCCACAGTATGTTGTCTCACCTCCTCGCCAGCGCGATACTGACTCCGGACGATTCACAGCCCAGCTCACGAGCGACCAAGCGTTCATCCTCTCCCCCCCTGCGCTCAACTTCCTCGTCGCCCTCCATCGTGCCTTCGAGCCCACGAGGCAGGCGCTCTTAGCTGCACGCAAGACGCGCCAGGCGGAGCTCGATAACGGGGGAACGCTCACTTTCCTTCCTGAAACTAAGCATATCCGCGATGAGGCTAGCTGGCGTGGCGCCAAACCTGCCCCGGGACTCCAGGACAGGAGGGTCGAGATCACCGGCCCTCCGGAGCGGAAGATGGTCGTCAACGCCCTGAATAGTGGTGCGAAGGTACTTGCGCATATATCTGCTTTATAGAGGTGGCTGATAGGAAATAGACGTTCATGGCTGACTTTGAGGACTCGACCTCACCCACATTCTCTAACTTGGTCAACGGGCAGGTCAACCTGCGCGATGCTATCCGTAGGCAGATCGACTTCGAACTCGGGGGCAAGCTGTATGCGCTCGTCCAAAACCCGGCTGTGCTTCTTGTCCGTCCGCGTGGGTGGCACCTGGACGAGCCACGTGTGACGTACGAGGGCTCGCCTCTCTCCGGCTCGCTGTTCGATTTCGGCCTCTACTTCTTCCACAACGCCGAAGAGCTCGTCAAGCGTGGTGCAGGCCCGTACTTCTATCTCCCGAAGATGGAGCATCATCTCGAGGCTAGGCTGTGGAATGACGTCTTCAACTTTTCCCAGGATTATATTCGCATACCCCGCGGGACTATCAGGGGAACTGTACTGATCGAGACTATTCCGGCTGTGTTCCAGATGGAGGAGATCATCTATGAGCTCCGGGAGCACTCGGCTGGCCTCAACTGCGGTCGCTGGGACTATATCTTCAGCTTCATCAAGGTGAGTACCTTGGAGCGCATATACGCTGGTTTTCTAATCGTTTTGCTAGAAATTCCGCACAAACTCCAAGTTTGTCCTCCCCGACCGCTCGTCCGTCACCATGACGGTGCCTTTCATGCAGGCGTATGTCAACCTCCTCATCCAGACCTGCCACAAGCGCGGTGTTGCCGCCATGGGCGGTATGTCCGCTACTCTTCCCATCAAGAACGATAAGGTCGCGAACGACCAAGCCATGGCCAAGGTGTACGAAGACAAGCTGCGCGAGGTCAAGGCGGGTCACGACGGCACGTGGATCGCCCATCCCGCAACTGTGCAGATCGCATTGGACGTATTCAACGAGTACATGCCCGGCCCGAACCAGTACTACAACTACCGCGCAGACGTCAAGGTCAAGCCCGAGGAACTGATCAACCCCCAAGTTCCCGGAACCATCACCCTCGGCGGCGTGCGCGCAAACGTTTCCGCCGCACTGGCATACTGCGGCGCGTGGGTGTCGGGCAATGGTTGTGTGCCGATCGCGAACATGATGGAGGACGCGGCGACAGCCGAGATTGCCCGTATGCAGCTGTGGCATTGGGTGCACCATAAGGCTACGACGGAGGACGGACAGGTCATCACCGCTGAATTGGTGGGGAAGATCATCGATGAGGAAGGGGAGAAGGTGCCAGGCGTAAAGGCAGATCAAGTGGGGATCGCCAAAGACTACCTCAAGTCGCAGGTGAACGCAAAGCTTGCTAGCGAGTTTTTGACGAGCGACTTGATGGCCAAGCTCTGAGTGCGCGGAGCGAGGAAAGGGATGGAATTGGATGGAAGGAGAAAAGGTTTGGCAAAAGAGGCGAGCCTTTTGGGCTAAAACTTTCATGTACCAACATTGAACTATGCAATACAATTCACGGTTTTTATTCTTTCTTGCCTGCGCGGATATATACACTTTTTCATACGGTCTAGCCTAATGCCGCTCTGTACCTCCCACCCAGCATCCCAACCCTCAAAGGCTGAGTACGCACCACATTGATGATTAGTACGATGGCTAGAATGGGAAGAGTTGTTCTTGCACACGGTATTTCTTCAGACAGCCTCTGTGGGATGTAGAGAGGGTCTGTACACACGCGGTGCTGTGCGAGAAGGAAGGAATGTGAGCTAGACAGCCTACTTCTGGTGTGAATGGGCGGGTTAGGCTTGGGACCGCTTGGGAGCAGAGATGTATAGGATATGTAGTGGGTGGATACGGGGGTGGTACGATGCGGTATGGAGGGGGTAGGAAAGAGGATATGTCGACAAGACGTTGAGGAGGGCGGAGGACTTGGATGTATGCGGTGCGAGTGGGGTGGGAAGGGCAGGGAGCGAGGCATATGCGGGGAAAATGAGTGATATTAGTAGATCAAGTAAAGGGGTATGCAGATGAGCTTGCGGGCAAGGTGGCAGATACCAGCAATGGCATCATAGCATGAAGGGCGACATGGTGGAACAGGTCCGCGTTTAATACAGAGCAAAGAGGAAACACTTCAGGATTTTATCACGCTTGTTCAGGGCAGGTCCGACGCGTCCTCGCACACGCGTCCGACATTCCCGCGCCACCTAGAGTCACCTTCCACTCTATCACCGGGAGCGCTTCCTAGATTCCCAATCAGAGAACGGGTAAGCAGGATGATGTACGAGAAGGAGAAGCCGGTGATGGAGCTTGGTGAGTCCCGTCGTTCGAACCGCCGGGGGTTAGGGCTGACCGATGCGGGGTAGACAACGCTGCCGAAGTTGGGTTTTGTCAGTTCTTTGAGCGGATGCCGAAGGTGTGTCTCCATGCCTTCCATGCAGGACGACGGCTTATGATCGACAGGTGGCAACGGGTACGATCCGACTCTTCGACCGAGGGGATTTCTTTTCCGTTCATGGGGAGGATGCCAAATACGTCGCGCAGCATGTCTACCACACGAACACGGTGATCAAGTACTTCGGAAAGAAGTCTGGGGGCCTACCGAGCGTCACGCTCTCCCAGACGCTTGCGAAGGTGTTTTTGAGAGAGGCGTTGACGGCGAAGCAATTGAGAGTGGAGATTTGGCAGGGAGAGGGTGGGAAGAAAAACATGAATTTCAAGCTGGCTAAACAAGTACGTCTGGCTGTATAACTGGGTGATTGAGGCGCTGGCTGATGGGGTCTAGGCTTCCCCGGGAAACCTCCAGGCTGTGGAGGAGTTGTTGTTTGCTGATCGCGATATCTTGTCCTCGCCAATCGTGATGGCTATCAAGCTTGCGACACAAGACGGTGCAAGGATGGTGGGCGTTGCTTACGCAGACGCATCAATACGTGAGATTGGGGTGTCCCAGTTTCCGGACAACGATCTTTTCTCTAATATCGAGGTGTGTGCGATGGGGTGGGAGAGGATATATGCTCATGCTCGTTCAATAGTCACTTGTCATCCAACTTGGCGTCAAGGAGTGCTTGATCCAGAGCGACGAGAAGCGGCACGACCTAGATCTAGCCAAGCTGAGGGGTGTGCTAGAGCGGTGCAATGTGGTCCTTACCGAAAGGCGGACAAGTGCGTCTTGCTCACCGCCTTTGAACGAAGGCTGAATCACAACAGACGAGTTCGCCGTACGCAACGTGGAACAGGATCTCCGGCGTATCCTCAAGGAAGAGACAGCAGCAGTCCAGCTCCCAGAGTTTGATCTGAAGACTGCCATGGCCGCTACTTCTGCTCTGCTCTCATACTTATCTCTCCTCATGGACGAATCTAACTACGGCCAATACACACTGCGACACCACGACCTCTCCCAGTATATGCGCCTGGACGCCTCCGCACTCCGGGCACTAAACCTCATGCCCGGCCCACAGGACGGAGCAGCGAACAAGAATGCGAGCGTATTTGGACTACTGAATCGGTGCAAGACGAGTCAGGGAACGAGGTTGCTTGGTTCTTGGCTCAAACAGCCTTTAGTAAACCTGCATGCGATTAGTAAGCTGTTTTGGCTGATGGATAACATATACTGACGCCAGATAGAAAGGAGGCAGGATCTGGTCGAGGCGATGGTGGAAGATTCTAATACCAGGAGGACGCTCCAGGTATGTCCTTCCGTACATATATTCGGCGCTTCGCTCACCCATTGGAAGGATGATTATATCAAATCCATGCCGGATATGCGTAGGATTAGCAAACGATTCCAGAAAGGCAACGCGAATCTCGAAGATGTCGTTCGGGTATACCAGGCTATCCTGAAGGTATATACCTCGAAATAGGGTTGAGCCACTGTTCTGATTGATTATAGCTTCCCGGTCTGATCGAGACCTTGGAAGGTATTGAAACTGGGAATGACGAGCATAAGGAGCTTGTGACTGATCAATGGGTGAATAACCTCAAGGTGCGAACCGGCATTCATTATCTGTCGAGTGACTCATAACACATACGTAGGAATACCTCAGCAGTCTCACAAAGATGGAAGAGATGGTAGTGCACACACTCGACCTCGAGGAGCTACAAAACCACAACTACGCCATCAAACCGGACTTCGACGACGACCTGAAACACATCTCGGAGGAGATCTGCGTAGTCCGTGACAAGCTCGATGCGGAGCATCGGCGTGTATCTGGGGAGCTGGATATGGACATGGACAAGAAGCTGCATTTGGAGAACAACTCTGTCTATGGGTACTGCCTGCGGTTGTCTAAAAACGTATGCTAGGTGACATCTGTGTGTTGTTGAGGCTGACGTGCTACAGGACTCGAAAGCGATTCATAATGTTCGTGGCTATATCGAGCTCTCGACACAGAAAGCCGGGGTGTACTTTACGACCAAGCACATGAAGGAGGCTAGTACAGACTATGCAGAGCTGATAGAGAAATACGAGAGGATGCAGAGTGGGCTGGTGAAAGAGGTGGTGAATATTGCGTGTATGTCTGTTTTACTACTATTGGCGGTAGCTGAGTGGGCCGCAGCGACATATACGCCGGTTCTGGAGATGCTGGACAACCTGATCGCGCATATGGATGTGATACTGAGGTGAGAGAACATAACGTGTCAAGACCTCTCTGACTCCTGTTTACAGCTTCGCACATGTCTCGGTCAACGCTCCGATCCCCTATGTCAAACCGACGATGTCAGAGAAAGGAACTGGGAACGTCGTTGTTAAGGAAGCGCGTCATCCTTGTCTAGAGGTGCAGGACGAGGTCAACTTTATACCTAACGACCACGAGATGATTAAAGGTATGTTGCATGTTCACATAAGTGGGTATGTCTTGAGTTTCTGGGTAGGGATGAGCGAGTTCCAGATCATCACAGGACCAAACATGGGCGGTAAATCCACGTACATTCGACAGGCGAGTCCTCGCCTCTCCAACAATCGTGCAGTTTCTAACTTCATCGCGACAGATTGGCGTCATCGCACTGATGGCTCAGACGGGATGCTTTGTGCCCTGTGCTGAAGCCGAACTGCCGGTCTTTGACTCTATCCTTGCCCGAGTCGGAGCTGGCGACAGTCAACTGAAAGGTGTTTCAACTTTCATGGCTGAAATGCTAGAGACCGCAACGATATTGAAGGTTAGTGTTGTGAGATGATCCACTACGGTGACTGATATCGCCGCAGTCCGCTACGAAAGACTCGCTGATCATCATCGATGAGCTTGGCCGTGGGACATCCACATACGACGGGTTCGGTCTAGCCTGGGCCATCTCCGAGCAAGTCTTTCCAGAACATACATTTGCAGTAAGGCTGACTGATACGCAGGAACATCGCAACCCAGATCCACGCTTTCTGTTTGTTCGCGACCCATTTCCACGAGCTGACCGCTTTGGCACAAGAAGTCTCACATGTGAAGAACTTGCATGTGGTCGCACATGTCACTCAGCGCGGATCCTCCAACCACGATCGGGACATCACCTTGCTGTACAAAGTTGAGCCTGGTATGTGTCACCCTCGAATAGGCGTCCCAGAACTGACCAGGATGGCAGGTATATGCGACCAAAGTTTTGGGATACATGTTGCCGAACTGGCCAACTTCCCCGAGAGTGTGGTCAAGCTTGCAAAACGAAAAGCTGACGAGTTGGAAGACTTCACCAGTGCTGGCGAGCCCGTTTCAACAATCTCCAAAGAGCAGATAGACGAGGGCACGCAACTCATCAAAGAGTTCTATGTGGCGCTCAGGGAGCGACAGGAACAGAACGGAGAGCATGTCGCTATGGAGGAACGATCGCCTGATGAACAGATGGTCATCCTGAGGGAGACGGTGGAGACGTTCAAGTCCCGGTTTGAGGCGAATGAGTGGACGAGGAGTATTATTGAGGCTCTTTAGGGACTGTTTGTTAGATATTGTGTGCATTTGTATATTAGACGCAATCCATTGGTTCATGTCTTGCTTTAAGTGGGGAGCAGAAAGACTTCGATATAAGTTCTTAGCCTATCCATGGTGCATCAACCCAATTTAACGGATAAGACACCAACGATATCAGTCTCCTGGAGCGTCAAGGCTTGCAATTCGAAAGATACAAAGCACTATGCCCTAGCTTCTGCAACAGGCGGGGCAGCTTCGGGCACCAACGGTATCTTCCCTTCCTCAACGAGCGTCTCCAGCACCCCCGGGCCGCCACTCTTCGTTCCTACAGGGAGGACAAGCGTGCCCAGTCTTGGCCCGTCTCGGCGTGTTATGAACTCGACTTTGCAGGGCAGCTTGTCAGCGACGAGTCGGAGTGCTGCACGTTATGTTAGCGCTCAAAGTTGGCTGATAGGGACAAAGAGAAAGGCACCATCTCGGGCCAGCTGTTCGCTCACGTCTCCTCCAACTTCGAATAGTACGCGACCGGTTGGACATCTGGGGTTGTTTCAGTGAATGTACAGGGAGGAAGGGAGAAGGAAGCAAGGGAAGGGAGAGACGTACCGGCATGCCCAGTGGTCGAAGTTCCCTTTTCCTTTACCCATACGCGTCTCGTTGCCCTATCGCCAGTTTCAATATATACTCTAGCACACTAGATGAAAGAGATATGTATACCTTAATGCACACAGGGATATCAGGGAACACTCTAAGCCACGTCTTAGCCCCCTTCACGATCCTCAGCTTCCTCTTCAACGCCGTATCCGCCGACTGGAGCTGCTTAGCACTCAGCCGCGTCCCATTGCCCTTGACTCGTATACCGAAGTTCCCGTGCGAGAGTGTGGTGCCTTTCAGGCTCCCACCGATGGGAATTGGCACGCGGCCTTTGTGTGCCTTTCGATGCTTGACCCGGTTCGGGGCGAGGTTGCCGGCGAAGCGCAGTTGGGAGTAAGCGGGGAGGGGAGATATTATGGAATGGCGCGGGAGAAGAGAGGGGGAAGGTGGAGAGGAAAGGGAGAAACGGGCGAAGGAGGAGAGGAGGGATGCCATCTTGAAGTGAGATGCAGGAGAAGAGCGCTCGACAGACCAGAAGATGCAGACCCTGATGAAGAGTAAACTTGCTCCCGCATTTCCTAATTAGGGAACCGATCCCTGACGCCCATCTTGCGCATGTTCACTCACCCACTCTCCACCGAGGATGCCCCGGGCCGACTCCGAAGAAGGGCGCTTCGGATGTCCGGATCTCAATGACGGGGAATCTTCGAGCAGGGAAGAGGACTTCGCTGGCTGCAGCTTGACTTCCCCCCGGACCACCAGCTGTGACAGAATCGTCAAGGAACCAACATGGGCGACGCACCCCTCCCTAGCAGCATGAAGGCTTTGTTCTACCACAAACCGGAGGATTATGAGGTTAAGCAAATCTCTACGCCCCAGTGTGGGGAGGAGGAGGTCCTTGTCAAGGGTACGCATGTTTGCTGGCGGGTTGGGTGGTATGCTAATCCGATGAGCAGTCTCGGCGTGTGGTAGGTCGCTACCGGAACTTGGTGCGGTGATATGCTGAATGAGGTGTGACAGGCGTATGCGGCACAGATCAGCATATCCATCTTGGCGAGTTCATCTCCCAGTTCCCCCTCGTTCCGGGACACGAAGTCGTAGGCCAGATCGTGCAGGTTGGCTCGCGCGTTATGGGGGGTTTCAAGCCCGGAATGAGGATCGTGGCAGATAATGGGAGCAGCTGTGGGAAATGCTTTTATTGCCGAAGGGGGCAGGAACTACTCTGTGAGGACTTTACGAGCAAGGGGTGCACCATCCAAGGCGGATTTGCAGAGTATGTTGCGTTGTGAGTTGGTTCTCTCTCGGCGTCTAGCGCATCTGTTGAAGTAGGTGATTGGACAGCCACGAATCGAAGGTGTACGAGATCCACAACCTCTCAGATATCGAGGCCACTCTTGTAGAGCCTGCTGCATGTGCAGTGCACGGGATGGACAAGCTCCGCCCTCCAGTGGGGTGCGATGTGCTTCTGATGGGCGCGGGGCCGACAGGGCTCATCCTAGCTCAGCTATTGAAGCTGAACGGCGCTGTCCGGGTCGTGCTGGCAGCGAACAAGGGGAAGAAGATGGAGATCGCGAAGCAGTTGGGGTGCGCAGATGTCTATGTGGAACTGGATAGAGAGGACCCGGCGCACCAGTGGGAGCAGCTGAAGAAAGACAACCCGTACGGGTTTGATGTGGTGGTATGTTTCTCACTACCTTCAGGGATTGTGACTGTGAGTGAGGTGACCCAGATTGAAGCTACTGGTGTGGAGAAGCTTGCGAATGATGCTATCAACTATGTCCGCAGAGGAGGGACCCTCATGGTCTATGGCGTGTATGATAACAAGGCGCTCGTACACTGGCCTCCTGGAAAGATATTTGGTGACGAGATCACCGTGCGTCGGCATCTTTTATCGTGCTTCTTCCCTGGTCGTTGACCCCTTCGTCCCGCAGATCATCGGCTCTTTCGCGCAAACATTCTGTTTCCCGCGCGCAGTAGCTTACCTCGACAGCGGCAAAGTGAACGTCAAAGGCATGGTGACCGACATCTATCCTATCGACAGATTTGGAGAAGCGCTCGACAAGATGGCAAGTAGGAACTGTTTGAAGATCGCCATCACGCCGAATTAAAGTAGATGGACCGAGTTGGGTTGTCGGGATAGGATGGGTGATTTTTGTACTAGAAGGGTCATGTCAAGGATGAATGTACAAAAGTACCCAATATGCGTCTGTCATGCCTTTCTGTGATCTGCCGATCGGGATATGAACGGGGTTGGGTGAGTAACTCCGGGCTCGGCTCCGAATCTGCTCCGACAGAAATTCCGTCCCCGCCACCGTGACTGTTGTGCAATGCGCCTTCGACGCGTTGGTGACTTCACTTCGACAACGACGACGACCACAGCAGACGACGTTATTGTCGCATTATCAACTTGACTAAAAAGTAATCTAACGCGGATTAAATACATTGTCATGTCCTCCAAACGACCATTAGAAGATGCAAGCGCTCCGCAGTCGAAGCGTGCCAAAAGGTTCGTCTTTCCACGTTCATGTATGCACCTATTGACAAGCAAACAGCGGGGTAAGCACCCATCCAATTCTCACCTCAGGTGAATATAATTTATTATCGAGTCTAACTGCGCTACCATTGTTTAAACAGCCGGGCAATGATGCCTCCTCCGCATCTGTGGGTCGCCCTCTCACTCGTTCCTCAAGCAAACACTGACAGCATGAGCAGAACTCCGCCGCCGCCCTCATCGCCCGTGCCAAAGCGGATATCGCAGCTAAAGTCGCAGCTCTCAAAGCCAAGTCTGCGCTTCCTGCTGGTGCCGCCACCTCGGTGGGGAATGGCCCTCCCCCTCCGAAAGCGGCTGTAGGCGTCGATCCGGATCTGGCAAGACGAGTCGCCGAGGCGAAGAAGTTGGTTGCCCAGAGAGTAGCGAAACAGGAAGTTTCTGCTAATCCTTATATGGTGTGTATATCCATTTGTCAAGAAACCTGTCCACCAAAGTCCCTAATCGGGTTTGTAGGCTGCACAACAAAAGCGCCCTGCTGCTCCCACTCCTCCCCCAGCTACCGCATCTGGGGCTGCTACCCCCGGCACGTCAACTCCCGGACCCTCCGGATCGGGTCTAGCCATGGCCGCTCATCCTCTGCTGCTTGAGTCCACCCAACCGCGACAGCAGCAGAGCAAAAAGGATCGATACAAGCCCATGCAACCGAAGTTCTCCTCTGTCCGAGCGAATGCCCGTACTGCACCTCCTCCGTCTGCAGCCGCCACTGGTCCTGCGCCCGTCGCTGCCCAGGAACCGGTCACGAACCCATATGCTGCTGGGTCTGCTCAGGCGGCCGTAGAAGGCGGATTCGAAGGTGCCCCGAAGGAGAGAGCTGGTCGTACGCTCCGCTTTAACCAGAAGGGAAAATATATCCACCAGGCAGAGGAACTTAGGCGCGAGCAACAGCTGGAGGCGCTGAAAGCCAAGATTGCGGAAAATGCAAAGAAAGCGGGGTTGACAGAGGAGTTCGAGGTGCTTGAGAAGAGTGTGAAGGTCAGTTTCCTCCGTTTGCCATGTAAATAACATGGGTACTGACGTCACGTGCGATCTAGCATGATCCTCCACCGCCTGTGGAGTGGTGGGATGAAGGCCTACTTCCTACTAAGAACTACGAAGATATCGCCAGCGGCCTAACGACGATCTACAACCCCGCTGGCCCCATTACGCTCTTCGTTCAACATCCTATCCCCATCCCTGCCCCATGGGAGAAAAATGAAGCCGCTCCACGTAGTCTGATGCTCACTAAGAAAGAGCAGAAGAAGATGCGTAAGCAGCGCCGTGCTGCCGAACTGCAGGATCATCAAGATCGTGTTCGCATGGGCCTCATCCCGCCCGACCCGCCCAAAGTGAAACTAAGTAACATGATGCGCGTTCTCACCTCCGATGCGGTGCAGGATCCGACCAAGGTCGAAGCCCGCATTCGACGTGAAGTCGCCCAGCGGCGGGTGCAGCACGAGAAGATGAACGAAGCGCGGAAGTTGACGGATGAGCAACGACGAGAGAAGGTGGAGCAGAAGAAGGAAGAGGAAGAGAAGAAGGGTCTATTCGGCGCTGTATTCCGCATTCGCACACTTGCGGACCCGGCACACAAGTTCAAAGTTCGCAAGAATGCCGACCAGTATGGACTCACGGGGATCTGTCTCCTTCACCCGCAGTTTGCACTCGTTTTTGTCGAGGGAAGCGCGAAGGCGATCAAGGGCTACAAAAGGCTCATGCTCGCTCGAGTCAAGTGGACCGAAGCTGCCCAAGCGAGAGGGGCCGAAGATGTCGAAATTGATTACGGGGACGCCGACGGCCCTGGCCCGTCTAAACCCTCGACTAGCGCAGTAGCAGCCAACGGCGACCAAACACCGGAAGGTCAAGTCTCGCTCGAAAACAACAGATGTGATATGTGCTGGGAGGGTCCGCTGAGGGACCGGACCTTCCAGAACTTTAGGCCAAAGGCGTGCCCGACAGATGCACTGGCGAAGGAGGCGCTTGGAGAAAAGCTGAAGGGATACTGGGATTTGGCGAAGAATTGGGTTTCCGATGACGAGGTGCACTCGGTTGTCTGAGTTTATCATAAGGATATTAGATATCGCATACAGAAAATGTGGCTGTAGGGTCAGAAATGCATGCCTTCATCTATTGATACAGGTGTGAAAATCAACCCTCCAAGGAACCCTGAACAACGGCGCTCTGTGATATCTCAGTCTGCGTCATACCTGCAGTCTCCTCCCGCACGTCGGCATCACCTCGTTCCGGCCCTGCTGTTTCCTCTATATCAACGCGCTTATCCTCTAATTCTAGATCTGCCAGTTCAGCCTCCTCAACGGCAACGGCAGCCTCAACATCAGCTTCCTCTGCCTTGTCTTCTTTCTCCTTCGCGTTCTTTTCCTGGTCCTTCCCAGCAGGGGACACATCTTCTCCGAATACCCTAAGGGATAAGGCGCTTCGCGCTTTCTTGTCCAGCAAAAGACCGGCAGAAGCAGCTGCCCTCCAGAGAGGGAGGATGAACGGTTGTTTCAGGATTTCGGATTCTGTGGGCTCTACACGGACAAGATAGCTTGTTCCGGCTTTGGAGACGTCAGCGTTGGAAGACGTGAATTAGACAGCGACATACTCTTGTTTCGCAGAGCCGTGCGAAAGGGTTCTTCCTGCTCCTCAAATGTGGGATTGTAGCTAGCTAAGAGAATTTTCAGGTTTGCCGTGCTTGCATGCAAGATCCCCTCCGGTTTGATGTGCGGTAGGATCAACGACACGCCATCATGCATGAACCTGAATGCCTTCCCCGCCTGCGGTGTGCCGTGGTCTGCGATGACCTTAGTGCCGCAGTTGATGAGCCGAATCTTCGCAATGTCGTTATGTTGCAAGATGGTCTTGAGAATGGAATTTGTGAGGTAGACAGAGCGGATGGATTCAGCTTTGGAACTGCGTGCGAATAGAAGATTGGAGGGAAAGGAAGGCAGCAGATTAAGCGTTTTCCTAGAGACGTTTCAGCTATACTTTCCAACGGGGAGTCAGGCGGAACGTACAATCCCTCTTGCATCTGAGCGTTGTCTTCTGCTATATAGCGGAAAGGTTGCTCAGCATAAGTTCCACCCGTCTGGCCCTCTGGTTCCTCCTCAGCCTCCACCTTTGCACGCTTTTGTCCTGGCTGACCGTCAAGTTCCTCTTCAGCTTTGCGCTTTTGTGATGTTGTATCCTGTGCAGTTGAAGAAGGCAATTCCGTTTTCGCTACTTTTCGAAGAAGTGCAACGAAGAATGCGCCTGTGTCTTGATCTTGAGGGAGGATCCGCATCCTGTTTCGTGTCAGAAACTTCTTCAAAACAAGGGAATTAAGGCTCTTACGCTCTCTCAAGATGGAGATCACCGACATCCTGAGGCGGCCAGCAGGACTCGAGCACCCTCTTGCGCGTGTCCGTGCTGTCTTTCATGGCCTCCTCATACTCTGCAAATGTGTCCTTCAGCGTACCCTCCCTGTCGATCGCCACGGTCCATTTGCTCATGCCCGGCCGTGTAACAAGGCCTGGCAACCGATCCGATACGTCTGCCAAGACAAACTCGTCCGAAGACTGATTTATAGCGGCGGCAAGGACTGCTTCGTTCTCCACTGGATTAAGAGAACAGGTGCTGTAGGCGATCAGTCCCCCAGGCTTGAGCATCTTCATTCCCCGGAGAAGGATACGGAGCTGCAGGCTGTGCATCCCGTTTCCGGCTGTGATACTCCAGTCCCGCCAAATGTTGATATTCTTCCTGAGCGTCCCATCTCCTGTACAAGGCACATCCGCGAGAATCCGGTCAAACTTGAGGTTGACCAGGCCCGTATTCGGAGGTTCGGCAGGTACCTTGATATTGGTGAAATGTGATGCGTCCACGTTGGTGACCATCAGTGCTGGGGAGGCGAGCCGCCCAGCCTGGTGCACGAGCATGTGCGTCCGCTTATAATCCGAGTCATTTGCGACCAGTAGTCCCGAGGGGATAGATTCTGCGTCGCCAGAGTGTAGAGCTTCGATCAGCTGGGCAGACTTGCTCCCGGGAGCAGCGCACATGTCCATCACGATGTGGTGTGGTTGGACGTCCAGCAACAAAGGAGGAATCATGCTAACTAGTTCCTGGCGGGATATGTTGCCTGCGTCGGTCTCGTACACAAGGAAGAGCTGAAAAGCACGGAACTCGGGCAACTTGCGTAGTACCCGCTTGGCAAGATTGAGTTGCCAAACAAGACCTTGTGGGTACCAGGAGATCTGCTTTGGCGGATCGATGGGTTGGTCCTCGAAGGTTATCCCAGTGAGAGAGGGAAGGTACTGCGCCTTGATGAGTTCATTAAGTTCTTGTGCGGTAGCGCGACTCCCAGTAACACGAAATGTAGTCGGAAGAGGAGCCATCATGCTGTTTATGAAGGCAGGCCATTCAGCAGCAGGCATGATGTTTTGTGCTTCGTAATATGCTCGGAACTTGGGATTTTCGGAAGGTACTCCCCATTCGTTAGTTCGCTTGGTGGTGGTGGCGGCCCCGTTGTCCCCCTTCCCTTTGTACTGTTTCTGCAAAACACGATCAGGTTTTGCAACCACATCGAACGAACATAGGAAGTTTACTTTTACTTTCCCACGTCCCATCGTGCACAAGATATATCAAGGGACTCTGCCAAGTATGGTGCTGGGAAGTCTGTCGATCCAAAAACACCAGGCAACTCGGACCCAACAATGCAAGAACAATGTGCAAGGCCGAAATTTCCGTGCCCTTGTCCTCGGGCCTCAACCTAAAATTGGCACTCAGTAACGGAGGCAAAGTTCGGCGCTGCCCGCTCGCGTGGGGCGAATCCTCCCGAAAATGCGGGGTAAACTGGCGGCGTGATCTTCTTTCTCCTGTTCTTTCTCCTGTTGTTGTCCGCCACGGATGGCGATTTGCGGTCAACAATACGGGATTATCAGGGATTTTGATGTTTAGACGGCTCCCTGGTGCCTGTTGACAACACATACTAGAATATCAAAGTAAATATCTAAAGCCAATGTCGAGGAATTCACTGTCGTCCATCCTGGGTCTCGTCCCCAAGGAGCCCAAGCAAGACCCTCGCGCCTTCCGTATTGGGCAGAGCCACATGCAGGGAGGCGTCACAGGATTGCAGGTCACCTGCTCCCCCCATACTCCAGACCCATACCATTACTATGTGCCGTTCGCACCGGTCCTGGTCCCAAGGAGCCTTATAAGCCAGCGCAGCCTCGTTTGGGCCCCCACAGGTTGACAGTCGACGTCCACCTAGCAACGCTCTCTTCCATTAGACCAGCTGAGGCGGTACACTATAAGAGAAACAATAAGTAGACATGGCAGAGCTCAGCACCTCCCCCACTACCTCATCTTCTTCTATTGAGCTCAACGACGCTCTCTTTTGCCATCATGGGAGGGAGGTTGTACGTGCCTTTGCGGTCGAGCTTTTTCGACTCATTACTGAGCCTCATAATCAGTGCTCTGACTGCCAGTTCGATGGCCGTGAGGATAATAACCTTGTCTTCGGGGTACGCACAGTCCCTTGTCCTCTCGCAGTTCTTCGCTGACATGTCTCAATGAACGCAGTTCGACCCCTCCCCTCGTGACCCTCTCAACGTCCCCGACTACTCATTAAACAAAGAGGGGAAGTACAACTGCAAGAAGCACGGAAGCGACAGTGTGTCCCATCTTCTTGGCGTGAGAGGACAATCCTGACGGGTATTGGCAGCGTGCAACTTGTGCTATAACTGGAAGAAGCAGATCAGCAAGTTGAATAAGGAGGCGAAGAAGAGCGGGAGGAAGGACTCGGGGTCGAACTTCTTCTGAACAGCTCAAGGCACAATTTGACGGCAGAGTCCGGTACCCGTGCGTTCGCGGAGAGGGCAGATGTGAGAAAATAAGTGTATTTGTCGACGTGCATTGTTACTGTGCATGTATGTACAGTAGTTGTCGTTGGTGGTTGAGGGGTGTATGTATGTCGTTCCAGGCATGATATGGTGTTGGCAGGTCCAAATGGGGTTGTTGTATCCAGGAAATATCGCGATGCGACCCTCGTTTCCTCTCCAGAACAGTAGTACCTGGGAATACCCTCGGATCTTACACACCCAAGTCATCCAAATGAGTCTTTCACTTGCCAAAAGAACTTTAGAGAGTAATATTTGACGTTAACCGCTTCTTCCATTACGCGACATCGTACATCTATCCGTCCTTGGAACTACCAGGAATTCGGGATGACGTCCCAAACTTCGCCCGAACGTTTCTCGTCTAGGCCGACTCGAAGAGCTTGATAACGCGGCTTCCGTCCTAGAACATGCGTCAGTTGTGTCTCCTCAGTACTTGGTATGATATGGGACGCACGACGACAAGTTCGCTCCTCTTCGTTTCCAAGACCTTGGTGGGCTCCGAATTGAGATGCCTACCCTCCAAGGTCAGAGTTGTACCTGTCCCCAAAACCAGAGCATCACTCACGTCATGATACCCTCCTTGTTCTTGTAGGATTCCACAACGCATATCTCGTCCTTCCAGCGCAGGATCTCGAACCGGATGCAGTCGGGCTCGGCATCGCTGTCGCAGGACGCTTTGATGGCCTTGAGAAGTGAGACGAGCTCATCGGCTTTGCCTGGCTTGGCTGTTTGCTATGAGGGAGCTCGGTTAGCGGGGGAGCTGTGACGGGAGGATAAGAGACCGTACGCGGGCGATGATGTGCACCTCTCCGGTAAAGCCGTCAAGGTTGTCGGACATGGTTCGCGTTTATCAGGTAAAGATGTGCAAGGAGTAGCTGCCTCAGTCTGGAGGTGCTGCATACTCTCTTTTATGGTGTGTGTTGCCTGAATTGATTACCGTGGTCCGAGGTTTGTCCGTGGTGACGGGTGTGTTTCACGACTCGCTGTCCCAGTACAAGTAATGAGATTACATGAGTCGATCATGCAAGACCGGTCTTGTACAGTATCAACGCATTGCTTTATCAGACATCAAACGGGAGACAATGAATTGAAGTTGGTGGGAATGATCATGGTGACTGAATTGGAAGGGCTATCAGGGTCTGGTTTCGGCTTCTGACAGGGGTGTTGGTTGTATTGGTTGATCGAACACACCAAGTACGCGGCCCCTCTCTCTCACACGACCTCCCTCTTCTTCGTCTTCTCCTCCTCCACCATCCCATATATCCTTACTGACGTCTTCCATGCTCGCTTACCTTGCGCTCGCCGTCCTCCCAGGCCTGGCACTGGCACAGCATGTTCTCATCGTCACCGACACAAACGCCGGGGAAGTACCTTCCTGTGTCGCCCAGTCATATCACGGCACCTACGGTCAGCCCCTGCGCTCTGTGTACGTGCCATCCCAGGAATGTCTTGAATCGATAAACACCGACTCTCTCTTCGGCTCATTCGAGTCGGGACACTTAGATGTGCTTGACTTTGATCCTGAGGGAAGACAGCTCCTTTGGGTGCAGGTGGATCAGGTCGACCCTTCCCTGCTGGAGAGCGACACGCAGCTCGCAAACGACTGGTTCTCAACATGGGCGATGGGTCTCACCACCCCCAATACTCCTTCTCTGATATTGGAAGACACCGAGAGCGTACTTCGCACCCAGTCGCTCGCACCCAGCTTGCACTACCTCTCGGCAGATGCAGCGTTGCTCTCCCTCGCCCTCTCGGTTCCTTTCTCCGATCTCGACCTTCCACGCTACGTGAGCATGTACTCTCTCACCCGCGTACCCCACTCGCCTGTGCCTTTCTCCACTCGATTGTTCAGCGTGCTCGCTGCCAAGCCGACTTTCGATCCCTCCGTCGCCTCCGTGCTGTCCACACTCTCACCCGCCCGGATGCTGAGCGACGTCCGCTACCTGACAGGGGAAGATGGCATCGGTCCTCTCACGCGGCACTCCTTCTCCAAAGGCGCTCTCACTGCCGCGGACTGGATCCAAGAGAAGATTGAAGCCTCGGGCGCAACATGCGAGCAGAAAACCTTCCTTCCCGGTTTTGCGCCTAACGTGGTGTGCAAGTACCCCGCTTCGGGGAACGAGACGGATCGCGTGATCCTCTCTGCACATTATGATTCCCGTGGCTCGTTCGGGTCTACCCCTGCCCCAGGAGGGGACGATGATGGTAGTGGCACGACACATCTTCTGTCAATTGCCCACGCTATTCAAGAGAAGGGCGTCGTCTTCCAGCGGCCTGTGGAACTCGTTGCATTTGCCGGGGAAGAACAGGGGCTCTTTGGCTCCAAAGCATATGCCCGTAAGTACTCTTCCATCACTTCCTATGTTCCCCACTAGAACCAAGTACAGGCGAGCTCAAATCAAAGAACGTTTCGATCGCACTGATGATCCAAGCCGACATGTTGGGGTATCACGCTCCCGGCGAGCCAGCTCAGCTCGGGCTGCCAGCAACGATCGGTTCTCCCGCAGCAGCGTTTCTCGTGTCCAACCTCTCCTCGCTCTACGCACCCGAGCTGATAGTAGGGTACACCTACGCCTGCTGCTCAGACCACCAGAGCTTCCACGAACAGGGGTACACCGCCACGCAGGTATTTGAGCGCGCTGGCCCGATCGCCGACCCCATGTATCATAATTCTGGCGATTTCAGCAATCGGACCGGGTACGATGTGGAGCAGATTAGGAGCATCGCGAAGGTCACGTTTGCTGCTGTGCTATATGCTGCTGGCTGGGAGTTGGGGGATGCGTAGACATAGATGGGTTGGTTATCGGACGGATAGATCGTTGTACAGGATATGTCTATTTATGTGTAACTACTCTGCTGTTGCTGCCTTCGTCCTATTTGCGATGTGTGGGGATGTGCGGCCCGATACGTCAGATCCGGTCCACAACCATTCCACCTATCTATAGGAAAGTCATCTTAGGGACAAAGATGATGAATCAGCAGTAACATACTTGGACTCAGAAGCTCGGCGATCTGGTCCTACCTACCATAACTGCACATTGTCCGCTGTCTCCTCTCCTCACTGTCGGGCTCTATAATAATGAGGCTTCCCCTCGGTTGGCTCTTCCTTACCCCACTATCGAAAGCCAATCATAAAGAAAGATGTCCTACAACGTCGATCATTTGAAGGGAGAGGTGAATGTCATCATTCGTGTGTGTGCCTCCTTTCTCCATCGCTCGTCGACAGTAGAAGACGCTGACCAAACGAACGCTAGCAAACTTGCAAGCCTGGCAAAGGCGAGGAAGTGTTCAGTTGTCTTGAGGGTATCAAACGCGCCGCCGCAGGCTTCGGCTGTTTGCGCTTTGACGTCCAGAGGCAGGGGGACAAGTTTGTTATCACGGAGCGGTACAAGGACGCAGCTGGAATCCGTGGGTGAGTTGCTTTTGACAAAAGAGAGGAGTGGGCCAACTGATCCGTGTCCGGGGAAGGTTGATGGCGTCAGATACCTTCAAGCAGATGAAGGCGAGAGTCGCGGATTCGCTCGTGGTGCGTGCCAATGTTATATCTCATGAATAGTCTATTGAGCAGGTTGCAGCCGGGCAGCCACAGCGCCGAGTTCACCGAGGCGAAGTAGCTTCTGACGTGATGGCACTCTGGCCATTTGAGAGGGGGGGCTGTACCCTGGTCGCCGATTGAGAGGAGACATGTACGGATATCCAGTCGAAGTTACGATAGCTAAGAAAGTTGTGCGAGATTTCGAATGGTAAATGTATTCTGGTCCTTTCAACAACCTGATAATAAGCTGTTTGAGCACTGAGAATCAGAGACTTCGAATTATTCCATTGCCAGCAGGAGGGAGGGACTGTGGTGTGAGGGCACGTGACTGAATGGAGTGGAGGGAAAGCTGTACAGTACTTCAGGGCCTGCTCGTTGTCCTGAAATTTGCCTCCGCCTCACTTCCACCCTACAATTGGATATACAGCGAGCTCATCGGCTCCCGCACGCACGCACCGACAACACTACGTGAGGTAGGTCAAGATGGTTAACATTCCCAAGTAAGTACATCTAGTTCGTCATTGAAGGTATTGACGCTGATCTGGGTTAACAGAACCCGCCGAACCTGTACGTCTTCCCTCGCTGCCTGGACGGTGGGAGTCTGCATGTTGTGATCGGGACTTATCAATGGGATTTTCTAGTCTGCAAGGGCAAGAACTGCAAAAAGCACACACCGCACAAAGTGACGCAGTACAAGACCGGCAAGGCCTCCCTCTTCTCGCAAGGAAAGCGGCGGTACGACCGTAAGCAGTCCGGTTATGGTGGTCAGACAAAGCCCGTCTTCCACAAGAAGGCAAAGACAACGAAGAAGATCGTCTTGAGGTTGGAGTGCACGGCGTGCAAGTACAAGATGCAAATCTCGCTCAAGCGGTGCAAGCACTTCGAGCTTGGTGGTGACAAGAAGACGAAGGGCGCTGCGCTTACTTTCGTGAGTACAAGGCATCAGTTCATTGTTGCCTTGACTGATTTCATTTCCAGTGAGGGATATCGCTGGGAGGAGTTGCATATGCCTACTCATGTAGTGATACTTGCACTTATGTCATGCATTATGCGCATGCTCTATCATCAGAAACGGAATGTCTTCATCTTGGAGAAGGTTAGGGCATGCGAGCGCCGTCATGCGGCCCCTCGCAGCTCTTCCAGCATTGTGATTATCTGTGATATGATCATCCCGCTCTTATCCTCCGAACCATCATCCGTCGTATCCGCTGGTTCTCTTTCCCTCATGTCTTCAGCCTCTTCCATGTCTCCCGGCTCACACGCGTGCGTTTTGGTGGTATCAAGTGCTTGCTTGGCCCCGCTCTGTACTTCCGAAAAGTCTTTCACAGCAGTGAGAAGCTGATCGATTTTCTCTTGTCTATGCTTTCCCGGAAGAGCTTTGACGATAATCTTGAGGTTGGCTGCGTTGTCGAGCCCCAGGATGCCGAGCAGTACGGAACAATGGCCAGCGACGAACGCGGCTTCGGCCTTGATTATAACTATCAGCCATTGCCCCAAAAATCATTTCTGCCGGACTCACTCCTTGTATTGCTTGGCCGTCTGTAACACAGCTTTCAGCCTCCTCCGTCTTTCTCTCATAAAGCTCGACTAAACATCGGAGGGCCGAAATTCGCTTTGGACAACGACAGTCGAAGGTACACGCCGGCTTCCCTGGACAAGAAGGGTTATACGCTGCGAGCTTGTCAGTAGCAGTGGTGGAATGGCTCTGGATGACTTACTAATCTCTCGCACTGACTCTCTAGCTCCCGGCACTTGCTCCACCAGGTTGGTCAAAAGTGCTAGCCCTAGACACAGAACATCGTGAACACTTTCCCTCCCGCCCACTGGTGATGTCTTGGCTGCCTCCCGCTCAGATTGAATGATGATGCGGATAGTCCCAGGCAGTGTAATTGGGTGCGAGAGAATTGCGCGGCACCAGAAAACATCTGAGCTAGACAAATTGACCGGAACTCGGAGAGCGGAAATAAGACAGGTTGCAGCTTTGGGTCTCATATCAATATGGGCATGCAGACGATGAGCGCAAGACGTACCTGTGACAGCTTTCTTCTCATTAGCTGTTCCCATCAACACTTGACAACCAAGAGAGAGAGATAAGAGTTGCTGGGTTAGTTCGTTCGCTTGACCTCGTACAATGTCCATAGCTGCGCTCGCATGTTCGTATCGGTTTCCTCGCATTGTGAAAGCTTCAAGAACGCGCAAGCAGTTGTCGGTATGTGTTAAGTCAACCAGGCTGCTGCCATTGTCGGCATCTTCCTGTTCCAAAGGTTCACCAGCAGTAAAGGACTTGAGCCGTTCCGTAAAAGTTTTGATCTCCTGCAGCAAGGAGGCGATGACCGGTTCGAGGATCGGGAGGGATAATGGCGTTGGCATTAAGGCTGCTAGTGCCTTAATCGAAGTGGAAACCAGGCGACGTGTCGACATTGCAGCATCTTCCGTGTCGATCTTCGCCTTCCTCAACAACGACTTGAGTGTATTTATCAAGCCCCTTTCACTTTTTGGAACTCGTGCTCCGATTAAAGGGTCGTCCTCATGCGATATCGATAGCGTCTTTGTAGCGGCTGAGACCACATCATCTATTTTTGGCAGGAGGGGATCAAAGTTACGGATATCTTTGGTGATCAGTGCCAGGAACAGGAACAATGCACCATCCACCACGTGATCACCGTCCCCAGCTCCAGCTTGTCGCAGGAAGTTCCAGGACCGGGCAATGCCGTCGATCACCTTGAGCTTTCGGATAAATTCGTGGTCGAGCACATTTTCCACAAATTGTAACGCGCTCGATCGTCGAACAGCCAAAGGCTGGCTGGCCTTAAGACCCTCTAGCAGAAAGCCGACTTCGTCCGCAAACCTTCTGTTCTCACCTTTGGATCTCTGAAACGAGATCGAGCGAAGGTCCGCCGGATCTGAGAGCCCCTCATTCGCTCCGTCGTCTTCGATGCCCCATCGGGCCGCTTTCTCTGCGTAGCTTTCTGTGATCTCACCCAGGCCACCGAAATCCATCAGATCAGTGGCCTGCGGAATTCCGGGAACTTCCAAATCCGCCATCATGTCATCAAAGTCGAGATCACCCAGATTCTGACTGTTGCCCTGAGACATGGAGAAGGACTGAGATTGAGACTGAGACTGCGATTCTGAGTAAGACTGCGAACGAGAATAGCCCATTTCCGTGAGATACGAGCGTTGCTTCGCATATGTTCTTCGGGTTGACGACAAGGATGTAGTTCGGCTTAGGGCTTGATGGGAAGAGCTGGATTCAGCCTGCGAAGACTGAGACTCTTGCTTCGGGGTATCATCCATCTGTAAAGGAGTTATCGAAGTGACCATGGGGGTTTCAGGAAACACAGGAGGAGAGGGCGCGGCAGAAGCAGAGAAAGAAGAGACTTTCGTTCGACTCCGCTTAGACATGCTGCGCACAAGGCCAGAACGCGGCGGCGTGCCAGGCAAACGGGAAGGGGAGCTCGGCAGGGAATTGAACAGGTCGGAAAAGTCTTTCGTGGCCTTTGGAGTGGGTGTCGAGGGTCGAGAAGTTTGGGGAGGTGACGTAGTTGAAGGCTTTGGTGTCGTCGGGTTGGCTCTTTTTTCCATTTTCTTGGGCGGGGTGGAGGGCAGAGACCGTGTAGTGTGATCAGGGGGGGAGAATATTGGTTTGTGCTGCTCTGGGTGTAACAACTCGGACACGAAAGACTCGGATGAAGATATGCGGGTATGGGTAGGTGTCTTGGGGGAATTTGAGGACGCTGAGGGTTCGGACAGGGGATCTGAAGGCTGGACAGAGAAGTTTGCTTGGTCCAAGGGTAGTCGAGCTTTCATTGATTTCATTACACTTCTTTTCTTTGATGGCAGAGGTAATCCTGAACCTGAGTGCTGTGGGTTTTTTCTGTTCGAGGCTGTGGCATCACCAGCATAATCAATATCTATGAACAGAACAAACTCAGCAGGTAGAAGATCACCAGCGCATATATGCTTACCAGAGTCCTCCTGTAATGCAAGAAGCCGCGCTGTGCTTGCGCGACTCTTGGAGTATGACCCATTTGTGTTGTCCAATCTCTGACGTTTCGCTTTCGTGGGGCTGTCGTCGACAGCAGTGGGCTCTTTCCGCTTGCCAGTCGACTTCGGTGGAGATGTTGGAGGCGGGGAGCTTACAAGCTCAATAAATTCCCTATCATCATCACTTGTTTCCCTCCCAGTGGATGGCAGTCGTGCTCCTGGCGGTACGCGATACGTGTTGGCAGGGGAAGCGACTGCCTTGGAAGTGGGAAAGCCAGGTTGTGAGTCGGGCAATATCATTGATGATCGGCCGATTCCAGAGGTCTTCGCGACAGATGATTCAAATTTCCTCCCTTTCGGTGTATGGGAGATACGCGTGGAGGCGGTCATCTTCTCAGCTTTTACAGGGGTCGTAACCAACATGTCCAAGTCTTCGTCCTCGTCTCGTTGGGCGGTGCGGGCGGCCGCCCGACGCCTCCCATATGTTGTTCTAGCAATTTTCTGAGGGGGCATAATCTGGTTCAGCGCATATATGTGGGTGCAAAAGTAACTGGTCGTTTCAATCGTATCGTAGAGCAATGATAAGTTAGTCGTGGTGGTTGGTGTTGTCGTTGGTCCCTGTGATGATGTGCAGGCGTAAGGGAGTGGAAGGGGCTGTACAAGATGCGCCGCATCGAGCAGGTACGGAGGCAAAGAAGGGAGAACGCGTCCACTGGGCCGGCGTCGCGCAAGTTGCCGTAAACGTCGAGTTCGACGGCTCTCTCCCCGACTCTAACATTACCCTGTCAAACAACCCGGCAGCGTACCGCCTCCTCAGCATCGACAGACATTGAGAACAGACACGCTGCGTCTTGGATCCTGAAACAATGGCTCCTAAGACTCGACAACCCAACTATCAAGAGCTGGAAGTGCGCGTCGCGTCATTCAACGCGTCCAACAAAGGCAACTTGGGTGCCTCGCAAGCGAAACGAGGCGCAAAGTCGAAGACCTGGCCTCATGCACTCACTGAAACCTTCAACCCCGAATCTCTCGCAAAAGCAGGATTCTATTTCAATCCCTCAGATGAAGCATCCGACAATTGCACGTGTTTCCTATGTGGCAAGGGCTTGGGTGGATGGGAGAAGGGAGATATTCCTTACAAGGAACATGTCACTCACGACGAGAATGGATGCGCATGGGCCAATGCGGTTTGTCAAGTGAAGTTTCAGGATAGGATCAACAACCATACGTGCGTCATTGTCGACAACAGCGATGGTACTTAACTGACCAGGTTGAGCTAGCTTCATGTTTACAACATCAGAACGACTTCCAAGATCTGAAGCAATGGAAGTAGCACGACATGAAACATTCTCTGAGTGGTGGCCACATGACAATGTTGCTAGACATAAAGCGAGTTCTGAGAAGGTGCGATACATCATCAAGGAACGAGTTCATGTTGATGGATATCTAATTGATAGATGGCGCATGCTGGATTTCACTATACCCCTGACGCCAGGGCAGTGGACCTCGTTACCTGTGTATACTGCAATGTGGAGTTAGACGGCTGGCAACCGAAAGATGATCCTATGGCAGAACATCAGCGCAAGAGCCCTACTTGTGTGCTTTTTACTGCTGGAGATCGCACTGGGGTGAAGGTGAGAAGCCTGTATCTTGCCAGACGCTATCATACCCAAGCTTCTTCAGATTTCTCTCCGAGATCCTCCTGAAGATGATGTACCAGCTCCAAGCACTGGAGCCGCAAAGAAGATTGCAAAGTCGAGCTCATCACAAGCACCCAGTTCTCAGCTACCCAAGTCAAAGCCGAGTCGCAATCTCCGCAACGCCGCCACCGACTCAGAATTGGATGCTGCCCCTTCCAAGCGTGCTACCAGAATTATGAACATGGCGACTACCTCGAATCCAGATGCCACGGATGAAGGTGAAGCTTCTGCTTCTGAAGCCGAAGTAGCCAAAGTAGAGCCAGCCCAACCACCAGCACTTAAGACCAAGGGCAAAACCACCAAGGCAACAATTTCTCAACAAACCAGCACCTCTGCGGCCGAGGTGGGTCCCGCGGAAGTTGAACCTGTTAAGAAGAAACGTGGACGGCCTCCGAAGAAACAACCTGCAGCGAAGCCGGGACCGGACGTTCAAACTGAAGCAACGCAGATTCAGACCCAAGTCGTTGAGCCTTCTATAGTTGAACCGTTGCAGCCGAAGAAGCGTGGGCGACCCAAGAGTAAGAAGCCTAACCCCGAACCCGAACTTGAACTTGAACCCGACCTCAATCCAACAAGGGAAGTTGTCGAACTAGTAACATCGGACGATGACGCCCCAACCACTAAGCCAACAAGCCGGGAACTACGAAACAATGACAAAGCTGTCGCAGCAGAACCTATTGCTGCTATATCCGTATCCCCCACGAGAGTCACGCGTTCACAAAGCAAGCAACCTGCTCATTCCGACCTGGAGGACGTCACTGATGGCGAGCTGAAGCCGCAAAGGCTGACTCGAGCGGCGTCCGTCTCACAAACGGATGATGCTCCTGATTTCCGGCGGTCCACCCGGGTACGAGGAAAAGTTGCGATGACCTCAGAATCCGAGGCCGACAATCCCATCGTAACATTTACTCGCTCTACTCGCTCCAAGCCAGCCCATCCCCCGACGCTTGTAAATGATGCTGCAATATCGGATTTTACCGTGGGAGGGCTATCAACGGTAGATGCCGATTCGGCGCAGACTGCTAAACCCAAGAAGAAAGGGAAAGGGAAGGTGGCGTCGACGAGAAGGCCAGGAACAGAAGCACGGAAGAAGCCAACACCACGGGAGGATGTCCAGATGGAGGACGCACCCGACGATGTGGCCCTCGATTTGTCAGAACAGTCCAGCAAGGGTGAAAATACGCCAACTACCACGATCCATGATGAGTCCGATGAGTCAAGTGATGCTGAAGAAGTTGAAACGACGATCCTTGTGCAGACACCAATTGTATCTGGGTCTGCAACACCCATCACCCCGCCCCGTCCAGCTCCTGCTTCTGCTCAGCCTGTGGCACCTCAATCACTTGCAATACCTGCGATACAGCCTATGTTCCCGCTTCCACCTATCTCAAATTTCACCGAGGCCGAGCTGTCGATGACCCTGGAAGAATGGGTGAGACACGAGACCCGCCGCCAATATGAAGTGCTCCGCGCTGACGGTGAGCGCAGAATAGCCGATTTCATAGACAAGGCTAGAGGGATCCGGAAGAAGATTGAGGCCCTCTAGGGGCATATGTTTATGTATGCGCTTGTACCCTTAGAGGGACATGACTTCCCTTGCGATTGACGTCGCAACTGCGTGCTCGGGTGGCCTCATTCAACGCTTCATCAATTAAGGCTTCTCTTTCCTTGGTTTCTGTAGGCAATGTGCTGCACACTCTAATTTCAAAGCCGGATTCGACGTTCGAACGACACTCCGAACGATACTCCGAACGATACTCCGAACGACACTCCGAACGAGGTCCGAAAGGACTACGACATAAGACAATAGAAGGAAGAACGGACCCTATACACAGATTAAGAATGGAGTTAGGATAGCAATCCGCTCCGCGCACCCCCTGGGCAACGGCATGCAGACACTGTGATCTGCTAAGAGAGGATGGAAGAAGTTAGCAGCACGTGATTCAAAGACGCGATGGCTATGCGGGCAAATAAGGATTACCAGATTTTCTTAACAGGAAGGTTAGGGAGAAGTAAAAAAGGGGTTCCCCCCTGCCCAATCCTGGGACAACTACATTGACCAGGTAGTCCGAAAGTCCGAACCGCCTCTGAACGTATATAGGGAGGATTCGAGTACTTCGGAACAGGGTCACTTCCATTTCTTAGTCTTCTCTTCTCTTTTACTTTGCCCCTTACACTGCACCATTAACCTACAGTCAATCCTTACTCTCACTCTCTAATTCCATCAATCCGAACAATTGTTCGGACCTTCGAACTGCACTCCGAGTCTCTCGCCTTCTCCGCTCCAAACCCCCTTGGCAAGGTCATTCAACTCGAACGGCCGCTTCGATAGCTCGCACCTCAGCGGGTCTTGTGCACACACGTCTGGAGATTCGGAACTAGGGTCCTTCGAACCTGTCTTCGGACTAGCTACTGTGCCGCACATTCGAATTTCGAGTTCGGATCTGACCTTTGAACGGCTCTTCGAACGACATGTCGAACAGCCTTAGGTAATATAGATTAGGAATAGATTAGGTAGAGTCCGAAGGTGCGAACCGCTCCAAACGTATATAGGAGGATTCGGGTACTTCGGATAGGGACTCTCTCTCACTCCCTCTCACTCGTTCGGACTCTGGTGATCACTTACCTTACTCTTAATACTACTCCTCTACTCTACAGTCAATCTTTACTTTTACTCTCTGGTTTCCTCATTCCAACCGTTGATTCGAATCCTCGAACCAACCTGGCTACGCTCGTTAACACCTTCGAGTCCTCTTGCAACGCAGCCCTTTCGGACTCTCGTCTTCGGATTGCTCACTCTTGGGCGGGCATTGGCCATGCTCCGGCTTGGGGTTAGGGACGCATATCGAACCCTCGAATCGACCTTCGGACTTCCCTTCCTCTAGAGTCTAATTAATTAGGCTACTACTAAACGACCAAGCTACTACTGTGCTGCACATTCGAATTTCGAGTTCGAATCCGATCTTCGAACGCCTCTTTGAACGACGTGTCGAACTCGGCCGGACCGGACTATTGGAAGCAAGGAGTGGACCCTATACATAGCATTAGGTAATATAGAGTAGACATAGATTAGTAGTAGTCCGAAGGTTCGAACCGCTCCGAACGTATATAGGAGGATTCGGATACTTCGGATAGGGACGCTCGGACTCCTCTCTCTCACTTACTCTTTACTTCACTTTTTCAAGCCGGGTGATCACTTAACTTACACCTAATACTACTGCTTTACTCTACAGTCACTCTTTATTCTATCCCCTACTAGGACCGTTCTGTGTCTCGATTCGAACGCTCGACCTGAGAAGACTACATTCGCTCACCTTCGAGTCCATCCTCTGATCTCTCTCTTTTGGATTCCCCTCGGATAGCTGCGTCAGGATTCGGAAAGCACAACGGAACCTCGAATTGACCTTAGTATTGCGCTATCCTTGGAGTTAACCGTCGATTCGGCCTTGTTTTGATCTCGTGCTACCTACTACGAAGTACGGGCCACCACTGTCGACTCCCCCTCCAGCGGACCTTCTCCTGACGCCTCATTGGGAGGCGTCGAGTACATTACTCCTTCGGAACTACCTTCGATTACTACTGGGACGACGACTACAGGCTACTATCTACTTGACCCGGGCTACTACAGTCAACTCCCCCTCCAGCGGACTTACTCCTGACGCCTCATTGGGAGGTGTAGAGTGCAGCAATGCAGCAGTTGGCTGAATTCTTGACGTTCAGAATGGAGAATGATACTGTGTTCGTAATGGTATTGAAATATTTGACATAGTCTACTTATATCTACATAACCAGCCTACCGACATGATCTCATCGAGAGTTAATAAGTTAGACAATGATAGTTGAAGAGCCGTTGACCATCGGTGCGAACTCGTCTCTCTCAATGCCAGTGAGAGGCTTAGGACCGTACAGGGTAGGAGCGACCTCGGTAGACTGAGCCCCGGACTCAATCAAACGATCAATGATGATGAGTTCTTTTTTCCTCTCCTTCTCATCCTTGTCCTCGACCCGGATCAATCCGAGACTACTGTGCTTCACACGTACAGCAAGGCCATCCATGTCCTCGTTACTGAAGTTGGCCTCCGTGTCATACATGATGTGGACAGCCTTGCGCGCGTTAATTTCCTTCACAACGGCGCGCGCTTCCTCATCGTCTTCGCCGAATATCTCGTCCACTTGATTGGGTGTGAGCATCTTGCCGGTAGGCGAGAACAAGGTGGGGTCGATCCGAGCGCCGACGGCCTCGTGCATCTCCGGGTCTGTAGCCGCGAACACATGCTGCACGAAGTCCATAGTCTTGTTGACCTCATCTGCGGACAAAGTCTTCCCGGTCTCCGCGGCACCTTGGATAACTACGAATGTGTGAGGAATGGCGGGACATGTGTAACTGCCGACTTACCAGGACGGATCAGATCGAATGCACGATCAAAGTTGTCGGAGTTGATATCCGCAAGGACCGCTTCAGATTGAGCCAGCATTTGCTTGTACGCACTCATGACGACCAATGAGAACCTAGTGTAGGCAGTGCCGACCTTCTTATCGTGGTAATGCCAACACTGCTCCTCCGGAAAGTCGCCACGAATAGAGGAAGCTATAGAAGCAGCAGCGGACAAACCGTCCGTGAAGGCAAGGTGAACACCAGAAGAGAAGAAAGGGTCGATGAAAGCTACAACATCTCAGCGACGGCAACATGTAAAATGTATGTTATAGACGTACCAGCGGCATCCCCAACCAAGCGCCAATGATCCCCAGAATAGCACTTGGCCGCGTAGCTGAAGTCGGCTGCCGCCTGAACAATAGGGTGGACTCCATCATCCACGAGTTCGGCCTCGCCAAGGAGCTCGCAGAGGCCAGGGGTGAGCTTCAAGCAATCAAGATAATGGTCCTTCAGTGAACGAGGATTGCCCCCGTTGGCCTCGGTGGCCCGCTTCTTCCGCTCGTTGCTCTTCGCCTGATTCATAACAACACCAACGCTGGTGGTGCCGTTATGGAGAGGAATGAACCAATTCCAGCCAGTCTCATCTGAAGGACCCTCTGAGTCTCGCTAAAACGCAAATACGCGATTACGACGTACCAGTAAGAGCCTCGAACCAGGGGGCATTGTGCCTCGTCGTTCCAGGCCTATACTGCTTCGTGCCCTTCCAATAGCCCCAGCACGCGACATTGTCAAGAGTGAGGTTCTTGTCACGGTTCTTCAGATACCTTGTCGAAATCAGACCAGCACGACCAGAAGCATCGACAAGGTAATCATATTCCATGCGGCCGAACTCCTTCGACCTGGTCCGATAGGTCACAGCGATGGGACGCTTAGTCGGGTCATTATCCGTGAACTCGATTTCGGTGACTGTAACTTCCTCGAAAACTTTCGCCCCGCACTTCGCGGCATGCCTCAGGATGAGTTCGTCGAATTCCGAACGGACCTGAAAGAATTTAGGACAACTTGGTAGAATCAGGGACGAAGGCACATACAACGTTCCACGCGCCATTGTTGGGGTCCAGAGAGATGAAATCCGTGTCTAACGAGCAAGATCAATACGATTGCCGAAAATTCACGAAGCCTTTAGGGAGGTGTACGTACAAGCTTCCCTTTTCCATTGAACAAATTTCACCGCGGCGCCGGGCTGTATACGCAAAGTTTAGCCATAAGTGGGCTCACAAAAGAAAGAAGCATACCTTGGGGGTAAAACCATGGTTCATGATCGTTTCCTCCAGGTCTATAAACTTCATGAAAGGACGGACGGACGGCAGCATACTTTCGCCTATATGGTATCTACGCGAAAATAGTCAGATGGACAACTTGCATAGGATGTGCGAACACATACCGAGGAAACTTCGCCTTCTCAAGGACTACCACCTCAAACCCCTCCCGGGAAAGAGCAGCAGCAGTGAATGCACCACCTGGTCCACCACCGATGACCAGAATTTGAGCCTTCTTGGGCTGGATGATGTCAGTGAGATCAAACAGATGTAAAGCAGCGCCAAAGTGCTAACCAGAGAATCGAGAGTTACCGACATGGCTGGAAGGTGCTGTTGAAAGCGCTGTGAGCCGCAAGGTAAGAGTGGTTAAACTCGTGTAATCAGGGAACCACAGAGATAGATGCGAGGTAGAGAAGTCCATATTTATACAGTGAAAGTGCTATCGTAGGGAATGGCGGGGAGCGCGAAGGCCCGCTCGCTCATTCCATCCATTTCGAGAAAAGAATTCAGTCGTGGCGGCCTTACTGCGGCCGTTGAGGAGAGGCGGAAGGCGTCCCATCTGTTGCCATGTGAGACTGAAAATTCTTCGAAAGACGGGGTGTGGATAGGCTAGGCATGAGATAGAGTAGCCAGATTAGGCCGAACGAGAACCTTTTCTGCTGCTCGTAAGGCGAGCATTGTTTTTTATCCTTTTCCTCCACCGCAAATGGAAAGATTTAGAGCATTGTAGTCCGCACAGGCCCTCCTTCCGGCCAATTCAGCCTTCAACCATTCTGATGCGACACTGCCCCTGGTGTTCCGGGTCGGCTCTCACAAGCGACTAGTTAATTCTCCAACTATATGTGTATCTTGGCCTAACCGCTCGCAGGGGTTTGAGCGGCTTTTGACAGATCCCAGACGATCAACCGTTCCATCGGAGAGCCACAAGATCCTTATTGGATAACAATTTGCCGCATTTGGATGTCCCGAAATTGCCACGATCAGAGAGCTACCAACGAGATCTACCAGCAATGTTTAGGAATGCAGTGGGCCGATAGAGAAGATGAAGGCGGGAAGGAGATAGAGACGTCGAGGCCGCAACGGGAGCAACATGATGAGAACACCGGAGTCAGTGCGGCTTTAGAGGAGCTCAGAATATGAATCACGTTTCGCGACGTCAACGAAGTCCGTGCTTGATCCGAAAAAATCCGCTAAGTTTGCGCATATGTCATCCAACGTGCGAAGGTCTTGCCCTGAAAACAGACGCAGTAGTGAGGTGTCAGCTGGTCACGATGGTGGACTGATGTGTTATCGCCTCTAAGGCCACTCGCGGGCCTCCAATCAGCAGCTAGAGCCAGAGCCTCTCCCAGCAGTGGTAATCCATTAAGTAGAGCATGCAGAGCGCAGACGGGAATCCAACTGGTTGCGCGAGAACACCATGGGGAACGCGAACACCAAGTTGGAGCCTGAGAAACCCAGCGCACCACCAGATCCTTTGATTGTTCTGGTGTCCTCCCTCAACGACGCCGTGGACGCTCTACAAAAAGTTCTCCAAGTGCGTCAGCTACCTGCATTCGAGCTTGACAGTCCAATTCCGCATCCATTGGACTCTGGACTGCCTGATCCAGTGAGTTGGTTCGCAAGGAAAGCAATCGTCGGTCTTTGTAGCAAGATCATCGCCACTGTCGAAAGCCCTGCGGAGCGAGCTCTCGTCCTGTCCAACGCCTGGTTGATTCCAGTCGCACTGAATGTCGTTATTGAGAGCGAACCTCCTGTGGTCGACCTCATTGCGGAGACTGGTGAGATCGGAGCGACCGTGACCAGTCTCGCTGGGAAGACAGGGATTGATGCTGCTAAACTGCGTATGCTCAACTCTTCTATACTTTGATGGCAATGGCACTCACGTTTTCTGGTGATCAGGATCGATTCTACGCGTTCTAACCTCAGAGTCCTTCTTCAAGGAAATCACCCCCGGACGTTATGTTCTCAATCGACCGTCGAGCGTGTTGGTTACTGGGAATGCAATCGGTGATTTGGTATCTTTTACGTCGGGACCGAGCATGAGGGGTGGTTCTGTTCTGTCCAAGGCACTTCGTCATGACGGCCTTCCTGCAGGGGATAAATATGAAGAGGTGCGTGTTTTGTCTCTCCTCCAATGCACTGGAATTCACTGTGTTCAAGCAGACTGTGTTCAAGCAGACCGCGTTCCAACTCTATCATCAGAAGGCCTTGTACCCATGGCTTATGGAGAATCCTCGTTATTTGACGCGTTTCCATCGCGGCATGACCCAACTTGAGCTCTATATGGATCCAGGCATCTCCTGTGACTATCCTTGGGAAGAGCTCGGAGAATCCGTCACGCTGGTCGATGTGGGCAGTGGGCGTGGCGGTCTTACCATGACCCTGCTCAAACGCTTCCCAAAGTGGAAGGCGGTCTTGCAAGATCGGGCTGAGGCATTGTCGGCAATTCGAGAAGTGAGAGTCTGTCTGTCTTGCAGATGTATGTAGCTGACACGTCTTCTCAGTTCTGGGAGAAAGAGGCAACCGACATCGTTGACGCGGATCGTGTCTCTTTCTTGGCTCAGGATTTCTTCCAAGTGACAAGCCTGCGTGCGACAGATGACTCTCACTATGTGTTCATGATCAAGAACGTACTTCACAACTGGGGCGATGAGCATTGCCTCAAAATCCTTCGTGTATGCGCCGTCCTTCTCCAGCATATTATATCTGACATGCGTTTTCAGAATCTTGGCCCTGCCGCGGCTCCTGGCTCTACCCTCCTTGTCTGCACGTATATGCCAGCTATCCCACAACCCGATGAGAAGCATATCACTGTGAAGGAATACTTCGACGGGATCTCTGGGAAGGATATGCGCGAGATCCAGGAGATGCATCTGCCCATTCCTGAACCACTGTGGGCAGACTGGGGATATGGGAACGCATATGGTACATCATCCATTTATGTCTACATCGTGGTTCTAACCATGCGTAGAAACCCGCTCTGGTGCTGCCATGACCGGTCTGCTCAACGCCGCAGGAAGGGATATATATGAGTGAGTCTAATCCGCTTGTTGAATGGGGTCAGGAACTGACTCCTTTCAAGCTTGAGAAATTTGCTCAGTGCTGCCTCATGGGAGGTCGCGTCTTCGACACAAATGCGTTCAGCGGCTTCAATGATCAAGGCCATCAAACTGCAACCCGCGCCTCTCCCTAACTAGGTATCCTATATAATAGTGTATTGTGAACTATGATCCTATATTGTCTGTAATATGCAACCATCGTCCTTACTCAATTATCTATCTAGAGTGATATGCGAAACAAGAAGGTATCAAAAAGTTGAGGTATACCAGCCAACTATCAATTTTGGTATCTGGCCCAAAGGAACAACTAAGACGAAGTACGAGCCATCTGAGCCTCGCTCCACTCCCAGAGTTTCTTTTGAAGCGCCTCGTCTTGAGCAAGTTTGGCGCACTTTGCACGCTGACCAATAGGTATGTAGTACTCACCGCTAATCCCCTTTGCGTCGGGGCTCGTGGATACGAACAACCCTGTCAAAGCGCCTTGCTGGGGAGAGATGCCGATCAATCTGTACAATGCGAGGAACACGCCGGCGAAGCATCCCAGTTCACGAGCGATCGGGTTCATCAAGTTGGTCACGATCACCCCGGGGTCGTGCGAGTTGATAGTGACATTCGTGCTGTCGGAATGTCAGGGCCGATGCTGAAAGTGAATTTTTGCACCTACACTCCCCGATTTTTCAACAGCTTGGCAAGGTAATTCGACATGAGCACGTTGCATAACTTGGCTTGGGCATACTTGGCCATAGCATCGTCGAGATCCTTCTGTTTGGACGGGCCAAGCTTTGTGAAATCGATCCCTTTCGCTACGAGTGAGTGGTTTCGTGACGCCGTTACAACAATTCGGACGTCATCCAATGTCTGCTTCTCCAGGAATGGAAGAAGGGTCATGATGAACGCGAAATGGCCCAGATGCTGTATACCGACTGTGGGCTCGATGCCGTCCGTGGTACTCTCCAGGGAAGTCATTACCAATCCTGCATTGAGGTGAACGATGTCAATGCGATCAGTTTTCTCCATCAGGAGTTTGGCAGATTCTATGGATTCTGCAATAGACTCGAGGTTGAGCTTGTGGTATTCGAGTTGGGCAGAGGGATGTGTATTCTTGATCTCCGCGATCACCCCCTGCGCTTGGGCCTCGCCCCTACTCAAGATGTACACTTTGGCGCCATGGGTTGCAAGTTGTCTTATTTGTGTTCAGTTCATCTCCATGCCTGCCGGAAATCAACATACCGGCAGATCTCTGCTCCGATACCACTAGAGCCACCAGTGACCACGGCGACTTTACCGGTTAGGTCGGGTATCTTTTCCGCAGAGTAAAAGCGCTTGTACGGAAGGACGTCGATGCTGGCCTCGGATCAGCTTCGACTTCAACATGAGACGATGTTGAACCAACTCCTGAAGGACTGAGTCCATGGTCTTCCGGTTGCTTGATGCTGATAATGTTGGCGGCTACACGGGGGGCAAGAACGGGCTGATACACTTTGTAGGGACGGATGCTTTTGGAAGAAGTTGCAAGTCCGCAGTGTTGGAACAAGAAAGCGCGACCGACAGGGGGCGCTTTGATAATTATATCCGATGTTAATCAGTATATCGATTTGCCTTTTGACAGTCTGTTCAATTGAGAAATCGTGCGCCCTGTTTCTCCCCGGAAATCAGAGCAGGGTATCGGGCATGTTGCCAGAGACGCAATTTCCACGCGTCCCTGTTTTCAACCCCTGAAAGCCCTATAACGTGCATGTGGCCAGCGCGTGGTATTGCATGCGTGGCGGCAACAAAATTTCTCGGTGATGTGTTTGGGGAATCAAGATTGGTCGCATTCATCGAGATCCAAACCATTAATACATTGCTGTGGGATGTATGTTGGCGACTTCCTAAATGTCTTGTTGGTCGTAAGAAAAGAAAGTGAGATGTCCCACCAAGGGTTAGGGACTAACCCTTTCGGAATGTGCGGTGCGGGACCCTGTGGTATTCCCGACCGTTTCGCGTGTATACTCGACCTGAGCGCAGCCATCTTCCACTCCTCCCACAACTAACCGCTGCCCTTCGTTGTTGTCTCCCTCCCCCGGCAACCATGGAGGATCGGTGGATTGGGTTAATACTCGCCGTGCTGGGCAACTCAGCCATCGGATCCAGCTTCATCATAATCAAAATGGTATGTAGCGACGTTGTGACTACGTGGAGGCGCTCGTGAAGTTCTCATCGCATGCACAAAATAGGGCTTGAACGCGGCGGCGGAACGAGCAGGACACAGTAACGCATCTGATAAATACGTATACCTAAGAAATCCATTATGGTGGTTGGGGATGACGACGAGTGCGTACCTTGCTTGACATGAATCCCTCACGTTGTTCATCGATCTTCAGTGATTTCGGGAGAATGTGCGTGGCTCGTGCTCGGTTTGCATGCTCTTTATAACGCCGTCTTTAGTGATGAACTTCGCTGCATATGCATTCGCCCCTCCAATACTAGTCACCCCTCTGGGAGCACTCAGCGTGATCATAGGGTGCGTCTCACCGTCATCCACGAAGCCCCCCGGATTAACGTCTTCCATCAGAGCGGTTCTTGCTTCAATCTTCCTGCAGGAAGAGCTCGGCCACCTCGGTGTGGTAGCATGCACATTATGTTTGCTCGGATCCCTCATAATCGTATTACACGCTCCGGCGGACAAAGATATCCAAACAGTCGATGAGATCTTGCATTATGCTCTGCAGCCAGGTGCGCCCGACAGTATTCCACGCGGACAGGAAGCTGATATCTTTCTAGCCTTCCTCTTATATTGCCTCATCGTTCTGATTGTCAGCGTCGTCTTCATCTACGTCTTGGCACCCAAATATGGCAAGAAGAGCCCAATTATATACCTCACTATATGCTCGCTCGTTGGTTCAGTGTCAGTTATGGGCATCAAAGGATTCGGTATCGCGCTCAAGCTCACATTCGCTGGCAACAACCAGCTCACACACCCCAGCACATACGTATTTGGCATTGTCGTTGTTCTGTCAATCTTGGTGCAGATGAACTACTTCAACAAGGCATTGGATATCTTCTCGACCAACGTGTATGTACTGTTCTCGGCGCAGATACATCCGATTAACGTAATTTTAGCGTCAACCCCATCTACTACGTCGGCTTTTCTACAGCCGTTATTCTCGCCTCCATCATATTATTCCAAGGGTTCAATACCGGCGATGGTGTCAGTATTGCATCTCTCATCGTTGGCTTTCTGATCACCTTCCTTGGCGTTCATCTCCTGAACATGAACCACAAGCCCGACTTCCCAGATCCAGATCAACCACATGTGCCGCTGGAGCATGGCCTGATGAATCCTCGACTCAGCATATCAGGCCGCATGTCAATAGACTCTCCTCGGACGACCGAGTGGACACCGCATCATACCCACCGAGGAGGTTCAGGTTATCGAATGCATAACGGAGGGTCAGCGAGTGGATCAGGCTGGGGTATTGGTAATGGTAATATCACGCAAGAGCCGGATATTAGCCTGGACGAAGTACGAGAAGAGGAGGAAGAAGAATTTGAGGGAGACGAGACTACGCGGTTGACGGGGAAGGGTCGGAGGAGAGAAGAGCGAAGGAAGTCAATCGAGGCGGGGGATCTCGAGGCCGCTGTTGGCTCACCACATACCCAATCGAACGGTCGGACAAATGTAGGACGAATATAGCACCACTGTAGTTCGCTGCCGGCCGGCGATCTGTATACCTATATGGACTTTTCATGTCACGGCTCTATCTCGGGATCGGCAATCCATACACCGGATGTCGTTTGTAAGGGTGCAGCCGCCAGCCGCCCCCAAACAGTGACGTTGAGCACGCGACCTGCCTGTTGCTGGCACACATGCTGCCCCGCACTATCTTCCGACCCCTTGTATTCTATACCTCCTATCGTCCTGGAATTCCTTGTAACTATACGATTCGGTTTGCGAGCACCATGGTACAAACGAAGTCTAAGACGGTTCCAACCACAGAGCGACTAAAGGCGCTGAGAGAGTTTATGAGACGACCAGAGTGCAATGTTCAAGCCTAGTGTGTCCACCTGGCCTTAATCCATTATGTGGATCTGACGTATCGCCAGTGTCATACCTTCAGAAGATCAGCGTATGCCGTGTCTAGCAGAATTAAGTTTCGATCTGAGAGTGTCGTAGATGCGAGTGAATACTTGGCGGACTGCGATGCACGACGCGCTTGGATTTCGGGATTCAGCGGGTCTGCAGGTGTGCTCCGACGACCAACAGTATCTCTCGGGCTACTCTAACACCTCTATAGGTTGTGCTGTTGTCACCCTAGACAATGCGCATCTGTTCACTGATGGGCGATACTTCCTGCAAGCGGAGCAACAGCTCGACAGGTGAGCTGCCCGTCACCCTCTTCGTACTCTCTCTCACGTTTCGTAGTAACTGGCAATTGATGAAGCAAGGACTGAAAGGTGAATACGTTGATGTGGGATGATATCTTCCTGAATCCAGCCAGGTGTGCCAACGTGGCAGAAGTTCCTATCTGAGGTGCGCTCTATGCAACGACCTTGTTATGTTCCACTCACGACCTGATGTGCAGAATCTACCAAAGGGAACTAAGGTTGGCATCGATTCAACTCTAATATCTGCCGAAGATGCACGAGTGCTCAAGGAAGATTTGGGCAAGAAGGACTCCTCCCTTGTGCCAGTAAGCTGGAATATTGTCGACAGAATATGGCTAGATCGCCCGGCCCGACCAAAGAATCCCATCATCGCCCATGAGCTTGAGTATGCTGGTGAGCTACAGAGACTGCTCGTCCGACCTCTCTGATCCCTCCTAGGAAAATCTTCGACGGAGAAAATCAAGGAAATCAGGGAATATCTGGTCAAGAACAATTTCAGCTCAATAGTGGTCAGCATGCTAGACGATGTGGCATGGCTGTTCAACCTAAGAGGCAGTGATATCGCCTACAATCCGGGTATATAGCAACTTACTCTGATGTGTGGTGAAGCAGTCTGACACGCCAGTAGTGTTCTTCGCATATGCCCTCATAACGGACAAGGCCGCCATTCTATTTGTCGACCCAGCCCAGCTAACTGAGGAAGTTCGAAAATATCTCGGCTCCGAGATTAACATTCAACCTTACGACTGCTTCTGGTCTCATCTCGCCGAACATAAGAGTACTCTTTCTGTGAATCCAGAAAAGGTAGTAGGCCAATACATAGACATTTTTACCCTAAACTCACAAGTCCTCGACAGAAAATTCTCATTAGTAGAACAACAAGTTGGGCCATCGCCAGAGCGCTGGAGGAGCAGAGGGTTGCTGTTGGTCGATCGCCGGTTGCGGACTTGAAGGCCGTGAAGAACGAAGTTGAAATCGAGGGTTTTCGACAGTCGAATATCCGCGACGGTGCCGCCCTTGTATATCGACATTTCATCGCACACCCCAGCATTACTCATACGGCTTCATAGGTCCGTTATTTCGCGTGGTTGGAAGAACAGCTACACCAGCACAAGACGCTGTCTGAGACTGATGCGGCAGATCAGCTGGAGAAGTATCGCTCGTGCGTAACTTGCATGTCAATGTGGTGCAGCGATTCATTGTCAACAGAGAGATGGAGCTCTTCATGGGCTTATCATTCCCTACTATATCCGCGACGGGATCTAACGGAGGTTTGTATCTGACAGATATTCATGTATCAGTGCTAATCTAGTACCAGCGATCATTCATTACCAACCCGATCGGAACGATTGCGCTACGATCGAGCTAGACAGTCTGTATCTTTGTGATTCCGGAGGTAAGTTATCGTCCCTGATTGTTGCGTTTGTATGAAAACATGAGTGAACAGCACAATACAAGGATGGGACTACAGATACTACACGAACTTGGGTGCGTTTACCTTGGCTATTTCAAATCCGCCTGTTTCATGTCTGCAGGCATTTGGTATCCCGAAGGAAGAAGAAATCCGAGCCTTTACCCGCGTTTTACAAGGTCACATGGCAATTGACATGGCCGTCTTTCCGGAAGAAACATCTGGTGCGTCCTCTGAAAGAAAGTCGTAACGCAAGCTCACATGCCACTCGGGATAGGTTACATATTGTAAGTGAAAACCTCACCTACCCGAGCCGTGCTCTGAAAGCTTGGACTTGACATAAGAGATGCTTTTGCGCGCCGCCCATTATGGATAGATGGTCTAGGTGAGTCACGGCAGATAATTCAGTGTGTGCGCTGCTCACTTTTACCTTAGATTATCGGTACGGACCTCTTATCGCGCATGATATACATCACTCAAACTCATGAAGACACGGGACTGGGCATGGAGTGGGCAGTTTTCTAAATGTACACGAGGGACCGCATGGCATTGGTCAGCGCATCGTCCTCAACGACACTGCCCTAAAAGCCGGCATGGTCGTGTCGGATGGTGAGACTCGCTTTATCCTCCTACCCCTCCTCCCAATACCTACTAATACGTTGGTAGAACCGGGATATTACGCCGATGGTCGCTTCGGCATCCGCATCGAGAATGTCATCATTGTGCGAAAAGCGGATACCCCCAATCGCTTTGGTGATCGAGATTATTATACCTTTGAGCATGTTACAATGGTCTCTTTCCCACCGAACTGTTCCGGCATCTACTGATTTTGTTACAGTGCCCGATTCAAACCAGCCTGGTTGATGTCTCCTTGCTGACGAAAGCGGAGAAGGTTTGGCTCAATGAGTACCATACAGAGATAGAACAGAAGTTGTTGCCTTTGCTCGAAGCGAAGCATGATGAACGAGCTATAACTTGGCTGAAGAGGCAATGTGCTGCGGTCTAAAGGCAATGGAAACTTGGGCATTACTTTGGCAAATCGTCAACCCTGTATCAGTACTGTACTCAGCAGGTTAACCGTGGAGCATGCCCAAGGTTTCTCGGTGCATAGTTCCAGCCCCTAGTTGAACACTTGTCCTTGTGAGATACAAGATTTCTTATCCATAGCCTATTGCTGAATCCACTATTGCATCTGGGTTGCTCTCAATTTTTTTGTGGTTGCCAATATGCGTGCTACGGAGGATCACTTGGACGCATCATTGACGTTGAGAGGAAATCAAAAGGATCGTGACAAGAGAGGGGATCGAACCCTCGACCGTTTGTGTGCAAAGATCTCAAGTTATGAGGCCTGGTCTTGTAAGACAAACGTGATAACCACTACACCATCCTGTCAATCACTTCGATCCCGTGGAATGCATATCCATCACAAATATAAAATACACGTGCTGATCAAGACCCCTTGACCGGTTCCTGGCATGCAATTCATCCGGTAACCATGGTTCGGCTCTTGACTGGGTGGGCACTCCCCGACGAGGTTATTGCAATGATCTTTGAAACAATCATCATGGCCTGGGAGGACGATCCTGAACACGACTTCATGAGTCTCGGCATTACCTTGAAGTGTGTGACCTCGATTTGTCGGACATGGCGAGATATTGCACTCCGCACACCCCGCCTTTGGTGCAACATGTACAACGCAGACTTAGGTGAGATCGACTGGCATCCGCCTGCAGATGATTGGATGGAAGAAACTCCAGTTCTTGAGCTTGGTTCTGTGTCGGTACTGCACGAACCCGCCGAAGCAGCTGCAGCGTACATTCATTGGAAGACCTGTTTGCGACGGAGCGGCCCCTCGACCCCCTTGAGAATATACGCGGAGAAGCCTGGTGGACTCTGCGACCTTTTAGAGGAGGTGGCCGAATCCAATGGCTGTTCACGTATCTGCTACATTGAGCTACGGGACAATTACCGACCTTTGCCCGAATTTGAAGACAAGTTCGACTTCGACAAGCTTGACTATCTTCATTGCAGTAATTTACGATCCCTGTCTGTGACTGGCCAAGGAGGTTCGCTTTTCGTCGACCTGTTCGATATGCTGTCTTGGCACCCTGGTATCGAGATCCTATCTCTAAGGAACATCTGGTGGTCTTGGAGCGACATGCAAGCCCGAGAACTACCGCTTACAATGCCAAACCTTCGCGAGTTCAAGATCTTCCACCACCAGCAGACCGCGTTCAATAAGACCTTCCTTATGCTCAAAATGCCCAACTTGGAAAGGCTCGCAGTCGAAACAACCTACGTGGAGCGGAATTCAATACCGAGCATGTCCGCGATAAATTTGGACCAAACATTCCCTTCCCTCAAGGAGTTTGTGACGGCGGGAGCCCTAATGCCCACTGACATTGTTCGTCTACTCGAAGTTTCACCAAATATAGATACCATTCAACTACGAAGCGGTGTGTACGAGTACGAGGATCTTTTCGAGCAAATGGAGCGGCATCCAGATGCAGAATCGGCATTATGTGTGAAGTTGAAGCATCTCATCATCCAGCGGGTTTCAGCTTCCCCGAGAGCTATCCGTAACATGGTCGAATCACGCCATATGGACTTCCCGCTGACCTCGATCATGAGTTCGGTAGAGGATTGGGATCTTTGGCCGGAGGAGATATTGGCTCGTCTGGAAACATTTGTCGGGCTGAGGGACTGGATTCCGACACATTTGGCCGGTGCGCTGCCGGGTTCGGCTCTTCCAGGTTCTTAACTGACGTGAGCTCAGATCCCTGGGCTTTCGCTGCCTGAACGCTTCAGCTCATATCGCTTAATCTGTAGACAGCCGATAATCGCAAGCTGGCATCCAGTCAAATGATTATTCATTCCGTCGTTGACAAGGCATAAATCATAAATAAGCTCCGGCTTGTTAACGATGTAGGCAATACAACTCGAAGGGTATGGCATAATGGCTCATTATACACTAATCCCCAGACCGTTTTACACAAATCGACCAGGCAAGATAGACACGTGACGGTAAGGTGTTAGAGGAAGTACAATCCGTGGTACATGTCGCTGTCATGGGCATGTCGATGTCGTACGTGGACTATGCTTGCCAGTAGTCCTTCCGGGCAGTCGCCTCTGCGACCCTAGCCGCCTCTGGATCCTCTCCTCCAGCGCCCTCAACTGCCTCGCGCAGGAGGGACATCGTACTCTCAATGCTTCTCCGCCTCGTGGAAGGACTGGATCGGGTCGTGCCGAGGCTCTGTGCCCTGATGTGACCGCGGCGGAATGGCGAACCAGGCGACGCCGTGGAGTTAGGAGAAAGCGGCGATTCGTCGAACGTCGGAGGGGTCGCGGGTGTGCCTGGTATGGAACCAATACCATAATGGCCCTCATGAGGTGTTCCTGGACTGGAGCCACCAGGAGGAGTGTAGCTGAGGTAGGGTGCCACGTCCTCAGGATCGACGAGGGAGGGAGGAAGTCGTTCGTTTTCAATGTCGGACTTACGCCTAGGAAGGCAATCAATACGCTGGAGTAATACGGATCATGACTCAACACATACGCATCCTCGAAGGTTGCAATGGCGTCCTTGATACCCTCTGCCCCCAAGGCCAGGGTGCCATAGGGGAGCTTGTTCGAACCCGTAATATTCTTGAGCTCGGATACACGCTCGGATTCCTCTCGTAGAAGAGAGAACACGCGTGACATACGGCCGACCGCAAGAATCTTGTTCTTGATCGCTCTGCGGCGTTCCGCGCTTTCCACTGCGCAGAGTCAGCATCCTGGGTGGGCATCGCACATCGTTGATACTCACGTGGGCTGACAGGCGACATGGGACTCGGCTCCTCAGCTTCCTCTAATTCATCCTTGGAGCATATATTGAGCACCGACATGAGCATGTCCGTGACTACAGACAAGTCAGTTCATTGAACGGTCACCGTATCAGGAAGGCGTACTCTTTTCACCAACAAAAGGAAGACTCCAGGTAAAGACGTCCATGAAATTCGGCAGCCAGTATGGATGGGGAGTACAGTTGAACTGACGAATGTTCATGACGTTAGCCTCATACTTGAGAACCGCGGCCTTGTTTTGGTAGACGTCGAGATAATTCGGTGCGGAGAAGATGGTCATTACAGAGGGGAATCCTGTCGTCTTCGTCTTTCGATACATCCTGTAGCCTGCGTCCTGTGCTTCGTGCGCACGAATGATGGAGAGCAAGTTGTTCCTCTCGAGGAAATCACAGGCTGCCGCATATCTGCGCAACAAATGAGCGCAAATCCAGGTTGCTGGACGCGAGCAGAGCGTACGTGAAGAAGAAGGAACATCCTCGAACGTGGTTGTGGACGAACTTATCCGTCGTCTTCTCCTGACCGAAATCCTCCAGAGGATCAGACCACAAGATGTCGCACATGAGACCATGTGTTGGCGGCTCGCGGAATCGGTCAATCTATGCATAATGGTCAGAAATCATCTTTACAATGGGGTGATTCGTTCTAACGTTTCGCAAGTCTTCAAGGGTGCGCAGCTCAGGAGAGAGCCCACCGTGGATGCAAAGGAACTGCTTATTCATGATGGCCGCCAGCGGCAAGCAGCAAAAAGACTGAAGGCATGCCTCATAGATTCTATCAGAGTACTTGTGCTTGCCTGCAGGATCGAGTCAGTGCACAGCCTTAGAGATATGGCAATATGATATCATAACTCACACTCTAGTTTAAAAGTAAAGTAATCGGTTAAGTGTCTGCATTCGTGGTTGCCCCGAAGTAAGAACAAGGTGTTGGGGTACCAAATCTTGAGGGACCATAGGTAGAGGACACATTCGATGGAGAAGTATCCGCGGTCGACGTAATCGCCTAAAAAGAGGTATCGCGTATCGGCCGGATTCCCGCCGACTTCGAAGAGCTTCATAAGGTCATACTGCACGAAAGGTCAGATTCAGGCAGAACGGCACAAGGAGGATATAATGCGCACATATTGACCATGGATATCGCCGCAGACTGTGACGGCGAAGTCAACGCGACGGCGCTTGTCTGCTAACAACACACCGACTCACCAGTGATAGGCGCATCCACGTCCAACAGATTGGGTTCATTCTTCAGAATGTCCGTTGCCTTCTCGATGATAAACATCGCCTGATCCTCAGTCAGTCGTCCTTCCCGATAGAAATGATTCTTTAGGAATGCGATATCTGGCTTTGAGGGATCGGTCTTGGAGTAGAATTGCCCGTTGGTGGGAACGCCCATTGCGGGCGCTTGAACCTAAGACGTGGCATAGGCATGGTCAGATGGAGAGACCGTGGAACGCTTGACAACGCGGACTGACATCCTTAATAACTCGCTCCTGTGTGCTGATATAGCTTCCATCTTCCAGTATGTGCTGTGTGAAGTCGATGTCCGGGATGCGCGTGTTACCCCTCTCCCTGATCTGCTCGACGACCCTCTCGACGTGGGCAGCCTTGGCAGCAGCGGCAGCCATAACTGTTTACAGTTAATGATAACGTCGCGGAGTGGTGGAAGAGTAGAAGTAGGTTTATGAGCTGGGAACAGGAGGAGGCGGTAGTGGGAAGAAGACTGGGATATGGTCGAAGATGGAAGGGTGTAAGCGAAGAGATTGACAATCGAATACTCTAGTTCCGCAGGCATGGTGCACGCGAGGTCCCAAACACCAGAGATACTTCCGGATAGAGCCTGCTCCATGGCATACTTGAAATTCTCAGTCTAAACACCAATCGATTTGCGTTATCCTATGCTACACTTGCAAAAACATAACGGCTTGCACCAACTCTAAAGGAACTCGAAGGAATGGGACATCGGAACATCCAGGCAGGACTGTGCCAAACCATCCCCAAACGATGCATTGTTCGCTCAGGACTAAGTGCTCGAGCATATAATGACTGCAAGGATCAAGCCAAGGATGCGCGCAATTTGCGTGACATAGGAGCAACACACTAGTATAATTAGGTCAGTCAAGGTAAAAGAGGTGGAAAGCGATAGAAAATGGATCAGAGATAAAACCGTCTTCACACGAGTTCAGACATATGCTTGTCTATAGGTTTAAATGCTCATCTTTTGTAACAGGGTGGAATTGGGAGATTTAAAAAAGGATAGGAGAACGCACTCGATTGCCCACCTAAGAATGAAACAGTTCTAACGAGCGACAAGCACTCTTCGGAACCACAAGACAGTCTGGGAGCGTGTCCTTCGGCCGCCTGAAGACGTTAGCGCGCTATTTGCTCCTTACAAACACATCCGCCACTATAGTAAGATCGCCTCTAAAATCTAATCGAAACTTGTTAGTCAGATTCATCGCCGGATGAGACATTATGATGTGTAAGGATCAGCTGGTGATGCATGTTGTGAGCTTGGCTCATTCCGCGGTCGCCCGCTCGAAAATGGGATGGTATCATCATATAGAAGGAAATAAAAAAAGAAAAGAAAAGAAATTTCAATAATTGCTTACACTTAGTTGTTCACGAGGGCAACCTTGGAGTGGGTACTCGCGCAAGATGACAGAGACGAATGTCGGCCATCGACCTATGAAGACACAAACAAGGGGGGAAGGAGCGTCGCGAGAGCAAGAAAACTCCATCGCGGTGAAAGCCTCCGCAAGGGATCGATACACGTGATGAGAAACGGAGGCATCCTATCTTTTTTGCCCGTCCAGGATTTGGAGGGGTCTTTCACTGGTCTCTCTCTTGTCTTGCTCTCTGCAGCTCACCGTTGTCCAGTCATGTGCTGTATCCAGGTATGTTCTTTCCCTCTGAGCCATTAATTTGCTTGCCGGCTTTCTCTCTATGATGATTTATTCAGTTCTGCTTCCGAAAAGGACATAACCCTTTGTGGACAGCTAAATCATACCAAAACACTACTGATTCCTTCTTCACTCTTATCTTGCTCATGGCTGGATTTTGCTAACTCGATCCATAGTAGATGCCTCGCTGATAATTGGGTTCGATATTGTGCTCATGTCGTGTGAGTAAATTGTCCATTCTTTCATTGCTTTCAGATGAAACTGTAGTTCATCCATTCGTTGAATGCCCATTCCTCCCGCTCACTTATGAATCTCCTCCTTACATTTGTTGGGAGCGTGACGACGTCGGTGTTTTGCTGGCTGAGTTCGAGGTTCTTTTTGAGCGGATTGAGGGCTGGGAATATGAAAATATTGGCTTTGCTGACCTTCCAAACGTCTTTGTGCTTCCGAGATCAGCGCTAACGCCTATTTCCAGTGTTGCTGTACACTTTTCTCAGTCTTCGTTTATGCTCGTGACTATTTCGTTAGATATCATGACAATGGTATTATGCACCGAAATACAACGTTAATGCTTTCCGCGCGATGTTATAACCGAGAAGTGAAGCAACAAAACCCGTAAGGATGGGTATAAGGGGCAACAGGATGACTTCTGTCCGGATAAGGAAAGGAAGGGCTGGTAGGATTGTCGATAACATTCCTGGATCAAACACAGAAAAGCGCACCATTATACCCGAGATAGGTGATATAGAAGTACTGAGTAAAGCTGAAAGGAACCCAATTCAGCGAACCGATGCTTGTTTCATAAGTCTGACTCACGCTATGAGGTACAGCAGGTTGCCCAACAAGAGGCATATCCATTTATCTTGTGTGATCACAGGAACCAAGATAAGCTGGATCACGTAGAGAAGAAAGAATAGTGGGACGAAGCCGTTGCAATGGACATCAAAGGCGTACGCCCACTCCACGTTGCCAGGATCGGTTTGTACCGTTCCTGGTGCTGTCTGGTTGAGCACCCGGTTCGTGAAGAACCTGTGGCCTGCGTGAGTTCGAAAGTTGCGAGATGAACTGATGGGCGGTACGCGCCACAAGAGGCTACAGACAATCAGGCCCGTGAGGATGAAGTCCCTGAAGACCATGACCAATGCAAGCCGTATGCCCCCTACTGGACCCAGGGAATACACAACCGACCAAGCTGCGGATGCCACTGGCATAGCACAGAATAAGATCAGGCATGCTGCTATGAGGACTGATGCACCCACATGCCAGAGATGCTGAGATAAGGATGAGCATTGCTGGGTCGTTGCGTGCCCAGGTATTGTGGGTCTCTGTTCAAGTCTTATTGTCACAAATATCAGCAAGGTGATGGAAATCGCTCACGTTTATGGTAGTATACTTGCTTGTATCTAAATCGCCATCAGCGCATGTTGCCTTAGAGCGGCACCAATCGCGTACTCACACCTTCCTTGGAGCTATGCACAGATACGTCAACTGCCATAGCGCTAGCTCGAAGTCCTATTACAGCTTGTGGTTAGAATAGGGGCGTTCCCATCATAGCGACTTGCGCACCATATGTTGAAATCGCAGCATCCGCCTGAACATCGGAGGGAGGCGCGTCCAGCCTGCACCAGCATCACTCCCTCCCGTCAAGACGCGTGAGCCCGAAGAGAGAACGGGAAGGATAGGCATTCTCAGCCTGCCAGTGGAAGTGAGAGCAGACGAGGCTATAGAAGACGCAACCAGTGAAGAGGTGTTAATCTGAGAGTTAAGCTTAAATTGTCGAGCACGATGTCGGTTCAGCGGCTCAGGGTGCCGACCGGTCATCACGGATTCCACACAAGCGCGCTTCAAACCAGACCAGACTAAAATCAGTCACCTTTAACAGAACAAGATACTCCATATTTTCTGAAGTCGCCTAAAACGAGTTTTCTTTCCGAATAATGATTAGGATGCTATAATCCAATATTTTCATCGTCGATGCTCCTCATCCAAAACGAAGAGGGAAATCACACGCACGAAAGATGCCTCCGGTGTAAGATTAGGCCCCGTTCTCAGGTCCGTGCTTCACTTCTTCTCCTCACACTACCACCACCGCCGTCGCCGCCACATCTTCCATCAGTCTCTGTCAACGCATTCCTCTTATGGCGAATGAGGATTACGACGAAGTCGACTACGGCGATGATATCATATCGCTTCCACCAGAGGATGATCGTGCTGACGACTTCCCTTTTGATGACTCTAACCCGCACGAGTCATTGCAACGCGTCACGCTGGATGCTACGGTCCTTGTAACTCCAGATGCTCCGGGCGCCCACATGGATACACAAGTCGAAGAGGCTGTTCCCATGATAACAATCGCGGATGAAGTGTTTGAGACGCGGGTGGTTGAAGACGGTACGTTGGTTGCCAGTTCCAAGGCTGAAGCTCTCGCCCCTCCGCCACCAGTTCCCGTGGTGGAGGCTGCATCCCATACCGAGCGTACATTGAAGCTGGAAGTCCCCAAGATGGCGGAGCGGATCTCCGCGCCCAGAATAGGACACCAGTCCCTCCCTCCCAAGCCTGCGGAGGCCCATGTGGGTAGGCTCAGTCCTCAGGAACTCACTGAGGTTCGGTCTATGCTAGCCGATAATGACCCCCGCATACAACGTCAACGACCAGCAGAACAGCAGCCTATGATCAAACTTCCACCAGGATGGGAGGCGCGCACATCCAAATCTCGAGGAAATACTTACTACTACAACACGATGACGCAAGAGAGCGCTTGGGATATTCCCAGCACCTCCTCGAATGCCCCTGCTGCCTCTGCTACAATAACAACTGGTGGAGTTGGTGGCACTTCGGATGCAAACAACCCTAAACCTACTCCCCTTGGTATCACGAGTACTGCTAACGAGCGAAGGGGGTATGATCATTACAGCCCTCCGCATAATGATCGTGATGCGATGGAGCGCTCAAGGGGTCCTACAGCCTGGCCCACGGAGATTGGACGCCCGCCAGCTAGGCGCGGTGGAGCTGATCGTTATTCACCCCCTCGCAATATCGATCGACCCTTGCAACGCGGTCGATCTCGTTCTCCGCCTCGTCGCGGTGCATCTGCCGCCCAACCGCCGGCTCGTGATCTCCCTCCTCGAGAGCGGTCACCTCGTCGGCTGTGCTCCCGTTCGCCTCCCTCAAGGATGGACCCTATGGTAACTCGTTCTCCCAGGCGCAGCCCTCCACCCCTGCCGCCAAAGCGGGTTGAACCAACGCCTCCTTTACAGAGATCTCTGAACAAAAGGCCTCGTTCATCCTCCCCAATCCGCCGTGGGGTCGACATTGGGCAACCACAGGCGAAGCGTCTTCGTGATGCATCGCCCGATAGAAGGAATTTTCGTCCTGAACGGGCTTCTGGTGCTAACATAACTGAAGAAGAGAAGACCGGTGCACGTTCAGAGCGTATGGCTGATGCAAGGTACGAACGGCATGACAGTCGTGGTCGTTCACCTCCGATAAGTACGTCTCTGCCCAATTATCTTGCGACAGCATGGTCTTCCCGTGGACTTTACGTCTGCCTGTGGTCCATTCGGTGTCGTTCATCCTTCTCTCGGTACCGGACAAAAGCTCATTGCCGACCCCTTTTATTTTCATTTCTTCCCCACGCTCCGATTGTCCTTTCCTCCACATTCACTCTTCCACTCCATCGCCTCTTCTTTCCTCATAGGATCTCGCGACGAACCGATGGCTCTCCTCCCAACGCGCTCAAATTCGGACCGTCAAGAGCCGCTTGTTCGGCCTTTCCAGTCCATTGACGAGCAGCCGCGAACGTCCTACGACCGTCCTCCGATGGACCGTTATGAAACACAAGCACCCGAACGTCGGGCACCAGAGTCCTATGATGAATCTTCAAGAGCCCCGGGTCGCGAAACCGACTATCCGACTCGTGATCGACCCATCGTCGATACCACGGTGCAGCAACAGTTAGGACCGCCGCCCACCCCAACACAGAGGTGGGATCGATCTATACGCGATGACAAGCGAGTAGACGATCATCTCCCGCGCAACGGTACTCAATATCCAGACAACGGCTACAATGCTCGTGTAGTTGTTCCCCAGGAAAGGCAGGTTGATGATCGCACGAACGGTGACGAGCAGAGGCGTTCCAATAATCGGGCAGACGGTCCCCAAGAGCGGCATCTTGGTGACCGCGCGAATGAAGCCCAAGGGCGACGCTTTGATAACCGCGTCAATGTTCCACAGGAGAGACGTCTCAATAACGGTACTAATGGTCCGCAAGAAAGACGTTTTGGTGACCGCACCAATGGCCCACAGGAGAGCCGTTTCAATGACCTTGTGACAAGACCTGAAGAAAGGCGTTCCGATGATCACCCCAACGGTTCAGAAGAAAGGCGATCCGATAATCGTGCAAACGCTCCTCAAGGAAGGCGCTTCGATGACCGCTCCAACGGTCCGCCAGAGCAACGGTTGGATAGCCGTCCGGGTGGACCACAAGGACGGCGCTTGGAGGATCACGCGAATATTCCGTCTGAAAGGCTTCTCGACGCTCGCACAAATCCACCCCAAGACAGACGTCCTGATGATCGCCTCACCGGTCCACAGGAGCGACGCTTTGATGGGCCTCCCAATAGACCACAAGAAAGGCGTTTCAATGATCAACGGAATGGACCTCGTGACAGACGTCTTGATGATCGCCCGAATGCACCACAAGAAAGGCGATTCAATGATAAGGCGAATGCGCCTCGAGAAAGGCCTCTGGATGATCGTCCGAACATGCTTCAAGAAACTCGCTTCGATGATCGCGCAAATAGACCTGGAGAAAGGTGTCTACACGGTCGCCACGACGCACCCCAAGAAGGACTTCTCGACAATCGCGCTAAGGTTACACAAGAACGTCAGTATGACAACACTCCCAATACCGTGAATAGACCACAAGAGAGGCGCTTGGACGAGCAAACGCCTCGTGAACGACTCTTCAATGATCGCGCGAACGGTCCAGAAGAACGATTTTACAACGGCCGAACCAATGTACCGCCGGAAAGGGGTCTTGATAATTCGACAGCACCTCAAGAAAGCCAACGTGATGCTCGGGTGAATGGGCCTGAAAACAGGTATTCAGAGGACCGTCGGCGACAAGAGCCTCCCGCTCTCCGACGGGATGACGTTCCATCGCAGCCTCCCTCCCACGCCCTGGTCGATCTTCCGCCAAGCAGGCGCTCGCCTCGTACATCGTATTCTCGTCCGCTGCATGGAGATACGGATCGGCGTGACAATCGCATGCCCTTACATGTGGAGATCCCCCGAGATCAAGGTCGACCTCCTCAACCCCAGACTGCGCCTCCCAAACTCAATCGTCCAACTATCAACCGCGACCAGGTTGACGCGTACCCAGCGAGGTCTCACGAGGACCCACCTCGTCTTTTCCCCGCCTCAGGACCTCCCCTGGGTAGGCGTAGCGACGGCCGTCCGATCATCCAGCGCGGCGGGTTGACGAGCGGAGGAAGTGGCAAACCCACTGAAGCCAGCGAGCCAGAGCGTGGCCAGCCTCGCCCCCAATCCACCTCTTCGCCACAAATTGATGGACCTTCGCTGCTCATTGAACGTGAGCGTCGGTTTGCCCCCCAACCTTCGCCGCCTAATTCCGGATTTTCGGAACGCCTCGAGCGCGGGAGGACCAGATTTGACGGTCCACCCTCTTCGTCATCCACTGCCCCGCGGCCTGACTCGTGGGACTCTCGCCGTTCCCCGCAATCTGCACAGCAGCAGCGCCTTAGCGGACCCCGCGGTGACAATCCACACCGCTTTCCGCCTAGGAGGGAACTCAACCAGTCGTCTGATACGTCGGGTGGTGGCCCGCCCACTCCCGAGCCGAGGCCTCCAAAGCAAGTAGGATACGAGAGTTTCACTGATATGGGGAAAGTCGTTGCGAAGAGGAGGTGGCTGAGGCGGCAAGAGATCCCGGGAGGATGGAAGGGATACCCGTAAGCTGTGCTTAGGCTGCTGATTACACAAGGGGTTGTTGTGTGACTGGATTGCGGAAGACTGTAATGGCACCGATATGATGTACACTGATGGGAGAGTACTGTAGGTTGTATAGCTCGGAGAGATCCTCGCCAGACTATGACGTAGGTTCATCGCATTGTGTACCTACTCGGATGCGATGTATTCTAATTGTTATTTCCTCAACACCGCTCCGCAGCTCACATACACTTCGCTTTGTCCTATACTGAGAAATTCTAGACCCGCAGAGGTGCGCTCTCTCCCGACCTGCCTCCCGAAGCATCGCCGCGGTTCTGCATGATGCCCGGGCGCAGCGATGTAGGGACACCTTGGGCCATAGCCGGAGATGCGAGGAAGGGTTGTATATTTAAAGCACGTGTGCACTGCCACCTGTGTGTCTTTCATCACCGTTTAGTGGGGAACTCGTTCGATTGGTGGAAAGGTGAACGTTGGACGGCGGAGCCAAGGCTGGGGGAACACACGGAGCATACAATACTGAGGGCACGGACCACTCCTGCCAACGCACGCACCATCGTCTGCTCCCCCCTGTCTGCCAGCTGCCCCCCTTTGTTGCTCACCTTCTACCAGGGAACGTTCTTCGCTGTCCGGCAACATCAGACGACCATCTTGATACGCCCGTTGCTCACCGGTACGGCAATTCCTTGCACGCGACCTGTGGGGTCAGAAGCTCCTCCCCCTCTTATCCCTACCATCATCTTACCCTCCTTGAGTCCAGTCTGCATTACCATTCTACCCACGACCACTTCAACGAGATAGAACACAATGTCTGCTGCTGCAGACATTGCCAACGGCAGTGTTCATCTGCCTGCTGAGCCCAAGCTCGACGGAGCAGCATTCGACGATGCCACCGTCGACACGCCCATCAGCGTTGGAGAGAGCAGCGATGCGAGCGAGACTAGCAAGCTCAGGATGATCTTGCAGCTAGTGAAGAAATGCTTCGGAGTGTCGGATATTGCCAACATGTGCGTCGAGGTCTGAACCGTCACATTCCTTTGCAGCATATGCCGTAATGGTGCCTTTATGACTGACTGGTGCTGACCTACCTTTCAGGCGACTTTCCCTCCCCTCCGTCCTTCTTGCTCCTGTCCCCAACCTTGAATACTGGTCCTATACCGACCGACCTGATATCCTAGCGAGCGTGAATGACTCCCCAGACCCGTTCGACCGGATGCTCTCCGTCCTCCGCTTTGTCTTCTCCAAAGACTTGAAGTTTATCCGAGGCGGCGTATGCAAGCCGTACAACTCTGTGCTTGGCGAACACTTCCGGTGTCATTATCGCGTACCAGCATTGCCCAACCCACCAGAGCCACAGTTCGTTCCGAAGAGCTATCTGCATATACCTACTCCAGCGGCAAGGAGCGAAGGGAGCAGCTTGCGGAGCTTTGGGAGCTGGAAGAGCGGTCAGAGGGAGAAGCCGGCCTCCATTAGCCAGCTGTCGAGCCAACTCGAGAACGTGGTTATCATGGAGGATGGACTGGAACTAAACGGCGAGGAAGCCCAAATCGTCTTCATTGTACGTCATTTCTTCACGAGCATAAATCTCTGCTTAGTGTCCTGGGTAGACGGAGCAAGTCTCGCACCACCCGCCAATGTCGAGCTACTACTACGAAGTCGTTGACCGCGGTATTCAATTATCCGGTGTGGACCAGATCGCTGCCCGTCTTTCTGGCGCATCCGTCCGCATCGCTCCAGGCGATAAGAACAAGGGTTTGTTCATCAAGCTTACTTCCGGGCCGGGAGAAGGCGAGGAATATCACGTCACGCACCCCATCGCGGCTGTCAACGGGCTGCTTACGATGCGCCTGTATGCGAGCATAACTGACAGCGTCATCGTCACTTGTCGCGGGGGGAAGGACGGCAAGCTGCTCCGCGCTATCATAGAGTACAAGGACGAGGGGTGGATCGGCAAGCCCCAAAGAGCGGTGGAGGGCGTGATTCATACGTATGACCCTGATTCAGTTGAGCAGGAGGAGTGGAGAAAGGTCAAGCACGTGCCTTTGGACAGGCATCTGGCGAGGTTTGAGGGTGCGTGGGACAAGAAGATCAACTGGCGGAGAGCGAGCGAATCGGTGGGTTGTCTTCCTCTCCGTACCTGGTCGCAATGCTGATGTATTCATGTGCCATAGGACTGGCGCCCGCTCATTGACCTCTCCACCCTCTCCCTTGTTCCTAAGATCGTCCGTCCACTCCCCGAGCAGCTGCACAATGAGTCCCGCCGTTTCTGGAAAGACGTCACCGAGAATCTGAACAAGAAGAACTACAACGAGGCCACAGCATGCAAGCTTCGCATAGAGCAGTCTCAGCGGGACATCGCCGCTGAACGGAAGCGGAAGGGGGTGCACTTTACCCCGGTCTACTTTGACAAGGACATCGAGGATGGGAGGAGTAGGCTCAACGACGACGGTAGAAAGGCTATCATGGAGGAGATAGAGAGGGCCCGAACGGGGTCACGCAGCGCGTCACGGTGATCTCTCGTGTCGGTCACAGAGCTCCCTTGTAGATGTATGCGGGGTTGAAGGGACTCTGGGAGGACTTGAGTCACACGCATGCAGTGTATTTATCCCTCATTCTCTATTGCATTTGACCATAGACCATCCACTCATCGTTTTCCATTGTACGTTACAGCTTTCCGCAATCGCGGCTGCCGGTTTAGGAGAGGTTTGGCTTTCTCTCAAATTATTCAGATGCCCGGAGCCGAAGTTCTGCCGGCCTATCTGGTGTTGAGACAGTGAGCTTGTGTTTGGTATTCTGTTTGTCGAATACCGCCCGAGTCAGCAGCAGATGGTTAGAGGTGCATCAGTGAGCGCGTTCTGCACAGGATGTAAGTGTGACATTGCGGTGTGATCATTGACCCTTCGGTTACCTACATCTTTGCATCTTCCTTCGATCATCTTCCATCCCTCTCTCGTCAGCACCTCGCCCTGTCCTCACCTCACAAACCTGTACTGATTCTTCAACCCAGCTGCATCAGCCCAAATCTAGACTGTAATGCTTTCAGCGGCTGCTAAATTCGCCCATGAAGAGAGGGTCGTCAACCAAATCAGGGAATCGGGGAACACGCGCTCACCGGGTTAACGGCTTCACATAGCACATGCTTACAACGAGCCATCCCCCGGCCTTTCCTTTGTCCACGCGTCATAAAATCGATCTGGCGCCCTCCCTCAACCACCCCGTTCACCATCTAGACGACCATGTCTGCTGTTGCTGCTAAAGAGGTCCATATCGAGAGAGTCGTCGAGCAGATCAGGGAAAGGGGTAGCACGACCATCCCAGCCATCGACCTCACCCAGCATCTCATGGAGGATGGGAGCTTCGTTAGTACACAAGAGCGAGTCATCAAGGATGTTAGTTGGCATCGTCCTGTATTCCATGGTCTCTAGAACTGACCCTGTATCTGGTCAGGTTCAAGCGCCCGCAATGAACGTGCCCACCGACGAGCAGTTTTACTCCAGCGCCGACCCCTCCAAGCCCGATATTGCCTTTCTCAGGAATCATTTCTATCGGGAAGGGCGAGTGACGGAGGAGCAGGCGCTGTTTATCATTGAGAAGGCAACGGACATCCTGAAGAATGAACCCAATGTGCTGGATGTGGATGCACCTATCACTGGTAAGCCAGCGGCTTGACTGACGAACATGCGTGTTGACTTTGCCGTCATAGTCTGTGGCGACATTCACGGCCAATATGTGAGCACCGTGTATATGATTGTAACCTACATGACCCTTATTGTCCCCCAGTATGACCTGATGAAACTCTTTGAATATGGGGGGAATCCGGCGGACACACGATACCTCTTCTTAGGCGACTACGTCGACCGCGGATACTTCTCCATTGAATGCGTTCTATATCTTTGGTCTCTGAAGATCTGGTACCCCAGTACCGTGTTCCTGCTCCGAGGCAACCACGAATGCAAGCAACTCACCGAGTATTTCACTTTCAAACTAGAGTGTGAGTTCCCTCGGCGATAGCTCTAGTCCAAGCTGATTGGTGTATGAAGGCAGACACAAATACTCCGATAGGATCTATGAAGCATGTCTTCAATCTTTCTGCTGCTTGCCGCTGGCGGCTATCATGAATAAGCAGTTCCTCTGCATTCACGGTGGGCTCTCTCCCGAGCTGCGTACCCTTGATGATCTACGAAATGTGAGCAAACACGAATTCATGGTGAAGATGATTACTAACTACTGTATGCAGATCTACCGATTCCGTGAGCCGCCAACACACGGTCTCATGTGTGACATCTTGTGGTCCGACCCTGTGGAGAATTTCGGCGAGGAGAAGACGATAGACAAGTTTGTTCATAATCACGTTCGAGGATGCTCGTTCTTTTTCACGTACGCTCTACTCTCGTCTGGTAGCTCTGGTTCGAGCTCATGGGTCTTCCTAGATATGCCGCCGCATGCGATTTCCTCGATAGAAACAACTTACTCTCCATTATCCGTGCGCATGAAGCACAGGACGCAGGCTACCGGATGTATCGAAAGACGCAAACGACAGGATTCCCTTCCCTGATGACTGTGTTCTCTGCACCCAACTATCTCGACCTTTATCAGAATAAGGCCGCAGTTCTCAAGTATGAGGCGAACGTCATGAATATCCGTCAGTTCAATTGCAGTCCCCATCCCTACTGGCTGCCAAATTTCATGGATGTCTTTACCTGGAGTCTTCCTTTTGTTGGTGAAAAGAGTACTCCTTCCTGATACAGTGACCGTTCAATGAACTGACTTGTTTGCAGTCACGGACATGCTCATGTCGGTGCTCAGCATATGCTCCAAGGATGAGCTGGAGGAGGTGGACGAGTCAAGTCCGATGTCGATTGTGAGCCCATGTAAGTATCAACTATGTACTGTAGCAACCTCCTTACTGAATCTATGCAGTGGAAAGCGCGGAGCGCCGCCGAGCGATTAAGAATAAGATTCGTGCTGTGGGCCGTATGTCACGGGTTTTTGCCCTTCTACGAGAGGAATCCGAGCGTGTATCGGAGCTCAAGAGCATTACCGGCTCGAACAAGCTCCCGTATGGTACCCTTGCCCTTGGCGCAGAGGGGATCAGAAATGCTATTGCAAGCTTCGAGGATGCGTGCGTACATGTCCACTTATCATGTCTCTCAATCTCACATATTTGAATGCCTCAACAGCCGGAGGGCCGACATCGAAAACGAACGTCTTCCTCCCGCCCTGATCGATCCTGAAGACGTAGCGCCCACCCTCATCCATACTCCCCTCAGTGACTCCGTTCCAGGAACACCTCTTGAAGGTGTATACAATGTCGGCTCCATGCCAGCTACCCCCGGGACATCTCCGACGTTGGACGACTCACCCATGTCTCCTGATTCTCCCATGTCGCTCGATTCACCATCGAGTCTTCGGGCACAAAGCTTCGGCTCGGCGAAGTCCAGTCCATCTAATAGGCAACGCAGCATTGAGAGCACGATGTCTCTTCTGCGTGAGGCAGTCGACGGGGTCGGAGAATAAGGATCTGGAAGGGGTGGGTTACGATATCAACCCTTCCCCCAAAGGCCATCGGAAATCATGACATATGCACGACATCGACATACCCGATATACCTCGCCTCAGATTGTACTTTATGTACCGCAGCATCCTCACATGTCTCTTCGCGTTCAATCAGTTGTTTTTGTCATATCCTCCGAGTTGTATACATCGTTGACAACCGTTGGCCCATGATATTGATGCAATATTGCCTGCCACGAAACCAATGACATTCTGACTAGCTGGTACCCTTATCACATCGATGGCAAATTGAGACCCAGAAGTACGGAACCGAAGTTCTACCGGGTTGCGGAAGCTTTCTGCCCAGGGCCGACGCGTAATGGTCGTTGTGCGTGCTCGTTGACCTATTCAGCGAACTCACCATCTCGCCATCACCACCGCCAATTCATAGTCATGCCCTCTCTGCTGCTCCCAACGCCAGCTTCTTCACCGGGTATTAAGGCCTATTACCAGGCCAAAATCGAGGCCGCAGAGATAACGATCAACTCGAAGACTCAGAACCTGCGTCGGCTGGAGGCTCAGAGAAATGCTCTCAACGCACGAGGTACGTCTCTTTCCTGAAGCTCCTTATATGCGCCGCTGTATCATAGGCTGACGCGAGTGTAACAGTACGCTTGTTGAGAGAGGAGCTACAGCTTCTTCAGGAACCGGGGAGCTATGTTGGCGAAGTTGTGAAGGTCATGGGGAAGAACAAGGTGCTGGTGAAGGTCCAGCCTGAAGGCAAATACGGTGCGCCTTTTTGAGCAACCTGCATTTTTGAATACACATACTGACTGTTCACAGTTGTCGATGTCGATCCAGAGATCGTCCTCTCCACTCTCACTCCTTCCTTGCGTGTCTCACTGCGCTCCGACTCCTATCAGATTCACAAGATCCTTCCGAACAAAGTCGACCCGCTCGTCTCCCTCATGATGGTTGAGAAAGTTCCCGACAGCACCTACGAGATGGTCGGTGGTTTGGACAAGCAGATTAAGGAGATTAAGGAGGTCATTGAGCTGCCTGTCAAACACCCGGAGCTGTTCGAGGCGCTCGGTATTGCCCAACCAAAGGGAGTTCTGCTGTATGGCCCTCCAGGTACTGGGAAGACTCTTCTCGCACGTGCTGTGGCTCATCACACCGACTGTCGTTTCATCCGTGTCTCCGGCTCTGAGCTCGTCCAGAAGTATATCGGCGAAGGCTCCCGGATGGTGCGTGAGCTGTTCGTCATGGCCCGCGAACATGCCCCAAGCATCATCTTTATGGATGAGATCGACTCTATTGGCTCATCGCGCGGTGAGAGTGGGTCCGGTGGCGGCGACTCAGAGGTGCAGCGCACTATGCTCGAACTGCTCAACCAATTGGACGGGTTCGAGCCAACAAAGAATATCAAGGTTATCATGGCAACAAACCGAATCGACATCCTCGACTCTGCGCTCCTGCGCCCTGGGCGGATAGACCGGAAAATTGAGTTCCCGCCACCTGGGCCGGAAGCGCGTGTCAGTATCCTGCGCATCCACTCGCGGAAGATGAGCCTGCAGCGTAACATCAACCTCCGCGCTCTGGCGGAGAAGATGGGACAGTGCTCGGGTGCCGAAGTACGGGGTATTTGTACGGAAGCTGGTATGTCTTACTCGGTGAACTGGATGTGTGAACGGAAAGCTGATGTGTGTTTACAGGCATGTATGCACTACGTGAACGCCGACAGCATGTCACGCAGGAAGACTTCGAGTTCGCGATCGCCAAGGTGCTCAAGAAGGGGCAGGAGGCCAACACGTCGGTCAACAAGCTGTTCTCGTAGTTTCATCTTCAGTGTGGTTACCAATATATCCGCTTTACATCACCGCTGAGTCATCAGTCCCTTGATTGGGCACATTCCTTGCTATCGGGCTGATACAATCATGGCCTGCTCCCTTCATTTTCATTGACCTGAGGCTTATGTAATCACAGGGCTAGTCCAAAGAGAACTGCCAGTGGATATTACATAAAGCACTCCACACCCTCCGCGTTCAATCGCTTCAAGTTTGCTTTCCCCTCGTAGCAACTCGCCACACCACCAACGACACAAAGGTAGTTACTGCCTGGGCAGTTATGTGATGACCTAAACCCTTTCGACTTTGCCGGGTCACACCTACAGGCAAAGTCATGCCATTAGCACGGGTGCAGCTGCTGAGGGACAATAAACGCACCCAGGGCCGAGACGGGGAGGCTTGGGCTTCTTGAGAAGTCCTTGGTTGGAGCAGGAAATGGCAGAGGCAAGGCCAAGGAGACAGGCGAGGAGAAAAGCGAGGGAGCGCATTGTCTTCTGACTTGTTGGAGTAGACTGCGGTGGCCGTGGTCTAGATGGGCCGGGAGGAGGCGAGGCGATTAAACGTGAGTAAGATACTCGACCGATGAGAAGAGGCCGTTCGGAGATGTGGGCAGAGCGGCCTGCGCTGCTGGGTTCGATGATGTTAAGATGATGATGAAGATGCGGAAAATAATAGGACTACTTATACTCTCTCTCAGGACGATCCAGTGTTTTCCGTCCTTCTGGAAGGGTATATTCTTGGTCTGATGTACCATGGACTGAGGCGAACAGGTAGTGCATCTCTGTATTCATACAGTTTCATCACCACATCTAGGGCAAGACGCACGGCCCATCATCCACAGCGGAAGACTGGATCCAGTCAACAGGAAGAAGTTGTAGAACGGCATAAAAACAAAGGTTGATCCGAAGTCGCCAGAAAAATGCTCTAAAGCCCTGCTGGCAACGCGGTGAAACACCTGGGCACTGTTGGAAGCAACGAAGGTTGAGCCGTGCAACATCTCGTAACACGGAAAACCGGGTGCAGTGTACATCAAGCAGATGACTCGGAGCGGTGAGCCCATCAGCTAGTTGTTCGACTGCTATCAGGGAGTCCGTTGCGAGTTGCTGAGCTGACAAGCACTGGTATGAGTCAATGTCGAAGTTGTGGGGTAAGAAGGGAGCACTGGGGCGAGGTGCACTGCTTTTCGAACAGACGAACAGAGCCTGCGTTTCATCAACGCGGGTTTGTGAGATTTTCGCTTATAAGTCTGATAAACTTGATGCTCGTATGGTCGTGCGACTACAAGAGATGGTACAGTGATGTTACATTTGGGAACGATCATATCCGAACTCACCGACCGCTTCGGACTTGTTCGAGAGAGGTCGTCGTTCACGGTGCTGTGGGCGAGTCCTGCAACAAGGCGAGTTTCGCAACGGGGGACAACGTCAAGTCATGTGACAAGGTTCTCTGATTAAAGCTGCGCGTTACGTGTGTTCTTCCTTGTTGGCTAACGATTGCATCATGCGGAGGGGGGAGAACAGGTGAAAGGGGCTTGGGGATGGCGCGTACAGGCGGTATGCGCAGCACGACATGGACACACTACTTTGTCCGCCTTTGTCGGGCTTACTTGGCCAAAGTTTCCAAATTCTTCTTCCCAAAAGGTCGGCCTCGTACATTTCAAGCACTGAGGAAGGTCGCACACGATTCGACCCTTCAGGGATGGGCTTTTCCGAACTCAGACCGGATGACGCGGACGAAAGGAGCAATATGAAGGAATCCATCGTGTTACGTAGATTTTCCGGTCATAGGCGGCCTCCGTCCCCTCTGGCAACTTCGGCTGAATCGGCGCACCGAACGCTTCGGCCCTTGACAGGCGCTTGCGCTCTACCGCCTAGCCTCGCCATATCTTGTCCGTTCTCATCCACTCCATCCAGCATTCCCAGCATCATGAGAGAGACACTGACGAGCGGACCAACCATGATTGAACATCGGTGAAAGCGGCCCGATACGCAAGATGTGAGACGAGGCAAGGTATACATACCAGTGCGCAGAGCTCGCGACATAAAGAGAATCGGCCGAGTGAGACAGGCCGGTCACAGTCAGAGTACTGCTGTCGTTCGACGCGAGATGTCTGCTCTCGCTTGAATGAGGCAGTTGTTACCGGGATATTACGGCTGAGGCGCTTAGTAGGTTGCCACCGCAGAACATACGTGTAGCTAGCTGGTGATGTAGATCTGCTTCAAAGATGTTCGGGAATCGCAAGCAATCGTCTGTTGATGATCATGAGGCTGTGATATAGAGATAGCATTATCATAGTCGAGATTTGTCTCCATTGTCAGGTTAACGCTCTGATGACAGTGAGCAGGGCTATATATATCGAGCAAGTGAACGTGGTGGTCCTTGATGAACGGAAAAAGTGCCGGGATGATCGGAAACACGTTCTTAGGGCTGTGCTATTTGTGGGGTGACGCTTCTTAGAATGACACGCCACCATGTATGGTAAGGTTTGAGCTGCATATAGTGTCCCCCCTGTGTGAAGGGCGACTCAATCGGGAACATCCATAACAAGCGCTCAAAAAAAACTGTCAACCTGTGTACTACTCTATTCTATAACCGCTTGGTGTGCACAGTCAAGCACAGGCCACGCACCACACACCTCGGATTATCACCTAGGCTGTGCTTGCTCGGCGTCTCTCCGATCTCAATTAGTACCCAGCGTCCACTCTCTTTTCGCCTCTCTTTGCTTTCTGTCTCTTACTAGTATATCGCCCGTTGTCCATCTCGTTTGCTGTCAATTTCCCTTCTTGGACACGACGAGAACCTGGGTATACGTCACCCACAGAAGCAGGGTCCAGCAAATAGGAAGGAGACGAGGGAAGAAGAAGACACCCCCAAAGAATACGGATATTTGTGGGTTATTGTCCATCAGCCATCAACAGAAGGCAATACGTACTCCACATCCACCAGCGCACCTCCCTCTTCCTCCTCTCTTCTCACCCACAACCATGGCTCGACTACCAACACTCCTCATCACCCTCCTCACCCCCCTCGCCCTCGCACAATCCTTCACTCTCAACCAGCCCAACCCATCATGCGGCATAACAAACTTCACATGGTCCTACTCCGGCATTACCGCGGTGCAAGCCATGAACACACCCTTGAACCTTACTCTCGTACTCGTTGATGTGCCTCAGGGGACGTTACCCGTACCACTGCAGAGTCAGAGCTCGAGCGGGGGGTTCACTCCTTCAGTCGTTCGCGTTCACAGCAGCAGCGGCAGTACCTCAACTCCGGCCTCGACCACGACCACGACTTCTACTACGACAAGTTCTTCAAGTCCCACTCCGATCCTCGAGACGGTCACTGTGTACGTCCCCGTCGTCACCACACTCACGGCAGGGAACGTTCTGATTACCGAGACGGTGGAGATGCCCGTGGTGGACACCCTGACCCGTACGTCCCCCTTCCCCCCAAGGCACACATACTAACATGCCAACAGTGGGTGGGCCTCCTCTTCCCACTCCGCGCCTTTTCGCCCGTCAAAATCCTGCCGTTCCCGTCAACTCGGGCTTCAACACATCCCTCTCCGCTCCCCTTCTTTGGCAGACCGCGGCGTTCAACCTCTCCTCCCTCCCAACAGGGTACTACATCCTCCTTGCCCAATCGTTCACTACCACGCCCGACCTCAGCGCGCAATCCACCCCATTCGCCGTCTGCACCGCTTCTTCCTCCCCGAAATCTGGAATATCAGGCGGCGCAATAGCAGGCATCGTCATCGCCTGCCTTGCGTTGCTCATCGCCCTCATCATCCTGATTCTCCTCATGCGCCGCAGGCGCGCAGCGAACTGCCGTGCCCCAAGTTCGAAATTCCATGCGCCTCCGGGCGGGGTGGACGCGTGGCGCAGCTCGAGGGACGTCGCTGCACCGCCGTACAAGAACGACTATGCGGGCTATTTGGGGTACGAGAAGGATGTTCCGCTCTCGCCTATGGGGAAGACTCAGTATTTCTCTTCGCCCGGGTATACGGTTGAGGACCGGAAGGTCGGGGGAGATGTGGAGCGGGAGATGGAGATGGGCAGGAGGACGGACGACGACGACGATATGCCGACCTTGGCCTATCTTGACCGGAGTAGGAGCGCTAGGACTCCGCAGACGAGTGAGGGAGAAGGAGGGGATTCGTTTGCCAGCCCTAGGGAAAGGGAGAAGACCGACGATACCCATTCTGGTGGGTCGAAGTGGGAGTCCTCACCCTCTGCCAGCAGCACGCACGACCACCCGCTGGAGCACGGCAGCGCCGACCACCTCTATCCCCCTAGCGCCTTCCCTCCCAGCTTGTCCCCCATCGCGCATCCTTTCAACCCCTATCCGGTGGAGTACGATGAGCCCCTGCGCGACCTTCCGGGGCACATCGACCACCCGTACGCTTCACCTGCCACGTTCCCCATCGTGGCCGTCACGCCCATCACCCCCCCTCTCACGCGTGAACCCCCCGCGCGCCGACCGCCAGGTGCGGCTCCCCCAGCCTCGGGTGCAAGAGCACTCACCGCTATCGCCGCACAGGAAGAGGACTGGAGTCGCTCTCTCCCTAGTTTCCTCGAGACAGCACCGGACTCGAGGCGGGAAAGCACGCAGAGCACGAGTATAGACGCTCTGGCCGAAGCGGTTATGCCTTCTGCGCCTGAGCCAGCTACCTTCGCAGCCGGGTTAGGGGCCGTTCTTGCCCAGAATCAGCAGCGGCAAATCGTGGGCCAAGGGAGGGAGAGCCCAGAATCCAGGGGACACAGAAGCGAGGACTCTGTGCGCTCCTTCGGCCGGCCACTGAGTACGAGTATTCGTGGTCCCGTCCCTGTGGGCGTGCGAGGCCCAAGACCGCCTTCACTCCAGCAGCCCCGCCGCTCCGCCACGGACGGGCAAAATGAAGTCCAAGTACCGTATGGCGCTCCACCCGCGCCTGTGAGTCTGGCCGACCACGCCCACACCCCCGATGCCCACTTGACAAAGGCTCGGTCCGTGACGAGGAAACCTGTTCCCGCATATAGGATCGAATCCTTCTTGCCGGACACGCGTGAGCCGCAGGAATCAGAGTTTGCGGGGCACGACCCCTCTGGCAGAGGCGGAAGACCGAGCGACGAGAGCTATATCCCGGCTCTGCCACCCCAGTCCCCGTTCTATAGCGAACAGGACTCCACCCCTTCCCTCCCTCTCGCTCTCGCTCTCGAAGAACAAGCGCGCCTGAGTCGGGGCCCTTCAGCATCGGCATCGGCGTCGGCACCGGCACCGTCCCGCAAGTCGAGCGTGAGCATCTCGGGGCTCGACCCAGCTTTACTTGAGTTTCTCCCACAGTTCGCGGGGATGAAGGCTACGCATGTGATTATGCCTGATTTGCCGGTGGAGTAATCAGGCTAAGGATAAGGGGAAGGGGAAGCAGAGGGCGGAGTGAGCGGGGCGCCTAGGGCAGAGGGCAGAGGACAGAGGGCAGAGGGTTTTCTTGATCGATGATCGTTTACGTTGGAGGCTGTAATTGTACACTAGCTGATCTGAGCTGAATTTATTCTCGAACAATGTAGGTTTTTTGATGGATGAATCATTTGATATACGTATTTTGTAGCCTGGAGCAGCAGTTTTTCGTTCATTTTATCTACTTTTGTTAGGGGTAGTGCTAGTGCTGGCTATTTGACGTATAAATTATTTGATATACGTATTTTGCAGCCTGCAGCAGCAGGTTTTCGTTCGTTTTATCTACTTTTGCTAGGACCCGAGGGAGAAATGGAAGTCCTTGTCTACTTCTCATTTCTCCCCCAAGCTCCCAGCTGCCAAGCTGCCAAGCTGTCCAGCCAGCTCCCAGTTCCTAGCTCCCAGCTCCCAGCTCATCCCCTCCCCCCCCAAAGAAAGCGGCAAATACAGCACCCCCAAAACAACCAGCACCTTCACCGCCGTCGTCCACCCACTTCTGACGGGCCACCCGGGACAGGAGCGCATAAGCAAGCCCATACTCATATACGCCGCTACAGCCGCTCTGGCACCTTGTTTGCTCTGCGTGGGCAGAAGGTGCAGGGAGGGGGCGGAGAGGGCGTAGTACTTGAATGCGAGGGTGAGGAGGCGGGGGCGGAAGAGGGCGATGCACTCTTTAGGGTGGGAGAGGATCGTTGCCGGAGTGGTGGGATCCGCCTGACAGGATGAGGGGGAGGAGGGGGAGGAGGCCCAGGAAGAAGGGACGTAACTCCGCCCCATGCGAGCGTCAGCTTCTATATCCCTGGCGATGTTGACAAGCTGGAGTGCGATGCCCATGTTTGTCGCGTTTTCCAGTAACTCCTGCGTGGGGGGCGTGCAGGGGGGTTGGGGTTGGGGTTGGGAAGCGGCGAATAGGTAGGTGCAGGCTACGCCTACCGAGCCGGCTACGCGTTGACAGTACTGGATCAGGTCTTGTTCTGTCTTGATAGCGGGGTTCCATTGCTCGTTCTCGTTCTTCTTCCTTTCCTCCTCCGCTTCCCCGGCCCCTTCCCCGCCCCTGGCCCCTCCCACATCCTCCCCCTTCGTTCCCGCAACAGGGAAAGCAGCCAAATCGAACTCATACCCCTTGACCAAGTCCAGCACCGGCTCAGGGGGTAAGAAAGGCACCAACAGGTAAAAGAGGGAAAAAGAAGGTTGGAGCTGAGGGGGGAGGGTGAGGATGTACGCCTCCACTTTTTCGGAGTGCATCCGGTCTTGTGTCGGCCTGTTCGCTTTATGAGTGTTTCCGTTCTCATGTCCATTCGCTGCCTTGTCGTGAACTTTCCCGTTCATGTAGTCCTTTGCAGCCCCTTCGCCTTCGCCTTCGCCCTCGCCAGCGGGCGCGGTCCCACCCTCCCCCTCCTCCTTCCCCAGCTCAAACCGAAGCTCGGGGTAACACAACCCCAAAAACCTTTCGATAACCTCCACACCCCCCTCTCCCTCTCCCCCTCCCTGCCCCTGTGCTTGTCCCTGTCGTTCGTCTACAAAGTCGTCTGTCGCTCTACAGAACGCGTAGCTAGCGGACAGAGACATGTCAGCTGATCCAGCCACGAGCAAGGAAGGGAAGGGGGAAGCCGGAAGCAGAGGGAGGAGGGAAACGATAGGCAAGAGGCAAGAGGCAACAGGAAAGGGAGCAGACGTACTAAGAGAGCAACAACAGCCTACACCTATCTCCAAACAACGCCGCCGCCAGATCAAAACTCTTACTTTTCTCCCTAAGCGTAACAGCCGCGTCGCTCAAATGGGAGATCAGAGTGCTGGGGTAGTCTTGTGCCGGGAGGAGGAGGGCGGCGAGCAGGGTGGGTAAGGTGTGCAGGGGGTTGGAGTCGGTGTGCCAGTTTTGGTGGGGGTGCTGCAGGGAGAGCACGTCTGCTAGAGCGAAGGTTTGCGAGAGCGCGATGTTCCCTAGGACGAGGAGCGTGTTGCTCAAGAGGAAAAAGAGGCCTTCCCTGCGTCCATCGTATCAGCACGCACCACAGGGGGAAGGGGAAAGGTGCACGTACTCCAACTCCAGACCGGGTGCGAGTTCCCACCCGAGTTTGGTGCGCTCAGAGATCGTCCATATGCCAGAACGAATCGCGTGCCCGTCCACTAGCCAGAGGTACGCCGCCGGGAGGAGGATAGGGATAAGGACGTCCTTCCGCGGAAGCCGGAGTAGGTGAGGGCCGGAGACGTACCACAGACCTGAGAGGAAAGGGGCTGACCAGAGGACGATGAGCGCTGTGTACGTCCAGTGGGAGGTCGTGCATGATAGGGGTATACAGGGGAGTAGGGGGATGAGCAGGAGGAGAGAACCGAGCGTGCCACGGCGTTTGCGGGGAGGGAGGAGGGAAGGGTGAAATGTTGGTTTTGTGATTATTGAATAGAGGGATGTTGTCATATAAGTTTGGATTACGAAGAATGCGAACTGGGATGTGTTAGTATAGGGTGGGAGTGGGGGTGGGGGTTAGTGAGGGGAACACACCTCTTCGACAGGGATACGGAAGAGAGTTGCCATGACGTTATTTGATGGATATGCCCATATACCTCTGTGGATGACATAACTATCCCATGGTGCGGTGCAGAGGATGACGACAGAGAGGAGGAATAGAAGGGCGAAATGATGTCTTGAGTTGGAGAAGGGATAAGAGAGGAGGAAGAGGACTAGGCAGGGGGGGAGCGTGTAGCGTAGGTGACTGTAGGCGAAGGGGGTTAGTGGGGGGG